GTAGATGGGTTTGTTTTCACGGCGACCCGGTTTCGAATGTCTCTACAGTAACCTACTGCATCCTCAAACCCGGGGATTTTTCGGCTTTGGGGCTTCTCCTTCAAGTGCGCGTCACCGTTCTAACAGTGACCACACTTCCAGTGGAACCAAGTAGAACAATATCGTGAGAGGAAGTCTTCTTTTTGGCCTTCATGCCTTTCGGCATCTTGACTGCCTCCTCCCGCCTTACCGCCATGACCCACTAACAGTCCGTCGATAGCCGCCCGGTCCGATATAACTCTCACGCATCTCGGAGCCGACCAGCTAAAGAGGTAGTAGATGAGTTTGTTTTCACGGCGACCCGGTTTCGAATGTCTCTACAGTAACCTACTGCATCCTCAAACCCGGGGATTTTTCGGCTTTGGGGCTTCTCCTTCAAGTGCGCGTCACCGTTCTAACAGTGACCACACTTCCAGTGGAACCAAGTAGAACAATATCGTGAGAGGAAGTCTTCTTTTTGGCCTTCATGCCTTTCGGCATCTTGACTGCCTCCTCCCGCCTTACCGCCATGACCCACTAACAGTCCGTCGATAGCCGCCCGGTCCGATATAACTCTCACGCATCTCGGAGCCGACCAGCTAAAGAGGTAGTAGATGAGTTTGTTTTTCACGGCGACCCGGTTTCGAATGTCTCTACAGTAACCTACTGCATCCTCAAACCCGGGGATTTTTCGGCTTTGGGGCTTCTCCTTCAAGTGCGCGTCACCGTTCTAACAGTGACCACACTTCCAGTGGAATCAAGTAGAACAATATCGTGAGAGGAAGTCTTCTTTTGGCCTTCATGCCTTTCGGCATCTTGACTGCCTCCTCCCGCCTTACCGCCATGACCCACTAACAGTCCGTCGATAGCCGCCCGGTCCGATATAACTCTCACGCATCTCGGAGCCGACCAGCTAAAGAGGTAGTAGATGAGTTTGTTTTCACGGCGACCCGGTTTCGAATGTCTCTACAGTAACCTACTGCATCCTCAAACCCGGGGATTTTCGGCTTTGGGGCTTCTCCTTCAAGTGCGCGTCACCGTTCTAACAGTGACCACACTTCCAGTGGAACCAAGTAGAACAATATCGTGAGAGGAAGTCTTCTTTTGGCCTTCATGCCTTTCGGCATCTTGACTGCCTCCTCCCGCCTTACCGCCATGACCCACTAACAGTCCGTCGATAGCCGCCCGGTCCGATATAACTCTCACGCATCTCGGAGCCGACCAGCTAAAGAGGTAGTAGATGAGTTTGTTTTCACGGCGACCCGGTTTCGAATGTCTCTACAGTAACCTACTGCATCCTCAAACCCGGGGATTTTCGGCTTTGGGGCTTCTCCTTCAAGTGCGCGTCACCGTTCTAACAGTGACCACACTTCCAGTGGAATCAAGTAGAACAATATCGTGAGAGGAAGTCTTCTTTTTGGCCTTCATGCCTTTCGGCATCTTGACTGCCTCCTCCCGCCTTACCGCCATGACCCACTAACAGTCCGTCGATAGCCGCCCGGTCCGATATAACTCTCACGCATCTCGGAGCCGACCAGCTAAAGAGGTAGTAGATGGGTTTGTTTTTCACGGCGACCCGGTTTCGAATGTCTCTACAGTAACCTACTGCATCCTCAAACCCGGGGATTTTCGGCTTTGGGGCTTCTCCTTCAAGTGCGCGTCACCGTTCTAACAGTGACCACACTTCCAGTGGAACCAAGTAGAACAATATCGTGAGAGGAAGTCTTCTTTTTGGCCTTCATGCCTTTCGGCATCTTGACTGCCTCCTCCCGCCTTACCGCCATGACCCACTAACAGTCCGTCGATAGCCGCCCGGTCCGATATAACTCTCACGCATCTCGGAGCCGACCAGCTAAAGAGGTAGTAGATGAGTTTGTTTTCACGGCGACCCGGTTTCGAATGTCTCTACAGTAACCTACTGCATCCTCAAACCCGGGGATTTTTCGGCTTTGGGGCTTCTCCTTCAAGTGCGCGTCACCGTTCTAACAGTGACCACACTTCCAGTGGAACCAAGTAGAACAATATCGTGAGAGGAAGTCTTCTTTTTGGCCTTCATGCCTTTCGGCATCTTGACTGCCTCCTCCCGCCTTACCGCCATGACCCACTAACAGTCCGTCGATAGCCGCCCGGTCCGATATAACTCTCACGCATCTCGGAGCCGACCAGCTAAAGAGGTAGTAGATGAGTTTGTTTTCACGGCGACCCGGTTTCGAATGTCTCTACAGTAACCTACTGCATCCTCAAACCCGGGGATTTTTCGGCTTTGGGGCTTCTCCTTCAAGTGCGCGTCACCGTTCTAACAGTGACCACACTTCCAGTGGAACCAAGTAGAACAATATCGTGAGAGGAAGTCTTCTTTTGGCCTTCATGCCTTTCGGCATCTTGACTGCCTCCTCCCGCCTTACCGCCATGACCCACTAACAGTCCGTCGATAGCCGCCCGGTCCGATATAACTCTCACGCATCTCGGAGCCGACCAGCTAAAGAGGTAGTAGATGGGTTTGTTTTCACGGCGACCCGGTTTCGAATGTCTCTACAGTAACCTACTGCATCCTCAAACCCGGGGATTTTCGGCTTTGGGGCTTCTCCTTCAAGTGCGCGTCACCGTTCTAACAGTGAGATCACGCTTCTCACCGACCACTCCTCAATCATCTCGCCTGCTGCCGTTTCCTCTTACCGATCCATCTCCTCCATCTCCTTTTGGTCGTTCACAGCAAATCGACAATCCCCCTAATAAGACATCTGTTGTGTACGTTCCGTACACACAAACATTCTTACTTTTCTTCTTCTCTTCCCGGGCTCTGCGCCTCCGTGCGCACACACTCTCTCTCAGTGTCGCAAACACCTGAGTTTACGACACTGGACTTTTTTCTCGCCCTCGCTTCTCCGAAGCTCGTTGTCTGTTTTCTACTATTCTTCTCTACTGCTGGTTATTCAAGTATATAAAGTGTATCTCAATTACACCCGCTTCCGCTCGTCCATCATCATCGGGTTTTTAACCCACAAGACCTATCAACTGGCGATCAGGATCACGGATTTCGGCAAGCAAATCGGTAAAAACTTCGTTTTTACGACTCAGTAGAGGCCGGCTCGGATCAAGCCGCGATGGAAAACTTAAATCCTGACGGGTTCGCTCGTCTCTCTGCTGAGATTGCTCGCGCCGTCGCGGAAGCTGTCAGAGAAGCGATGACTCCACAAGCTCAGCCAAATCAGCCGCCGCCGGAGGAGGACAAGTCGGTGAACAGGTCACGCATCATCGACTCACTATCCGCACGTCTCTCGATGTTCAAATACGATCCGGAGGAGGAAATGACGTTCGAAAACTGGTACGTCCGCTACGAGAAGCTCATCGACGAAGAGGGCGGGATCCTGGAAGACAAGGCGAAGGCCCGCCTCATTCTCGCGAAGCTGAACGCCCGGGAGTACGCGCTGTTCGCAAATCGACTTCTGCCGAAATTCCCGGACAGTCTGACGTTCGATGAATTGATTCCAAAGCTGAAAGAGACGTTCAAGTCGACGTCGTCGGAGTTTCGCCGCCGCTACGACTTCCTGCAAGCCTCATACAATGGAGGAGCTCTCGAGGAGTATACGGGAACCATTCTCCGCCGTTTCACCACTTCAAAGTGGAACGACATGACGGACGATCAGGTCTGCTGCCTGATCTGGATCGTCGGTCTGCGAGACGGTTCGTTCGCCGACATTCGAACGAAGGCACTGCAGCTACTGGAGAGCAAGCCGGATACGACTCTTCTGGAACTGGAGGCGAAGATCAAGCGACTTCTGGAGATTCGAGACGATTCGCAACGACTCGGAGCGTCGAAAGGAAAGCCGGAAATCAACGCCATCAAGGCAAGGAAGGCAAGTACTTCCCAGAAAACCGCACCATCGCCATGTCCGAAGTGTGGCGGAGAGCACTGGGCTCGAGACTGCAAGCTCGAGAACGTCACCTGCAACGTCTGCGGGAAGGACGGCCACATCGCAAAGTTTTGTTTCAAAAACAAACCGCCGGCCAAGAAATCGACGAAGAAGTTCCAGAAGAAGAAGGTGAACGCCGTGGCAGTCGCGCAACTTGCCCCGACGCGGCAGAGGATCTACCTCAACGTTCCGATCAACGGCACCAACGTCAAAATGCAGCTTGACACCGGATCCGACGTCACCGTACTCAACATACGGGACTGGAGGAAGATTGGAACGCCGCCGCTCACCAAGTCGACCGAGAAGCTCCTGTCTGCGTGCGGATCCGAGATTCGCACAAAAGGAGAGTTCCGCTGCCAGTTCAAACTGCACGGAAGGGAGTACGAGGGCTCCGCCCACGTTGCCGAGACAGCTACACTTCTTGGCATGGATTGGATGTCCCTCAACTCGGCGCTGCTGCACTCGCTGATCGATTCGCCGGACACTCGCGTCAACAGTGTCCAGGTGACCAACAAGAAGGCGCCGCTCAACATGTGCCGCGAGGAACTGCTCAAGAAGTTGAAGAAGAGTCATCCAAACGTCTTCACAACTGGATTGGGCACGTGCACCAAGGGCCGAGCGACTCTTCGACTGAAACCGGACGCGAGACCCGTCTTCCGAAAGGCTCGCCCGGTTCCGTACGCGAGACTACCCGCCATCACCAGGGAGATTGAACGGCTCGTCGCCAAACGAGTCCTGGCCCCAACGAACCATTCGGAATGGGCCGCTCCCATCGTCGTCGTCATGAAGAAGACTGGAGAAATCCGGCTCTGCGCCGATTTCTCGACCGGACTCAACGAGTGCCTCCAGCAACATCAGCATCCGTTGCCAACACTCGAAGACAGTTTCACAAAAACTGAACGGTGGATGTCTTTTTCACGCAAATCGATCTGGCGGAGGCGTACCTGCAAGTGGAAACCGACGCCAAGTCGGCCGAGTTGCTCTGCGTCAACACACATCTTGGACTCTTCCGCTACCAACGCCTTCCCTTCGGAGTGAAAAACTGCGCCGGCGATCTTCCAACAGATCATGGATTCACTCGTAGCTGGAATGGAAGGGACGACGGTATACCTCGACGATCTTATGATCTGCGGAAGGACGGTTGAGGAGCACAACCAACGCGTCGCCGCCGTGTTCGCCCAGCTGGATGAGTACGGGTTCCGCATCAAACCGGAGAAATGCCATTTTCTCATGCCCAGAATCAACTTCTTGGGTTTCCAAATCGACGCAGAGGGACGCCGCCCGGATCCAGCCAAGATCCAAGCGATCATCGACATGCCGCCACCGAAGAACGTGACGGAAGTGCGAGCGTTCCTGGGAATGATCCAGTTCTACGGATCTGTCGTGCCAGCTCTTCACTCTCATCGCCGACCGATCGACGCTCTCACCAAGAAAGACGTCAAGTTCGAGTGGAATGCCTCCTGTCAAAAGGCATTCGAAGCCGTCAAGCGGATTCTGAATTCCGGTCTTCTGCTCACTCACTACGACCCGAGTCTACCGATAATCGTTGCTGCCGACGCCTCGCAATACGGCATCGGTGGCGTGATTTCCCACCGTTGGCCAAACGGAACGGAAAAGGCGATCTTCCACTTCAGTCGTGCTCTGACGGACACCCAACAACGGTATAGTCAGATCGAGAAGGAAGGGCTCGCTCTCGTCACCGCCGTGACGAAATTCCATCGATACCTGCATGGCCGTCGATTCACGCTTCGTACGGATCACAAACCGCTGCTCAACATCTTCGGAGGATCCAAAGGAGTACCGATTTACACTGCAAATCGACTCCAGCGATGGGCCACTATTCTTCTTAACTACGATTTCGACATTTCGTACGTCAAAACGGAAGATTTTGGCCAAGCCGATGCTCTGTCTCGCCTCATCGATCAGCAGGCCCGCCAAGCCGAAGAAAACGAGGTGATCATCGCTCAAATTGAAGTTCAAGCTTCGCCGGAACTCGACAGCCAATGCCACCAACTCCCCGTCACAGCCGCAATGATCCGTAAACACTCAAAAACGGACCATCTCATCCAAAGAGCCATGGCGTGTGCCGAACGAGGAGACTGGCCGAAGAATCTCGAAAAGGAGCCGGCGCTTCAGCAATTTTCGAGACGTCGCCAACAGCTGTCGATCGTCGAAGGCTGTCTGATGATGGCTCATCGTGTCGTCGTTCCGGAACGTCTCCGACAACGTGTGCTCGGTGCGCTGCACAAGGCACACCCGGGAATCGTCCGAATGAAGGCGCTCGCGCGCAGTTTCGTCTTTTGGCCGGGAATCGACAAGGATATCGAGCAGATTGTGCAAAGCTGTGACAACTGCGCTGCCGCTGCAAAGAATCCGATCAAAAACGTGCTCTACTCGTGGCCAAAATCGTCTGCTCCGTGGACACGCGTGCACGCAGATTACGCCGGTCCAATCGACGGAATCTACTACTTGGTGGTGGTGGATTCGTTCTCCAAATGGCCCGAAGTGATGGCGACCAAATCGATCACATCGACGGCAACCATCATGCCCTTCGGGAGGATTTTCGCGCAGTTCGGAAATCCCGAGACGCTGGTGACGGACAATGGAACACAATTCTCCGCGCAGCTGTTCCAGTCTTTCTGCGAGGAACGTGGAATCAACCATCTCTTCTCGCCGCCCTATCACCCGCAGTCTAACGGCCAGGCCGAAAGGTTTGTCGATACGTTCAAGAGAACAATGAAGAAACTACAAGGGGAGTCGGAAGGGGACGACGCTCTCAACGTCTTCTTACAAATCTACCGATCGACTCCGTGTGCAGCCGCACCGCAACAGAAGTCGCCCGCCGAAGGCTTCCTCGGTCGACCGATACGCACGCCACTTCAGCTGCTCCTGCCCACGAAGAGATCCGCGGATTCTGACAGGAATCGTGACATGGAACGACAATTCAATGTTCATCACGGAGCTCGCCGACAGGATTACCGACCGCATCAAGCAATCTACTCAAGGGACTTCCGCAATCCGGCCAGACCAACTTGGAGTGCCGGGATTGTGATCAAGAAGCTCGGGAACACCGTCTACGAGGTAGAAGTAGACGGATTCCGCTGGAAGAGACACGCGAACCATCTGAAGCCGAGGATTCGACGTCAACCGCTGGAGGAGCTGATCGACACGTTCGGATTGGGACAATCGAAGGATTCAACGGCGCCGAGGGATATGGACGACACGAAGGATGTGACGGACATGGACAACTCGGAGAATCTGGATCGGGACGACGCGATGGATACGGACGGTTCGGACGACCCGAAGGAGGATCGAAGGGATGCCGAGGAGTCACAGGACGCTGAGGATACCGAGGATCCGACGGACGGCCCTGGATCGGATGCCGTCTCACCTGCTCAATCGCCGCAGCCTCTCCGACGTTCAACCAGGAATAGGATCGCCGCAAAGCGATTCGAGATGAACCCGTCGAAACAAAGTTACCATTGATAACTAGGCTTCTACCCCCGCTTATTTTCATTTTACCCGGGGGAGATGTTGTGTACGTTCCGTACACACAAACATTCTTACTTTTCTTCTTCTCTTCCCGGGCTCTGCGCCTCCGTGCGCACACACTCTCTCTCAGTGTCGCAAACACCTGAGTTTACGACACTGGACTTTTTTCTCGCCCTCGCTTCTCCGAAGCTCGTTGTCTGTTTTCTACTATTCTTCTCTACTGCTGGTTATTCAAGTATATAAAGTGTATCTCAATTACACCCGCTTCCGCTCGTCCATCATCATCGGGTTTTTAACCCACAAGACCTATCAACATCGAAAGAGCCGTTCTAACAACTGATTTGCTCACCTTCCTCTCCGGTCACATTTGTCGAAACTGATTCTAATCGGAAAAGTCTCTTTTTCCCTTCCCTAATGACCTTTCTCCATGTCAGTCCACGATGAATTTTCATCCTTTTCTGCAAAAAACGCTCTATTTTTCTACATGTGTTCGTTCATTGGAACTTCAGTATTTTCAACAAAAATTAGTTTTCTCACTTATGTAAAACGTGACATGTGAGGTCAAAAGGCGGCCGAGCTCCTAAGGACGCAAATATAGTTTTACGTGTCATTTTCACGAGGATCGCCCATCTAACTCCGCACGTTGCCGTCGTCCGATATGAGCTCAGAGGCTTCCGAACAAGAGACGTTCACAAGGATCTGTTTGCTAGGAACTGGATCGTTTGGAAATGTTTTAAAAGTTAAAAGCTCTAAAACGAATGAAGTGGTGGCCGTCAAAGTGTTCAACAGGACAACAACGAAAAGGGAGAGTGCGATGAGGGAGTTCAAAACGATGCGCCGATTGACGCATGTCAACGTTGTTTCAGCGCTAAAGTTCTATGAGGTACGATTTGCAGTAGTCTGAATTGCCAGCCTTGGATAAGATGAATAAAAACGTTTATCTTTATAGGGCAAAGATAAGTTCTACTTGTTGATGGAACTTTGTGAGCACAATTCCCTGAAAGAGCTGATGACTGTGCGGCTTACGTTCACGGATACCGAAGCCAAATTTTTTATGAGGGACGTCCTGAATGGATTGATTTATTTGCATGCGGAAGGAGTCGTGCATCGAGACGTGAAATTAGCAAACCTTCTCCTCGACCTCCACCTGAATGTAAAATCTCCTTCTTCGTCAGGAACACAGAACGTTGTATAAGTTTCCCTTTTCAATATTCATTCCCACTTCCGAATGTTTATATTTCCCCACTGCAATTCTCTCTTCAGAAACTCTACCGAAAATGGATTCGGAATAGCAGTTTGCCTTTTCTCACCTCTTCAAATTATTTTTTATGTTCTCACCAGTAGTGTCATTACTTGTTTTTTGTTCTCTGCGCGTTTTCTAACTTCTTTTTTAGTCATCCCTTCGGTTGTTACTTGCTTCTATTCAATCTGGAAATTTCGCAACCGTTTTTCTCAAACGGTTGCCAAATGTCTATCAATACCCCTTATTTTCTCCACTCCCCCGGTCTCCCTTTACTTGTGTGCACCCAATCATTGCATTTCTGTATCATTGCATTACTCCGGTGCTTGGTTCTTGTTTTTCCCTCTTCTCCATCATTTCCATCCTCCTAGTGAACCAATTCCCCTCTAAACTGTCGCTTTTCATCTGTTGAATTTCATAAATGTTCGATGACCGAATTCGAGCAGTTCAACGTTCAGTTCTGCAAGTTTACCGACAGATATTGGAGGGAGATATTAAGAAGACTCTCGTTCCGAAACCATTTTCCTCGCGAAAATGCCAAGAGATGCGTTACTTGCCGGATCGTCTCACCAATTCTCCGGATGTCGAGCTCACTTTCAAAGGCCAAAGGATCACCTTCGAATTACAGCTGCTGACAGGTCATGATGATTCGAAGGAGGGAGCGAACAGAATGGGTGCTTTCGAATAAAAACAAGACATTTCATCTAATTACAATAAAACTGTGCGAATTTGCTATAACGGGGGGAGGGTGTACTGAGAACTTGAAAAGGGACGGAAATGAGAAGAGGGGGAGAAGAGGTGACTAATCAAAAACAATTGGATTCTCGGAATAGCAACTGTTCAGAGTTACTTTGGTCCGAGCATGTTCTCTGGCTTCACCCATTGGGCAAACTGCTCCTCGTTGAGGATTCCGAGCTTGACGGCCTCCTGGACAAGAGTCGTTCCGTTCTTGTGAGCCGTCTTGGCGATCTTCGCGGCATTGTCGTATCCGATGTGTGGGTTGAGAGCGGTGACGAGCATCAGCGACTCACGCATGATCTAGAAGAAAACTTTCAATTGAGTTTTGTGGATTGCTTGTATACCTTGGCGATGTTGTCCTTGTTGGCGATGATTCCGTCGACGCAGTGGTCAGTGAAGCTGACGGCGGAGTCAGCGAGCAGACGGGTGGATTGGAGCACGTTGCGGACGATGAGTGGCTTGAAGACGTTCAATTCGAAGTGTCCGTTGGATCCTCCGACCGACACGGCCACCTGATTTCCCATAACTTGAGCGGCAACCATCGTGATGGCTTCGCACTGAGTCGGGTTCACTTTTCCTGGCATAATCGAACTTCCTGGCTCGTTCTCCGGGAGGGAAAGCTCTCCGAGTCCACAGCGTGGTCCAGATCCGAGGAATCTGATGTCGTTTCCGATCTTCATGAAAGAGACGGCGACAGTGTTGAGGGCTCCGTGCACTTCAACGAGAGCGTCGTGGGCGGCAAGAGCCTCGAACTTGTTGGGAGCGGTGACAAACGGAAGTCCGGTGAGGTCGGAAACGGTGGCGGCGACCTTCTCGGCGAATCCCTTGCGGGTGTTGAGTCCGGTTCCGACGGCGGTTCCTCCGGCGGCCAATTGGTAGAGACGGGGAAGAGTGGACTCGACACGAAAGATCGAGTTGTCGAGCTGCTGCACGTAGGCGGAGAACTCCTGTCCGAGAGTGAGTGGCACGGCGTCCTGGGTGTGCGTACGTCCGATCTTAATTATGTCCTTGAACTCCTCGGCCTTATTGTGAAGAGCAGTGCGGAGCTTGTGGAGAGCCGGAAGGAGGCGGGAGTTGACTTCGCGTCCGACGGCGATGTGCATGGCAGTTGGGAACGTGTCGTTCGAGGACTGCGACATGTTCACGTGGTCATTCGGATGCACTGGCTTCTTTGATCCGAGCTCTCCTCCAAGGATTTCGATGGCGCTGGAAAAATGCAGAATGAGGCGAGATGCGGAAGCGAAAATCGCACCGGTTGGAGATAACCTCGTTAACGTTCATGTTCGACTGGGTTCCAGATCCAGTTTGCCAGGTGACAAGTGGGAAGTGATCGTCGAGCTTTCCAGAGATGACCTCATCTGAAAACACCGTTTCGCTTCACAAATGAACGAATTTTACTCACCAGCGGCCTGAGAAATAGCCTCAGCCAGCTTCTTGTCGAGTCCAAACTCGGTGTTGACGAGCGCGGCGGCCTTCTTGAGGATTCCGAAAGCGTGGATCACCGGGATCGGCATACGCTCTTCCGGTCCTCCAATCTTGAAGTTCATCTGCGAACGGGCGGTCTGAGCACCATAGTAGCGGTCGGCCGGCACTTCGAGCTCACCGAAGGTGTCGCGTTCAACACGAATCTGAAATGAGAGAGGGGATTACCTCGGATTTGATCAGTTGGATTAAAATAAATACATTCGACCGATGGAATGTATGAATTGCATCATGTTTTTTTTTTAACTGCTGAAACTCACTCATCTAGCGAGAAATAGCGGAAATAGCGCTTGAGGATTTCAACTACAAAAGCTCATTTTAGAATTTTAGAATTCTCGAAAATTTCAGAATCTTTGAACGTCTTCCATGATGATTAGTGGTCTTTTCTCTCCCAATTTCAAAATTTTCATGTTTTCACACTCACCTTAGCCATCGGAACAAACGTGCGCGAAAAGTGGCGGGCAGCAGTTAGGGACGCTCCTCTGGCAATGACGGCGCCTCCTCGAGCGAGCATTCTGCAAAAACGGAGAAGAGTTTTAGAGAAGCAGACGTCCGACGAGACAGTGTGGGGACCGGGGAGGGCGCAGAGAGGGCAGTCTCACGTTACCACGCCGAAACGTGAGGGACGCGAGAGTTTCGAAGGTCAATGAAACGGAACGAGGAAAATAAATAATTTGATGATCGATGATGTTTAGTTTTGGAATGTTTCCCACCTGGTGACTGTGTTTAAATGGCAGTGAGGGATCTGAAGGGAATTTTCAAGTGAAATAAGATCTTGGCTTCGAAAAACCAATTGTTAGATAGAAACTTCGAACATTCAGAGAAAAAGCAGCCTTTAGTGAGAATATTATGACGGAGCGGGAAGAATGCAGTGAAAATGAAGGAATGCATGGCAATGTGACCGAGAATAAAGCAATAAATATGTGTAGTAAATAAATACATTTGAAATTCTACAATAAATATAACTCTAATAATATTAACTGAGCTACATGGTAGCTGCAAAGTAGGTTATTAGCGTCTGAACACTGGCCATGACGTTGTTGAGGTGTTTGATGACTTCGTCGAGGTGCGGCAGTTGGCACTCGGCCATGAAAACGGACAATCCCTGCGGATGGACGGTCTTGGGGACCATTTGATAGGAAGCGCACACCTGAAAGCACAAATTTTAACGTGAAAAATAGAAGAGGTTTTACCAAGCGACAACTGGAAATGTAGAAGGAGATCAACTGGTCCTGTGGGAGCGGTGGGACGAATTTTCGAGTGGGAGGGAAGTAGCAGAGCTCCAGAAGACTCCTTTAAGGAATTTTTTGGGTATTCTTTTCCAATGCAGGAATAAATTATAGAAATTTAGTACAAACCTTTTCCTCGGCAGCATAATCGTATTACGTGCCAACGAAATCTCGTTCATCATTGCTCTCAGCTCTTCCAGCATTCGTTTTCCGGTCGCCAGTGTGAATTGATCCTTCTCGCCGCCTTCAGATCCTCCAAGCAGTTGTATTTCTTCCAGAAGGTCGCAGAGTGAGATTGTCACTCTCGAAATGTGATTTCCGACGTCTTGCAGCTGCTGCAGTTTCCATTGCACATCCGGCTGGGCCACGGCTCGGTAGTATCCGCCGCCGGCCTTCGGATACTTGACTGTGACTTCTGCTTGTATCACATTATCATCCAGAAGTGTCACCGCAGCTTTCAAATTGTCCGAATTGCCGGTCCTCGATACCAACTGGTATTTCTCCGTTTTTCCGTGGCAGTATGCGATTTTCAATCGCTCATCGCACTTTGCCGACAGATTCAGAAGGACACAACACGCCTTCAGGTGCTCCGTCGCCGCGTTGAGCGTTTGCTTCAGTTCTATCTTTTGAATCCAAAGATTCTCGTCAATTTTGTTCGTTTTGATCAAATCTATATCATCTGTAAAGAAAACGACAGTTTTACGGCAAGATAAAGCAATTTCGGTACCTTGCGGATTCGGAGAAGCTGGTCTTGGTGGATAGCTCGTCGTAATAGTTAGGTTTTCTGTCATTTTTAGTCTGAAACTGGCAGAACTTAATAGAAAAAAGGCCGGGCGGCGATTTTCCAATAGTGCGATGGAGCGCACTTGCACAACCTCCGAGCGACGTGATTTTCTCAATTTTTCGAGGAAAACCGAAGAAGCTAATTCCGAATTTCGCAAACAAGATTTTTTATGATTTTATAGAACAAATTAACATTCTCGAAGAGCATGCATGCTGTTGCAACAGAAACCAAAAATAGAATATTATCGAGTAAGATGTAATAATTTCATCACTTATCCCACGGCATTCTCTTTTTCACCGGTATCGTTTTTCTGTAATTCATCTCGAAGCGAGTTCCAAAGTGTAAATACACAAAAATCATCAAAAATCGACAGATATCTGCGATGAATCTCAATTGGAGCAAGTCCAAAATCGGAAGAATCGAGGCGCAATCCAACTTGAAAATTAAGTAAAAACAGCAGAAATCGACGATGCACTTCGCGAACTGAAACATTGCTTATGTTTTAGAAGATTCAGAAACTTGATTCACATTTGCTATGGTGATGAGAGCATTCAGTTGTTGGAGCCCGTTGTTAAACAGAAAATACATGTATAGCAGATGGTTTGTTACCAGAAAAGTGGCGGATGGAATGAAAACCAATCTGAAGTTAAAGGCAACATCTTCCTTGATATCTGAATTTTTGGAATGTTTCAAAGTTTCGGACACATTCCATACACAAAAAAGCAGCCTGCACACATAAGAAATGAAATCCACCGCTGAAAAATTCTAGAACGAACATACAAATAGCCATCAAGCTCCATGTTTTCTGAAAATGTTTGTTAAAATTCTAGACAGAATCATCTGAATCTCACTCGCGGAATACGTAGAAGCGGTGGCGGACAAGGATATTTTCTTTTGATTTTACTCGGTGTTCTCAGCATTTAGAATATTTTTTGCTTAATTTTCACGTTCCCATTCTGTCAAATTTGTGCCACGCGTCTGTTGAATTCGGACAACGGAGACGCGAGAAATTTCTTCAACATTTGAATCACGGCCATTTTCTTTGGCGCAATCGCTGACGGCGCCATCAGTCGTCTGGCGCGCAATTCAAATATTGTTTTTTATTTGTTTGTTTGCTTTTCAGCTCTTTTCCATATTCGTTTCAATTCGACAGTGAAAAAATACTTAGAAAATTATTTCAGCATGGGTCCACAAGTGGGAATTCGCCGTCGGCCGCTCGACTTGGATGCAATTTTCGGTCACACCATGATGAGTTTGACGGGGGAACCAGTCACTCCCACAAAAATTGCCATTTTCTACCTGATTCGCACACTTTTCCACACACACTTCGGAGTTCGAGCAGTTCCGAGCTTGAAACCGTTCAACGCAAAGGAAAAGCAAAAGTACGAATTTTCCCGCTAGCGGAGCTCTCCAAACTGCACATTTTCAGAGTCTTCACAATAGTATACGGTCTTATTTTTCTCAAATCGGAAATTTCATACGATGACTTTCGAAATTGCGTCAGAATTCTCCAAAATGAGCTCGGCCGTTCGATTTACTACACTTTTGTGTCACATATGGAGAAATTGGCACGCGGAGAGGAGGCACTTGACTTGCTTTTTGAGAATGCGTTCTACACGAACAGAAGGCCTTTGCACGAGAAAGTTTCAAAGGCGGATCCGGATCACGATGTGATTGACTTCATGAGCAACAAGTCCTATCTGTACATTTGGATTAAAAGAGTCATGATCCAATATTCACGGACTTCGCAAAGAGGTCAATTCGAGTATGTTCAGGACCTGCAGAAATGGCTGACTCTCGGAAATCAACCTGTTAGGCAAGTTCTTCTTCAGTTATCTGCCTATCCCTTTCATTCGTCCATTTCAGTCGATTCGGTCTCGACGTGGTCCTTCCGCTCGAGATCAACTGCTCCGTTCGGGCCCGCAGTTGGATCACTGTCCAGCTGAAACTCGTGCAGATGGCTCCGTCGAAGGCAATGCCTTATAATCAGTTGATCGATTGGTGCCGCCTGATTTTCAAACATCACCCGGACGTCTACAACGCCCATCTTCTGGAGTCCGTCGTCCGAATTCAACAGAAGAATTCTCCCGGCGCCATCAAGGCTCTCAAGCTGTTCTTCGAACTGAGCATGCTCCAATTGACACAGAACGCCGTCGTCGCATTGAGAACCGGCCGACTGACGGCTAGAACGAAGCTTTCCCTCAAATACGGGCCGATCTTACAGGGAAGAGTGCACAGACTGTTCGGGGATCACCAATTCGCTGGAATACTCTTCGGCGAGGCCATACAACAAGCCCAACTGGACTCGGATGACATGTGCAATCGTGTGGCCAATCTGGAATTGACGACCAACGAGATTCTGTTGAGCGGACCCATTCAGGAGAAACCGTACAAGAAACGTATTTACACCTAGGCTAAATGAATGAAACACGCTTCTCATTATTCAGAAGACGTGGAAGATGGTGCTGGTGACCGTAGAGTACTCCAACGGACAATCCACGTGGCCGCCGATTTGGACCGTCCGAATATTGAGTCAATGAAGGAAAATTTTGAAGAAGCGTACGAAATGCACACTTTCCAACTGTCGGTTTCCAAGTTACTGCTGGCAATTGAGGATATGATGAATGGGAAGTACTTGAAGTGCGTCGAAAGTTTGTCTGTACTCTTCAGAACTGATAATAAATGCTCAGATTTTATCGCACGGCGGACTATGTCTCCGTTGGTCTCCATCGCCTCCGTCTTCTCTTTGATAGCAACAACAAAGCGAGACAGATCGAGGATTACGCGACTGCCATCATGAGCAGCGGTCTGATCCAGAGCGGAATGTACAATCAGGCGAAACGAGTGACCCGAACGATGATGGTCAACAATGTCGAGGCGCCGTGCACTCCTCGTCTCGAAACCGAAGCGCACGCTGTCGGCGGAGTCAATTTCGTGTATTCTCTGGCCGCCGAGGGCGATTACGAAAAGGCGTTCAAGGTGCTTGCGAACCTCGAGCAGATCTTCCCCGATACTCTCAATTGGATGTGCGCTCGTCACGTCAGAATCTGCTCGGCCATCGTCAACTTTGAAAAAGATTTCCTCCTCCATCGATACGCTGCCTGCTTTTCCCATTTGACAAGTCTCGAAACGACGGCCCCGCTGGAATATACTCTTCGAAAGGCTTTACTGCTGTCTGCCACCGGAAAACAGGTCGAGGCGGCGCGGATTCTGAAGGAGTACAAGTGCGGAGGAGTGCGCGGGAAGTTCCGAATCCACATGCAACTGGCGACGATCCACACTGCTCACGGCCGGTTCGACACTTCCGTCGGGCATCTGGAGGAGGCCGCAAAGATCGCAGTGGGCACCTCGTTCCGGGATGCGAACATGCTCGTGACGCGGAGAGTCGGCAGTATGCTGCTCGCCAAGCGCGTTCCAATCGATGCATATCAGGCACTCGTAGTTCTGAATACCAAAGTGGAAAACTTTGGATCGTTCATCGAAAAGGCCATTTATTACGCACTTATGGCGAGAAGTCGACGCGAACTGGGCCGAGGTAATCAATGAAACATTCCTTCGGCTGTCTACGTCTCTTCTCTGTTTGCAGACCCCCGTTCCGAACTGAAAAAGTGTAAATCGCTCATTTCTGGAGGAAAATGGCCGGCGATGGAAAAACTCATTTTGACGGAGCTCGCGCACATCCACTCGCCCGAAGGACTGTTCCCCGATGAACAAAAGTTGGCGTGGGCGAAGGAGCGGTTCGGAAGGATCGAGACGGATTATCCCGGGCCTTGCACGTGGCTGTTCATCTGAATTTTTTGTTGATTTTGAATCCGTATCATTTGTTTTTTCTTCTATTTTGTCTCCTCTCAAGTAGTCAATACTTTCGTTGTCATTTTCTGTGATTCGATCTCTTTTCACGCAAATCACTGCGAAATGAACCACCGTTGCTATTTTTTCATTGAAACTAACTGGAAAACGTCCATTTCGTTTATATTTTATTTCTCTCCTTATCCATTTTCATGCTATTCATTTCAGATGAGCCGGATATTCAGAAGTGTTGTGCTGGCCAGACGCGCTGTTCACAAGGGCGCCGGTACACGGAAAACGCCTTTCGCGGGCGACGAAGTGCTCATTCCGGACCAGCCCTATAATAGCAAGGTGAGAAGGACCGATTTTCTGTGAATTCGATTCATTTTTGCAGATAGACGAGTCACTGCTGCCACGTGTTCCTCAGTTCGACGCCAAACTCATCGCCCATCTCGAACGACTTTCACTCGTTCGATTCGATTCCGAGCAAGCAGTTGCCAACCTCCGAAATTCTGTCCGAATGGCTCAGAGACTCGAATTGATTGATGTGCAGGTTGGTTCCTTCTCCGGAGCAAGACCCAATTCATTGCTTTCAGGACGTCGAGCCGATGCACACAGTTTGGGAAGAACAAGAATGCCCAGTGTTCGAGGATGAAGAGGGCGAACCGCTGCCGATCGAAGAAGTATTCCGGAATGCGGCAGTTCGATTCGACGATTACTTTGTCACTCCGCCTGGCAATGTTCCGCTGGAATCGGAAGACGGACGGTTCGATCTGAACGTCGTTAACGAATGGGACACGATCGGAAAGCCGGTGGCTCCGGAGGTGAAAAAGAGCAAGAGAGCAGAGGAAGCGAATAAATAGTTGTGTATTGATTGAATGTACACATAAATAAATTAAAAAAGAGTTCCTCTCTTTCGTTTCGTGTCCGGGGTGGCCGGGATGACAGAGGAAGGCGGCTCGGGGACTGCGAATTTGCCCGCCATTCCTTTGCGCTTCAGGGCGTCGTGCACGATTCTCGCGTTCATTGTGTACGATTCGGCGGTTTCTCTCTGAAAATGACTCACTTTCCCCTCTAAAATACCGGAGAACACTTACCGCTTCCATCTCCTCCTCTTCTTCTCCTTCCATCGTCGACACCGTCACACTTCCGATCTTTCCTTGATTCTTCACATTTCTCTTCATAATCACTTTTTTGGCTCTCTGCTCCTCGTTATTTCCACTGAATCCACCGACTTCTTTGGCGGAGAGCAACGCGTCGGCGAAGATGAAAATGCGAGAAAGGGCGGACGGATGCTGATAAAACAGCGGAACGGCGCACTTCTTGCACACTTTCCGGTACTGCTGCTCCAGTCCAATAGTTCTTTTGATGTACACGGTGTCGCCCTGCTTTGCGAACGTCTTCGCCGTCGTTCTCTCCGGAGCAATCACTCTCGCGCCGTCTCTCGCTCTTTTCGGCATCCGATTGATTAGAGTGTCACTGATCATCGCCATCTGGAAGACATTTTCAAGTTTTAAGAAGGGAAGGTCAAAATTCGAACCTCTCCACAGGTGCAGTAGTACGTGTAGAGCGGTTTGACAAAGTACTCCTCGCGGTCGTCGACGTCGATGATCGCTGCTTCTCCCTGAACGCCCCGGTCGTCTTCCACGTGCGCTATCTCCAATCCGTCCTCTTTGAGTACTCCCGACATTGCTTTCGAGCTGGAATTTAGAATTTCACACATGAAAAGAGAAAGCTGAATGTGAGATAAGTGCGGAAATTGAAAACCGATCGGCAAAAAATGGTGACGAAAACATTACAGCCACTTTATATTTTTAGAAAAAAAACAGAGGGACATTTAACAGGGTAAGACGAGTCATAATCATGGGGAGTAAATGTTAAAAGGGCCAAGAAAGAAAGGAAAAGTCAACAAATGGGAGAAGCAACAATGAATGTGGAAGAAAAATGGAAGATTGAACGAAATCAATAGAGATGTTCGGTGTTCGAGTTGCGAGGGACCTTGATCTTCTCGTAGTTCTTCATGATCATATCGTGGAGAGTCGAGAAGTGATTGCGCATTTCCAGAACCACCAGTCTGAAGGGAGACAAATAAATGAAACCGCAGATAATTTCCAATCGCACCTGATATTGATGAACTGCTTCTCGTCCATGTCGAGAATGGCGCGTCTGTAGTCGTCGACGTGCGGATACTTGGCGATCTTCGTTATGAGCTTCCCGCGAGTCGTGAAGTATCTGCTCATCTGATCGAGGAACGACGCCGCCTCACTCTCCACATTTCTCACTTCGGCCAGTGTCTCCTCCTGAATGCCGACTCCGAAGTTGTTGCCGTCTTCGATGCGAGGGATCAGAAGGGTGATCCACATCTTGATGGTGTTCGTCTGCTCGACAGCGTCACGGAGCTTCGGGCGGACTTCGTCCATCAGTTTGGCGAGGCTGTCATTGCACGGAACGGTCCCCGAGATGAATGCGTACACTGGTGGACCGCCGGATCCCTTCGACTCTGTAACTCCACTTGCGAGACGCTTCTTCTTCGTTGCTGGCTCATGTTCGGTCGATCCGTTCTGGAAAATAAGACTTTGAAAATATATATAATATTCGATCAGATGAGTAGGTCTTCGATAGTTTACCTCAACCTCTGGCACCGGGATGTTCATAGATTTATCGGGAAGAATCTCGGAGAGACGGTCGTACGAGAGCCGTGGGCTCTTGAGCAGGGCGTCGAATTCAATCACTTTTCTCGGGAATTCCTCTTTGATGAGTCGTTCTGCCTCGGCGAACAGCTTCTGCTTGTATTCGGCGAGCTCCTTGTTTTCCGGAATTGCTTGTCGTTTTGCCATCTGAATTTAATTTTAGGCTGTGTTAAATGAAAGAGAAAAAAAAATGAGAATTAGATAAGAATGGGTCGAAACCAGTGAAAAATGACAAAACATCGAAGGAGAATTGGTGAAAAATGAGATTTTTACAAATTGAGAAAGAAATGTACAAAAATACACGAAAATGAATCAATTTTTTTTACTATTTCCTGCAGTACGTGTCGATGATTGTCTCGTGGCACGGTCTCAAGTTCATATCGCAGGCTCCCAGTGCGTATTTCCCTTCCGACGGTTTGAAGTAATCTAGGCCACGCCCACTTTTCACTACCCATCCGTTATCGAAGCTGAGAAAATTAAAATTTATGAATACGGGCGAATGCGGGCTTACATGATTTCCCGATCGTGTAGGGACTTGCTAAACTCCACGTGAAGCACCACTACCCGCTTTTCAAGACTACTGCAACAAAAACTGTTATTTTTTACATCAAAGCTTGGAGAAACTAACGTGGAAATCTCGTTGAACGCGGCCTGATTGCTCTTCGCGTCCTCCCCAGTCTTCAGAGTTATCACCAGAAGATTCTTCGCGAACGGAACGATCAACTCGCAGAAGCGGACGAAATTCAGAAGTTGGTGATGGGCGACGATGTAGGCGTCTTGCACGTGGACCATTCTAAGATTGTCATCGCAACACCTTCGGAACAATTTGTCGTAGCCGTGGCCGGTGGAATTGGCGCCGATCCGGCGTTGATCAACAGACGTCTGGAATCGGGAAGATCAATAGCATACAAAATGAACATCTTCTGACAGACTGGACTTCACAAAAGGATAAAAAAACACCAGAAAAGTGAATTTCAAAAACTACCTCTCGACTCGTCTCATATTCCAATTGCGCTACTCGTTTGACATATGTGATGAACCTCGGCAGAATCGCTTTTCGTTTTCCGTCATTCAATGGCATCAAACTGACTATCATTTAATCAAAAACCGTACGAATCAGTGTCATTCTTACCGCATTGCCTGAGCCAGAACTTCTGTACCTTTCTTGTACTGGAACACCGCCAGACTCCATTCTTTTGCGTTATCGTGTTGCGCAGCTTTTTGAAGAATTGGAGCTGCTTGTCTTATGAGCTCTCCTGCCTTGTCGCTCATCGAGATGCTAGAAGAGAAGCAGACTATTTCGAAAAATACCGAAAGAAATACGAATAATGTGTGCGCAGCGCAAACGCGCTCTACCGCGAATTTCTCCGCGGCGGCAGTTTGAAAGGGGTTTTTTGGTTAGAGCCGGATGAATCGTGGAAGGCGCATCTCGAAGGAAAAATGATTAGTTTTCTAGAAAAGAACACGAGGTATGCGCTTGTTCTCAACAATCGAGTCACAATTAGAATATGTTCTCAAGTTTATCGTCAAAAGCGAAACGGCCGCCTTCTTCCTGGCAACATCGAAAGTAAGCCTACTTTTAGCGGCCCTGAACAAATACTTTTGTTTTGACCTTTCGAATGCGCTCGAGGCTTTCATCTTGTTCTTTTCGTTCACTCCCGCTGTTTTTTAGTCCTTTTGTTTTCAGGCCAAACGCTTTAAAAAAAATTTCCAGAGTATCCGATCATGTCGTCGCCTTCTCTCGATCGTTCGGATAATTCCGCGTTGAGATATCCACACCTTAGAGGTTTTCATCGACTTTTTAATGAAAATAAAAGTAAACCGGCTCTTTTTGCAGGAAAATTCGCATGTGCTTCATGCGGCCAAGAATTTGTGCACGCCGCTTCTCTCCGACGTCACCGAATCTCGCTGAAATGTTCCGAACAAACGTGTCAACTGTGTGATCAGCAAATCGAAAAACAAAGGGAAGCGGTGCACATTCACATGGTCGATAAGCACAACATTCCGCACGTCTTCTGCTGCTCGTGCTGCAATTGGGCGTTCGCCGAAAAGCGCCTGCTCAGTGCCCATCAAAAGTCAATGAGGACTTGCGGACTGCCCGGCGATGCGACGCCCGTCGCGAAGGGAACGAATCCACCCGGGTCGCTCTGGCAGGATGGTCCGCCGAAACCGTCGTCGCCGATTTGTAAAACTCCGAAAAGAAAGTCGTCGGTTAACTCCCTTTGCTCTTCAGTAAGATCTCACAACTTCTGCTCGTCAATTTCATAACATTTCTTTCAGAGCTTCTCGAGTCTCCAGTCGTCGCGCGCGTCTTCGTCCTCTCCGCCTCCACAACCTTCAATTCCTTCCGCTCCCGACCCGCCCGTCTCCATTTCCATTACCATTCCGTCGACGTATTCGCTCAGCTCGGCACTTGAATTAGCGCTCAAATCGTCGCCGTTTAAAGGAGACGAGATCACTGATCCCGAAAATTGGACTGCGATTGTGACGACGGCCATTTTGCTCGCGAAAGGACCCGAAGGCCTCAAAAAACTGGACACGGAATTGCTTTTTGAAGAGGACGAACAAAATAAAGTTTTATCCATTTAATTTAATTAACTCTTGTTAACAGCTGTTTCCCTCATTTTTCTGTCATAATCAAAATAACGCTGTTCGCATTATCTTTCTTTTTGATACCTCAACATTCATTGTACATGTGACTATAACAATTCCGGTAGTGTTTTATAAATAAGCTGTTCTGTCCTTCATGTTCATTTCATTTCTCAATCGAATGGCCGACTCCGGCGGTACCAGTCAAATGCGCGAAAAAGGGAAAAATGAGGGGGAAAACGGATTGAAAAGAGGCGGCGGCTCCGTTCGTTCCTCCGAGTTCTCCCTGAACTTCGCACTCGCGGAACCCTTTCGCGAACGGGTTCGACTCGATTTTCAGGCTCGTTATCTGGAAGAGAGAGTGAGCTGAAAGGGACTGAAAGTGGGCGAACCCGATGGTTCTGGTAGGCCGTCACTGCAATGAATTCGGTCTCGTCGAACGAGAAAGTGTGCCTCTTTTGAGCGTCCTCTTGTTCGATTACATGCACGCGGGGACGGTATTTGTGCATCGAATTGACTATTATCTGAAGAAAAAAACGTTCTGTTCATTTCAGCAGACAATAACGGCTAACAAGGGAATAATCTTAAGAAAAGTTGATCTTTCAGAACCGGACAAACATGACTTGAAAGTAATGTTCATGAGAAAAAATGAATCCCTTTGACTAAAATGTACCGAAAAATCGTTTTGGACGCTCCGAGGGTGAGTCTAACCCAGAATATGAATGAACAAAACGGTTGGAAATGAGGATTTGCTCTTTCCGTTTCAAATGCGTTTTCCTTTCGAAGCACGGAGTCATTTAGCAAAAAAATTGATGTTATTTTCGAAATCTTCATGAAAACAGCGTTTGCCTCGTGTAGTTCAGATCCCGTTTGGCCAACTTACTGCCTAGTTAAGAGAGTGCAAAGTTCAGTTCAAAAGGGGCATTTTAAATATTAAATTGTAAAATTCAACGTCGAACGTTCTCCAGTTGATCCAGAAATTGTTATGTGTAATCTTCATACGTTGTACTTTATTTTTGCTCGTGGAAGTTCAAGAAGCTACAGCTGTCTTTAGAGTGATCGTACAAAAATGTGATCAACTACAAAAGTAAAGTACAAGGTATTTGACACACTCAAAGTTTCCGACTGCAACCGAAAAACGAAATTCCAACTTAAGAAGGTCCCGCTTTCCCACTCACATGTCCATTATTGTCCAGCTGATTGTTCGTCAGCTTCATTTTGTCAAAACTGATCGGAGCCCTCATCCAGTGGGATCCTCTCGCCGGAGAGTCAGTGTGCACGAACATCCGGCTCGGCAGCTCACTTTCTCCTGAAACCAACTGGGGGGATTCTGCTTACGGCGGTCCCTTTGGCTCACCTGGTCCTGTGGAGATCCACTTGCTCTGATGGAATGAGTATCGGAATCGTTTCATTTCGATGCACTCCAAATCCACCATAACCACATAGCTTTTTACGGGATCCAGGCCGGTCATGAGGACCGAAAGGGTCGGAAACATTCGTCTGGAAGGGAGGAGGGTCACTGTAGCTGTAATCTCAACCGGCGGGTACGGTACCTTCCGCTCTTGGTCACAATCATTTCGGTTCCGAGCGAATGGAAACGTCTCCAGAGACTGCTGGATTGGAGGAAGACACGGATGATGTGACCGTCGGAAGACGTGCAAATCATGTCACGTCTTCTGGAGGGCCTTCTGGAGAGGATCGAATCGATGGAGAAGTCGCGGAGACGCCGATCCATTCTAGAAGCGGTAATTCAGAAGAAAGGGGAGAAGAAGAAGAAGAAGAAGGAGGAGAAGGAGGGGAAGAAGAAGCTCAAAGGGATTACGGTAATCCCCTCGAATCTCATCAAATGCTCTCCGCAGGACCTTCAGACCTTCGGAGTGATTCTCAAACGAGGCGCGACTCGCTTTTCTGTCGACATCGATCTGTCGATTTCCATATGTCTTCTGCTCGGATCTTCTCAAAAACTTCCTCGCCCAATCATCGTGCACATCTGGTTTCGTGGCTCTTCTCGTCCACACCCACTACTACCGTAATCCGTCGTCAATTTGTCATTTCTCGCCGAAAGACACGTGGCTTCTGCAATTTGATAGTGTTTTACGATCATTTTATGACGATTCGAGAGCGGCGATCGGGGCGAGGATTCCCTCAGAGACCGAAGGGAAAAGCAAGGCCACGGAGGGGTACGGTAACGGGACAAATTGAAACCTAGGCCACCGTGTTGGGAAGCTAGGCCACATTTGGAAGGCGAGCAAGTCTTGCTGAAAGTTAGGCCACGAAACCTGAAAACTTGGTCCGTCCATCAGTTTTGCTCTACAATTTTTTGTGATTGTACTGCCACGTGTCGTTGCCAATCAATCCTCAAACACATTGAGCGCCTTTTTCCCATCGCTCCAGATGTGTGCGCGCTCGCTCCGAAAATGATTTATCACCCATTTTCTATTGCTCCGCGGGAAACGACGACGACGACGACGCGCCGATATAATGAATCAGAAGCCGCCAGGAACATGTGTCAATTGGAGAGGCGAAACGAGCGAATTATGATATTGTCGAGAGCGGAGCTGGATAAATAAATACGATTTTATGTGGGCGGGGATGGGGAACAAGATGAACGCTTGATGATTGAAAACAGTTGCAACCAGCATAAATGGACTGCGGAAAATGATTAGAGAAATTGAATAAATTACAAAAAAAAATCAGATCATCGGTAGCTCCGTCGGTCTCTGTCTCGGTCACGATCTCTGTCTCGATCCCTGTCACGGTCCCGACGATCCCGGTCACGATCTCGATCTCTGGAACGGTCCCTGTCTCTCGATCGGTCGCGGCGACTGCGGTCACGATCGCGATCACGCGAACGGCTTCTGGAATGAATTCAACATGAAGAGTTAGAGAAGCTCTAACAACTACCTTTTCCTTTTCCTTTCTTTTTTCTCCTTCTTCTCGGGATTCACTTCCTCCGTCCTCAGAATGTATTCCACCTTCTCCATTTCCTTTCGTCTGAACTCATCGACCTTCCGCTTCGCATCTGGATCTCTGTCCGCTTCCAAATCGTCCAACATGGCTATCGCTCGGACCTCGACGTCTCTGATTAGCTTCCGACGTCGTTCGTCGTCCGCTCCGTACAACGAGGAATCCTTTATCTCTCCGGGAGACAGACCGTACTTTCCATCCTCTGAATCATTCGGTTGCGGGTCATCCGCAAGGATTTCAACGCCGTCAATGTCTTCGTCCGATCCGCTCGACCTCCGATTGTCGTCTTCCCATTTCGAGGAGAAGATCGGGGAGCTCGGGCGCTTCTCGACAGGTCTGAACTTGGGCGAAACGGCTGGTTGACTTCTGCTGGAAGTGCTCGGAATGGGGACTTCGTCCAACGGAATTCCGTCGATATCATAGTCTTCTTCGTCTCGTTGTCCTTTTGTTCCGACGACATCCAATGGAATCCCGTCCAAACCCTCGTCATCATCTTCGCTTTTCCTCTCGTCTGTCGCTTTCTTCTCCACTTCAATCAATCCCAAAAACACATTCTGATTATGAATGAGTTTATCCACTGGATACAGTGCCATTTCTTCAAAGTTCCGGAACACACACATTACTCTCTGCTTGAACTGCTCTTGTTTTATGCGGGATGGAATCGATCGGTACGTTTTGCCGATGGCGATGAAGATTCGCTCGAGAAGCGCTTCGAAATGAGAGCGGTAGAGGAAGACGTCACGGACCGTACGTTGCACGCAATTGGAGAGGATGTCGTTGATGAGGTAGAGTCTCGAGATCTTCTTAAAGAGCGGCGTCTCGTCGATGGTCAGACTCTCGTAGATGCACTCGGCGACCTCCGCAGCATACGACGCATTCTCAATGCACCAGACCATCGCCGCTCCGATTGACATCTTCTCCGGCGTTAGATCCCTAATTATCCCTTCCAGTTTATCTCTTCTCTTGCTCGACATCCTCGTCTTGCTCTTTTTCTTCTTCTCCTTCTCCATCTTCCTCTCCTCTTTCCGCTTCTTTCTCCGATCTTCGTCGTCTTCTTCGTCGTCGCTGACTGGCTTCTTCGGCAGCTTCTCACCGCCTCTTCTCTGTCCTCCATCTTTCACTTTCAACCATCTCTCTGGATAAATTTTCAGACAATTTAAGTTATACAGCTCTTTCGGCATGGAGTCTCGTAGTTCGGTTGCTGGGTAAGGGGGAATCCACCAAGATCCATTTTCGAACATTCTGAACGGAACCCTTCTCCATTCGGTCAGAGAGTCTCCTTGAAGCAACGAGAAGATACGCCATCGATAGTAAACGTGCAGAGCGTGCGTGTTGTCCCAAAGGAACTGGAACATTTGATTCGTGAATTCTCTCGCACAGATCTTCGCTTCGAACTGCGGTCCCTCGGAGACCACCGCCACCGCCGTCCGATCCATAATCTTGACCATCATCCGATCGGGCGGGATCACAACTCGAATGTGCGAATTCTTGATGAGCTCCGTGTAGTCGTCAAATCCATATTGTCCTTTCAACGGAATCGCGTGCAGCGGAGGGAACGATTTGTACTTTTCGATGAACTTTTGAGCTTGATCTCGATCCGGTTGGGCGTTGAACGGAAGTCCGGAGGGAGGATCCGGGTTCTGGAGGGCTTTGAGCGGAGGCGGAGTGTAGTAGGGCACTTGGGGTATCTGGACGGGACGGGCGAATGCGAAGCGGATCGGTTCGTTGCGGATGATTATCACTCGTACTTCTGCCATGAACCGCTCCACGTCAACGCGAGACCTGAATTCGGAAATGAAACGCATTTTTGAAGAACTGCACACTCACATAAATGCGACGAAAGCACAAATGTGCGGCCTCCGTTTCTCCTCTTCACTCCTCGGATACAAAATCTTTAGCGCCGCCAACGGACCGAACGAGCCGAAAGTGAACAGAAGATCTTCTTCAGTCACCTGAATGAGATTTTACGTTTTTTCTGAATCCTGTTATGATTAAGCTTACAGAATGCGGAATATTCGACACATAAACGTTTGTCGTGTAGGGATCGTCGTCGAATTCGCTCGTTCCCTGGAATCCACGCTCTACGGTCGGAGCCAACCGATCCACGACTGCTTGATCCATTCCAACCTTTTCAAGGTGTTGGCGCAGATCTTTCCGTTTATCACGTTCTTCTTGCACTCTGAGAAGCATCTGTTTAATCTCAGTCTAGAGCATCCTCAGCCCAATACCTTTGCAATTCCATTTTGAACTGCTCCATCTGACTGATCTTCGGCTTTTCCTGCTTCGCCTTTGAACTTCCCGGCTTCGGAGGTCTCTGCTGAGGCCTTGTAGTTGGGACGACAACCTTCGGAACGACTGCGATGTTCCTGCTCCGAGCCGCATCTTCCAACATTCGACGAGCCTGAATTTTAAACACAGAGTATTAACGTGGACTGAAATCAAGAAACTAACCTTTGCGGCAGCAAGTTTTTTAGCTTCATCAAAGTCTTTCGAGCCAATATTTGAAGTTTTCGACGGGATGGACATCGAGAACTTTGGGGCGTACACATTCCCTTCGCTTCCCGAATTCACTGAAAATACAGAACTTTCAGCTTTAATCCCTGATTGAGGCAAATTAAACTCACTCGATTTGTTGCCATCAACTACATTTCCTCTAAGAAAAGTCTTCGGCTGAGTCGACGATGACTGTTGTCCGAATTCAGCTTGAAACTCCAGAAGAGCATCATTCAATTTGGCCTCCTCGTCGTCAGTTGGCTGAAAAATCAATAGGTTTGAAACTTTTCCAATAATAAAAACTCACTTTCTTTCGTTTTTTTGACCACTCCATGCTCATGTTATGTCAAAATTCAAGCAATTAGAATGGCGGGCCCGGGCACGAGAAGAGCGTCATAGCAGCACGCGGACTGCGCCAGCAGTCGTTGACGTGATTTCCGACTTTGCGCTCAGCTAGCGGTTTTGGAGGCCCGGCGGACACCCGCCGGTTTTTGAAGCATCGTACTGCGCCTTGTTTAGCAAAAAGTGGCATTTGTTGGATTTTGACAGGGATTTCAATAAAAATCAAAGGAGAATTAATGTAAAAGAGCCTGAAAGCATAAAAATGAATGAATGGGATACAAGGTTTCTTCTTCAGAATCCCCATAAAATTTATTCAGCTTCTTCACGGCGAAATCTCTCGCAGTTTGAACATAGCACGGAACTGTCACCGGAGTGGTTGCTCTTCGAGCATCCGATGATGATATAGTTTAGCTATAATGGGCAAGGACTCTGAGAAGCCTGGAGAAGCGAATAGAACCATGCTCCAAGCAGCAGCAGCGCGTAGAACGCAGGGAGAGGACGGCGAAGTGGAAAGATCGCACGCCTGTGGTATCCGCTCGCGTGGAGTGCCTGCTCTTCGAGCATCCGATTATGATATAGTGGAATTCTTATGGGCGAGGACTCTGAGAAGCTTGGAGAAGAGAATAGAACCATACTGCAAGCAGCAGCAGCGCGCAGAAGGCAGGGAGAGGACGGCGAAGTGGAAAGATCGCACGCCTGTGGTATCCGCTCGCGTGGAGTGCCTGCTCTTCGAGCATCCGATTATGATATAGTGGAATTCTTATGGGCGAGGACTCTGAGAAGCTTGGAGAAGAGAATAGAACCATGCTGCAAGCAGCAGCAGCGCGCAGAAGGCAGGGAGAGGACGGCGAAGTGGAAAGATCGCACGCCTCAAGGTATCCGCTCGCGTGGAGTGCCTGCTCTTCGAGCATCCGATTATGATATAGTGGAATTCTGATGAGCGATGACTATGAGAAGCCTGGAGAAGAGAATAGAAGAATGATGGAAGCAGCAGCAGCGCGCAGAAGGCAGGGAGAGGACGGCGAAGTGGAAAGATCGCACGCCTCAAGGTATCCGCTCGCGTGGAGTGCCTGCTCTTCGAGCATCCGATTATGATATAGTGGAATTCTGATGAGCGATGACTATGAGAAGCCTGGAGAAGAGAATAGAAGAATGATGGAAGCAGCAGCAGCGCGCAGAAGGCAGGGAGAGGACGGCGAAGTGGAAAGATCGCACGCCTCAAGGTATCCGCTCGCGTGGAGTGCCTGCTCTTCGAGCATCCGATTATGATATAGTGGAATTCTGATGAGCGATGACTATGAGAAGCCTGGAGAAGAGAATAGAAGAATGATGGAAGCAGCAGCAGCGCGCAGAAGGCAGGGAGAGGACGGCGAAGTGGAAAGATCGCACGCCTCAAGGTATTCGCTCGCGTGGAGTGCCTGTTCTTCGAGCATCCGATTATGATATAGTGGAATTCTTATGGGCGAGGACTCTGAGAAGCTTGGAGAAGAGAATAGAAGAATGATGGAAGCAGCAGCAGCGCGCAGAAGGCAGGGAGAGGACGGCGAAGTGGAAAGATCGCACGCCTCAAGGTATCCGCTCGCGTGGAGTGCCTGCTCTTCGAGCATCCGATTATGATATAGTGGAATTCTGATGAGCGATGACTATGAGAAGCCTGGAGAAGAGAATAGAAGAATGATGGAAGCAGGAGAAGTGCGCAGAAGGCAGGGAGAGGACGGCGAAGTGGAAAGATCGCACGCCTGTGGCTCTTATCGCTTCCAGTGGCTGCTGCTTGCAACATGGTTCTATTCTCTTCTCCAAGCTTCTCAGAGTCCTCGCCTATCAGAATTCCACTATATCATAATGAGATGCTCGAAGAGCAGTCTCTCCAAGCGATGAGAGCCACAGGCGTGCGATCTTTCCTCTTCGCCGTCCTCTCCCTGCATTCTGCGCGCTGCTGCTGCTTGCAGCATGGTTCTATTCTCTTCTCTAGGCTTCTCAGAGTCCTCGTCCATCAGAATTCCACTATATCATAATCAGATGCTCGAAGAGCAGGCACTCCACGCGAGCGGATACCTTGAAGCGTGCGATCTTTCCACTTCGCCGTCCTCTCCCTGCCTTCTGCGCGCTGCTGCTGCTTGCAGCATGGTTCTATTCTCTTCTCCAAGCTTCTCAGAGTCCTCGCCCATAAGAATTCCACTATATCATAATCGGATGCTCGAAGAGCAGGCACTCCACGCGAGCGGATACCTTGAAGCGTGCGATCTTTCCTCTTCGCCGTCCTCTCCCTGCCTTCTGCGCGCTGCTGCTGCTTCCATCATTCTTCTATTCTCTTGTCCAGGCTTCTCAGAGTCCTCGCCCCTCAGAATTCCACTATATCATAATCGGATGCTCGAAGAGCAGGCACTCCACGCGAGCGGATACCTTGAAGCGTGCGATCTTTCCTCTTCGCCGTCCTCTCCCTGCCTTCTGCGCGCTGCTGCTGCTTCCATCATTCTTCTATTCTCTTGTCCAGGCTTCTCAGAGTCCTCGCCCCTCAGAATTCCACTATATCATAATCGGATGCTCGAAGAGCAGGCACTCCACGCGAGCGGATACCTTGAAGCGTGCGATCTTTCCTCTTCGCCGTCCTCTCCCTGCCTTCTGCGCGCTGCTGCTGCTTGCAGCATGGTTCTATTCTCTTCTCCAAGCTTCTCAGAGTCCTCGCCCATAAGAATTCCACTATATCATAATCGGATGCTCGAAGAGCAGGCACTCCACGCGAGCGGATACCACAGGCGTGCGATCTTTCCACTTCGCCGTCCTCTCCCTGCCTTCTGCGCGCTGCTGCTGCTTGCAGTATGGTTCTATTCTCTTCTCCAAGCTTCTCAGAGTCCTCGCCCATAAGAATTCCACTATATCATAATCGGATGCTCGAAGAGCAGGCACTCCACGCGAGCGGATACCACAGGCGTGCGATCTTTCCACTTCGCCGTCCTCTCCCTGCGTTCTACGCGCTGCTGCTGCTTGGAGCATGGTTCTATTCGCTTCTCCAGGCTTCTCAGAGTCCTTGCCCATTATAGCTAAACTATATCATCATCGGATGCTCGAAGAGCAACCACTCCGGTGACAGTTCCGTGCTATGTTCAAACTGCGAGAGATTTCGCCGTGAAGAAGCTGAATAAATTTTATGGGGATTCTGAAGAAGAAACCTTGTATCCCATTCATTCATTTTTATGCTTTCAGGCTCTTTTACATTAATTCTCCTTTGATTTTTATTGAAATCCCTGTCAAAATCCAACAAATGCCACTTTTTGCTAAACAAGGCGCAGTACGATGCTTCAAAAACCGGCGGGTGTCCGCCGGGCCTCCAAAACCGCTAGCTGACAAGGTTCATGTGTTGATGAAGAATTTCCGCATACACGATGAGGAACTTCAATTGGCAACTTTAATCCCTTCAAAAATCAACATTTCAAAACAATTTCGTCAAAAATACATGAAAAAAAAAGAAAAAAGAAAAAAAACAAAACGAGGGAGTCGAGCCCGTGACCACACTCCCCTCATCCCCACCGTTAACTCCTGCGCCACTCGGCGACATTTTCGTAAGGTGTTGCGGGCGGTGACAACCGTGGCGCATGGCGAGGGTGTGAGGGTGGGTCGCCGCGCCACCAAAATGCGAAATCTATGGTTAAGAAATATCAAACTTCGGACTGGAATTTCAGCATCTCAGAGGTCTCGTAAGCAGCTTTTGAAAACTGGAATATAGGTTTTGAAAGTCCCTTTTTCGAACTGTGTCGTTCGTTTGTGCTGGAGATAACACCCACTTAAAAGGTTCCCTTGTGAGCGCGGCAGTTTGAAAATGACACGCTTTGGCTCGGATGCGGCGCACAAACGACTGAAACATTATTTGACGCTTAATGTATAATAGTTCTCAGATAAAAACATAAAAACTGAAATTTCATCGGTTCTTTCAACTTCCAGTACGAAAAACCGCCTACAGGAGCGTGGGTCAAGAGCAGTTGCAAATTGATGTTTGCAAAACGACCTAATTAATGCAACAAACGGGCTGAAAAACTGAAAAACGAATGCGAGGACCACTTTAATTTCACACCAGATGAGCATTTGTTTTTCCTGAACATTGTGCTAATTGCAGTTGGCATCTTGTCTGAAAACAGTCAAACCCCTCATTTTCTACAGAACTCTCGCTTTTCAAATGCGTTTTCGGTCATTCCGTAAACGTTTCGCCAGGAACTTTTTTGTCGTTTCCCTCGGGACCACCTTCGGGCGGCTTTATGAATATTTTGATTTATGTCTTCTCGCGTGAGAGCTCGAAAAAAGATACCTCAGCTGACAGAAGAACACGCGGGTTTGTGAGCCTTTTGTGAGCCGATTTCTGTTTTCTGTTTTCTATTCTGTACTTCTTTTCGGATAGAAATCGAGTTGCCGCGTCAAAATGCGATTTCGAACAACAATAACCGAGTGCGAAGATTTCGTTTTTGCAAAGGCTTTTCACGGAAAAAAAGTCATTTTCGGTTTCAAAATCATAAACATTGAGCAAGAAACTGGTTTGTTTCGGTGCTAAAGGCGCATAGCTCTGTATGAAAACATTTGCTGGTACGTCGTTCGTGGTGAGACCGTGCCGTGGGGCGCGTTAGTTCGGGAAGAATCAGCTCACTATTGACATCATCGGAATGCCCCCTCAATTCAAAGGAATTCCCTCCGAGTGCAAACTTTTCGAAAAAGATGAGATTTGATGAGCGTTTCGATGCCCCGCGGCCTTCTTCTTCTTCTTCTCCTTCTCCTTTTTCTCTCTCGAAGGTGTTGGCCAGAAAACAGAGAATTTATGCACTCTCCGAGGGGACGGAAATACTCCCCTCTCAAGTATTTCTGGTTTGGACTTTCCTTCTTTTCCCATTTTTCTTTCCCCCATTTTTTCCGGGGCTTCTGTTCCCATTCCGTTGGGGATTATCTGGTGTGTGCCTTTTGGCATTGGCTCGTTTGCTGCCACGTCATGCTCATTTGTGGCCGTCTAATGTTATGGTGGAAAATGGGCATTTTGGTCTGGAACTGGTGGCCACCCGGGCCGAGGTCAAAGATTCCGTCTTATCAACTCGGCGCCGCACATCTTCCCGCCCATCTCGATCGTTTCTCTTCCGGAAACTTCGTGCACTTATCGTGCTCTAATCGGGCGCCCGAGAGTCAGCCACAGAGCCTAAATGTGCTCTTTTCCGCAAAACTCTCGACTAATAGGATAAAAGCCCCCGTTTCCTGCGGCTGACCGGAGAATCCCACGTTTTGTGCTCATTCGGCTGCCGGGTGCCAAAATGTATGTGCCGTCCGTCCATAAAAGAGCTCACGGAGCCCGCCGATAAACCTATCCCACTTCACTTTCACGCCTTCTTCCATCCATTTCTTTTTTTTCTCCGTCTCATTTGCAAAAACATGCTGTAATTACAGCTCGGCCTCGTTTCGCATCATTTCATCCTTTTTTCTCACTTAAGTTTTGTATTTTCTTTTGTATCTTTTCGGACAGAAGAATTATGGAAAACTGATTGAAAAAGCATAATCACTGACGGTACAAGCCGATTCGTCTGCCATGAAGTCTTCCTTGTTCGAACACAGCAGGGCGAATAGCGCAACCGTTTTGCTTTTGTGTATTGAATCAACGGTCACGGGTTCGGATCCGACTTAACGGATAGTTCTTTTGCGTAGGTAAAAATGACTTGTAAAACCCATTCACGTTACTTAAAATTTGAAACTTTTGGTAGGAAAGCTGAAAGTTCGCCGAAAAGAAATACGATATTCGGCTGGAGACGCAGAAGACGACGCAAAGTATCTTTTTACGGGGTCCGACCTCGAGCGACCAGAGGGGACGATTACGTCGTTTCGGCCTTCTGATTTGTTTGTTTCTTGTTTTATGGGCTTGTCGAGAGGAGAGCAAACGAGGGACTCTGAACCACAAAGGTTCGGGTTTCTTCTTCTTCTGGCAGGCACATCCGGTGCGACCAGGGCAGTTTAGTTTGGTACCCATAGGCTCAGAGATCGGATTGGAGACGTTACGCAAAGTCACAGACTCCGATTTGATTCTTGTGCCCTCACTATCAGACTACCGTAGTCCTTCCTCCTCACCTTTCCATCCATCTCATGAATATTCAATGGAATCCACCCCATCCCAAAGAACATTCCGGAGGTGAGCATTCCGCTGAAAGAATCCACCGAATCCCATGACTAACAGCTCAAGTTTCGCTTGTACTTCAGTCTGAAATGCTGAAAACAAAAAGCCGAAACGCGTTTTTGAGTCGACTTAGTACTCGACCTGAGCTTCGGAGAGCACAAAACAAGATGCTGTCGCCTCCAAAAACAGTGCTCAAATTTCCCAACGTGACATATCTTGCTTCTGCTGCTTCTCCATCTTCCGGAGCCCTTCCTTTCTAATCCTTTTCGGCCTGCTGTCCTTTCTCTTGTCTCGATGAGCCCGTGTGTGTGCGCTCCAAGTGCATTTCAACTCGAGCCAGTAATATGATTGAAATGCTCCCCCTTACTTTTCTTCTTTTTCTCCTCAAAACGAGGTGTCAAAATCGCGTTTAGGTCCATTGTGATGTCATTTCGGACGAATCTTTGGCCACTCACAACTGTTCGGTATATTGTGCAGTTCCAAAAGTTAGAACTGATAAAGTTTCAATTCAATTCTATCGTCATTTTGTCGAATTTTTGCATGTGTGTAGCTGAACATTTTTGAAACGCGGAACCTTGAAGCCATCTTGAAGACAATAAACTTGACGTTTTGCAAGTGAGACGTTTACGAGGCGATAAATTTTGAAACACATAATATCGTTCGGTTCCGCCAGACTTGTGCTGCAGCAATAGCTTCGAGAGTACAGCTTGCCAAAGTTCAAAGCTTTCGCGCCCGTCCATTTCCTCCTCTCGCCCACTAATCAGATTATGGACGAGTTGGAAGCCGAGGCCTGCAAAAGTCAGAAATCAAAAAGTTTGGGCTTCCAGAGATATCAATCTGAATCACACTTTCTTCTTCTTCTTCTTCTTCTTTTTCTTCTTCTTCTTTCATCGTTTTCTTCCTTTTCTTTCCTACCCCAATCAATCCATTGGCCATTTCATTATGAAACAACTGTCGTGTCTGCGTCTCTCACTCCCCCGCACTCTCTCGTTCTTTTGGATTTTCGACACTTGCCTCCCCGGATCATCTTTTCATTTTTCCATTGTTTTCTTTTTGAGTCTCTTGGTCATTCATTCAAACTCTCATCATAACTTTCGGTCTTTCTCTCTCTCTCTCTCTCTATTTCTCTTTCTCGTAAATGACTGATACAGTAATCCTTTTTGACGGCACTGGCCACGTCAGTTTGAGAAAGATGAAGATGAAGTGCTCGAGTATTCGTCAACGGAGATTAGTTTTCCCTTTTGTGTGTGCCACGTGGCAACATATCAGGTAGGGGGCGGCGGAATGGGGCGAAATTCTCTTGCGTGAGTCATGTGGTTTCGGTCTGTTTCGACGCCGTTTCTTTGATTGATAGTCGGAGGTTTGGTAGGAGCTCACTTGAGCCCCCGGACACCACAATTGCCACTTTGTTCCCTCTCGAATGATACGGATATTATATCACATTATCATTTCTAGGCAGTTGACTCAAGTTAAACTCTGACAAAAGTTTCATAGATGTTCCCAAATGCATACTGTTTCATGGGTAAACCAACTTTTGAAGACGTGTGCTGTCTAACGGAATCGCCCCTTTAAAACCCGAATACTTCCGAATCTTCAAGAGAAGATGTCTAGCTGAGGATCGAGTTAAGGCGAATCACTCTTGAACTTCTTCTTCTTCTTTTTCTTCTTCTTCTTTTTGCCGTAAACATTCTTCTTGCCTCCTTTCGGCACTCTCTCGGTTGCGACATCTGGTTGCGAAATGTCCATGTTATGGCGCTTCTCCTCAAATTGCAAGAGCCGTGCTTGTTGCTCGCCCCTCTTTACTCTTCCTCACGCGATGTGTTCCAGAACGTTCCAGACGAATATTGTTGGATTGAACCTGAAAACTGTCTGCAACGTCATCACCCTCAAGTGCTCTTCTTCTCCTTCTTCTTCTTCTTCTTCTTCTTCTCCCACTCCCTCATCATCATTTCCATTCTTGCTCGCATTCCGATTATAATACGTTTTCCCCTCAGCTGTTTGCGTGTCAAACAACTTGTTGTGCTCAGTGAGTTGGATCGGGATGAATGTGGAAATGAAAGGGAGAAGAAGGAAGAGATGAAGTAGATGAAGAAGCGTGAGAACGGGATGACGAACACTTTGAACAGAGGAAAAAACGAAGAAAGTGGTTCTGTTCCAACCAATAATCGCACAGTTCTCGAGCTACAGTAATCGCTTCATTTTACTTACCCTTTGACCGCCCACGTCATCACAATGATTTCTCATGAATATGCAATAATCGGAACTCTCTTCTTCTTCCTTCGTCGTCATCGGAATGAATTCTGCAAAACTTCTTCTTCTTCTCTTTCTTTTCACATGACCGCCGATCTTTCCGGTCACCACCTCAAGTGCATCTGAGCAAGGACGACGTCTTCTTCTTCTTCTTCTCCTTCTCCTTCTTCCAATTAAAATGTTCCCTCATTATTCATCCTCCCCCTTTTTCGCTCTTTCTCCTCGTCGTTTTGATCCGTCTCCCTTCTCTTCTCATCCTCATCATTTTTTGCGTATTCTAAACGCAAGAGTTTGCCTCAGAAGTCCAATAAAAGTGCCGCCAAATCAAGTCGAAGCAGATGGTCTAAGGTGAAATGCGACTTTTCCTCGCCCTCCAACTTATCGTACTCGCTTTTTCGTCAAATGTCACCGAGAAAAAGTGCTCCAGAAACAGGTAGAGAGGCGTCTGGAAGTCTATATTGTCGAGCTCACTTTTTTCCATTTTTTAGTATAAACCTTGGAAAGCTCATCGACACGCTGCTCACCGACTATGACACTCATCTGTTGCCAGAAGCTGAAGGCGTCAACGTCACCATTGAGCTTCATGTGCAGGTGAGTTCGTGGCCGGGGAAAGTTAGGCCACGCATGAAACTTTGAGTGTTTACTGTAGAAGAATTGGGCTCTGAATCTGAGTAATCAGGTTCCATAATAATAATAAACAGTTATTTCGAGAACTAAAAAAGATTGAGCAAACGTTTCAACTGCCAAAGCACACAATTTGCAACAAAACGATAATACTCGTGTCTCAGGGCGTCTCCGGGATCTCTGAGATAACAGGAGACTTCTCTCTGGACGTGATGTACAGTGAGATCTGGCAGGATCCGCGGCTTTCGTTCAAACATTTGAACGTGTGCGCCACCAATATCACTTTGAAGGTATCACCTGATCAGCGTCTATTTTCACTAACAAAAACTGTTTTAGTCTGACTTTCGCAAAAAAATTTGGACGCCCGACACGTGTATAATCAACTCGAAGTCCAGTTCGATTCACTCGTCGCCCAGTGAGAACACTTTTGTGATTCTCTACGAAAACGGATTGGTTTGGAGCAATTTCAGGTTTGTTTGTTGGATTTGCTCGCGGCGCCTCCGCCTATTAGTGCCCTTCATTAGTGCACTTTTTCGACCAAAACACAAATGTTTTTTGGGCTTTTCAGGTTGAATGTGAAGACGCCGTGCTCGGTGAATCTTAAGGTAAACCCGTCCGGCCCACTTGGATCTTCTAGACGATTCGCAACTTTCAGATGTTTCCGTTCGACTCTCTGTCCTGTGAAATCGTGCTCGAATCCTACTCGTTCAATACGGATGAAGTACGGTTAATGTGGCACGATGTTCCTATTACAATGATGGAAAAAGTGAGTGATTCTTTTCCTCAAATGAGTGGGTCTCGAGTCTCGACTTTAGGTGGAACTGCCGGATTTCGACTTGATCGGCTGGTCGACGGACCATCAGCGTCTCGAATATCCGAACGGAATCTGGGATCGGGCGAAGGTGAGTGGGCTACCGTACCCCTTTCCTACAGTACTCGACCTCCTTCCCGTAGGGTCATGCTCTAGTGTTTCAGAATAGGATCCAGGCCAAGACCGCGTTTGTAAGTGATTGTTTTCCTTGGTCAGCATGGGTTTATCTATCTCTTATTGACCTGCCCGCCGCAAAAGTAACTCACTTTCCTGAGATAGTATGGTATCCACTGATACCGTAACCGTTCCATTCCATCCCACTCTTCACAAGTTCATTCCTCGATTCTCTTCCGTTTCAGGTCAAATTCACATTTGCGCGTCGCTACGGTTTCTACCTGTTCCAATCGTATTTCCCCACTTCGCTGACCGTCATCTCCTCCTGGGTCGGCTTCTTCTTCGACGTCCGCAGCGTCTCCGCCCGCATCACTCTCGGCGTCTCCTCTCTTCTGGCGCTCACTTTCCAGTTCGGCAACGTTCTGAGACACTTGCCACGTGTCAGCTACATCAAATGTCTGGACGTCTGGATGATATTCTCCGTCATTTTCATCTTCTGCACTCTCGTCGAACTGGCGATTGTCTGCCAGCTGAACAGGTCTGTTTGATATGGCCATTGAAGTGGAATATTTGATTGTTTAGATGGGAAAGAGAGCGTCAAATCGGCTCGAAAGTGCTCGGTCACTGGCTGAATCAGATCCGGAAGACCAGGAAAAAGGAGTCAAAAGTGGACGAAGGCGGCGGATTACTGCGGAAAAGAGTGCCCGTTCTGGCCCAACTGAAGGCCGCCGCCGATCCGAATTCGGGCACAAACACCACAACGACGGCGATTCAGCCGGCCGCCAACTCGAGCGTCAACTCGGACGGCAACAAAACGCCCAACAACTTTACTTCTGTAAGAGAACAATTTCGAGAAAGGCTCTCTGAACGGCCACTTTCAGATCGAGCACGAGACGTTTGCGTACGAGAAAAAGAGCGGGTGGTCGGCGAGATTCCGACGATTCGTCTATGCAATTTGCCCGCCCGATCGGGATTGGACTATTACGAGTGTGCAGGTGAGCACTTTTGCGGATACTCACCTGAATCATAGCCGTTTTTTTGTGAAACCCCTCCGCGTTTCACCACAAAAAAATTTCCCTTAAAAATTAAAATTGTCGGGAGTGATCTCGAATCTTTTAACGACAAGAACTGATAACGTTTGGTGTCTAGATCCGCGTCATGCCGAATAAAATTTGCTTAAAATTTGTCAATTTTTGTGAACGTGTGTTTCTTTCCGTGAAAATTTTCATGTTTTCCTGATTTTGCAGGTGAATTTTAATTTTTCATGTAAGAAGGACTTTCGATGAAACGAAACGTTGTGAGACTCATCTTACACGCGAAAAAATATAAACGTTTTTCTTTTAAACTCATAAGACTCCGCATATTTTCACTACCGCGGATCGCTGACGTTCACCAGGTTATTTGAATCTGTAAGATCATAAAAAGGGACTCTCTGAGAAGCCACAAAAGTCCCTAAACCGTCCAATTAGGAGTTGATAAGAGTGTTGCGTGTAATCCAGTCCGTGTGCCCCGATGGCCGAGCGGTCCATGGCGTGAGTCTTATGAACTCATTCGGGTTATTCCGATCGCGGGTTCGAATCCCGCTCGGGGCAATGATCTTTTGTCCTTCTTCTTCTGCCCCATAACTCGATCAATATTTCAGGTGGACCGTTGCTCAATGATAATGTTTCCGCTCTCCTTCCTCATCTTCAATGTCGTGTAAGTTGCCCGGTCGGTTCCGTTTCCCTATTTGAATCTTTCAGATACTGGTCAATTTACTTCATGAAAATGGATCGTCCGATGTAGTTCTCTTCCAGTTTCTTGCCCATTCCCCGTCTTTTCCCCGCAATTCAACGAATTTCCGTTACAGTCTTTTTTCTGACCAATTTCTCTAGTCTACAGTATCCGGTGCCTCCTTGTCCCCCCACAACAAATCAGGGTAAAAAATAGTTCGCATTTTGCCTAACGTTTTTCTTGCTAACTTTTGTATTAATGACAATACTTTTTTAAATGAAATCACTCGGTTAAGTTGATAAATAACAAACAGAGAACAAGGAAACAATGCAAGATTTGACAACAACAAGAAAAACAATAATAGTTTAACAATTCAGAGGGCTACTGTCTCCAGAAGGCTCTTCGCCACTTCAGTCAGCTCCGTGAGCCGTTGAGCATCGTCTCCGGGCACTCGAGCGCCGGCTTCCTTGTCCAAACGCGTCAGAATGCCACGTAGCGAGAGACGCACTTTTGCGGATGCCTGGAATTAGGACTATGATAATTATAAAGAAGTTCTTCTGAAGTTCACCTCTTTGACGGACGTCTCCGAATTGATGAATCGTGCGAGTTTAAGACGATCTTCAGCCAACTGCATCGCCGTTTCGACCACATTCACAGCCAGATTCTCTTCCTTCGGCCACGTCAGTTTTCCGTTGGCGGCCGCAAGACTCTTCTCCATCAACTGAACATATTTCTCGAATTCCGTTCTCGTTTCCGCGCTCAGTTCGGTGGGCTTTTTGAGCAAAGCGTACACTCGCAGAGTCTGAAAATTTCTCAACTTCTTCTTACGCATTCACATTCAGCGTCAGTTTACCTTGGGAGAAAGTGTCTGGTGATTGGCTGAGATCCTGGCCAATAACTTGACCATTTCCTCCTTCTCCTTCTTCAATTCCGTCTTCTCTTCCGCCTCCTCCTCTTTCAATTCGCCTTCTCTTTTCAGAATTTGTCCGGCAATCAACTCGAGAACTTCATCATCCGCTCCTCGTTTATTCATATCCAAAAGTCTGTGATAGGCCGCAATGGCCTGCGAGAACGCCCCGACGTCCACAGACAGCAGCATGAAATTCTCCCATACATTTTGATGCTCGTAGTTGTATTTGAGAGCTTCCTGCAGAAGTTTCCACGCTTTTTCCTTTTGTCCGTATCGAATGTAGGCGGCCGACAGGTTGTTCCACGCTTCGAAATGATCCGGTTGGAGGGAGACGCACCGATGATAACACTGTGTGGATTCTTTGAAGTTTTCCAATTTCCAAGCACAGTAACCTGCGTTGAACCAGGTGCCGAGTTGGATGGGCTGAAGTTCGAGGCTCCGGCGGAGATGTTTGTACGCTTCCTCGAACTTTTTATCCATGAGAAGGAGGTGACCGAGGGAACGGTGAGCTCGGGCGTTCCGGTCATTTGATAGTTCGATGGCCTTGAGGAAGTACTCGGGATTACGGGTGATATCTCCGAGGTAGACTTGGAGCATCGAGTCCTCTGGCTTCTGCTCAATGAGCCGACGGATCAGAGTCTCGGCCTTGTCGATTTGGCCGAGCTGCTTGTAGCATTCGACCACGCCGTCCCACATCTCCAACCTCTCAAGGATCAGAAGGGCTTCAGAAGTGCATCCGAGAGACTTGAGAATCTCCGCGAGAAGTACGCTGGACTGCCAGAACGGAGGGAGTCCCGAGGTGAGAGCATATTCTGTTCTTGCCCTTCGCTTTTCCACTTCCACCGGATCATCCACTCCCTGTTGCAGTTTCACAACGAGCTCACTTTGCACGCAAGAACGATCGACGCGTCGACCACGGCCCTTTTCGAGATCCGCACGGAGAAGAAGAGCGGCCGATTGGATGCTCCAGTCGCGTCGCGCGGAGATGACAGTTTCCAGGAACGGAGAACAACGCTCGTCCACTAAGACGTCGTGGCGATGCGTAGCCGACTCGTGGCGCGAAATCCAGAGGAGGCAGGCGAGTTGTGGAGCCGAGAGAGTCCGTCCGTCCACGCGAGCGCCTTCTTCCGAAGTCGTCACTTGCTCCAGAAGAGTGTCGTCGTTCAGATCACACGATTGTGGAATGTCAGAGTCGGCGGGCAGGACAGCACTGATCGAGGATGGATCCTGCAAGAAGATGAAAAGTTCGGGCTACGGAGAGGTCAATTACCTTGTGCACCAGTACCAACTGGGCAATGTCCCTGTGCTGAAATCTCGTTCGTTTCCCGAGCATTCCGGTCAGGTCGACATTCAGATGACACGTCTCTCCGGCTTTTTGAATGAACTCGTCCGCTTTGTCGTACTCGTAGAATTGGAAATGAATCGAGGCCATTTGGAGGAGGCACTTCGTCCGTTCTTCTTCCGTTCTTCCGCTCAAATCTAATCTCAGTTTATCCATCTGAAAATGAGAAGATGTTCGTTGAACGTTGTCGGGTGCTCACAATCGGAGTAATTTCTTCTCGGATCGAATGTTCCGGGTCGACGAGTAATTGCTGCCAAACGAGGTAGAAACTGAGAATGGGGAGGAGGGCTTCCGACGGACGGTTCTGCTCGCCGAGCACAATTTTTCGGGCTAGAGCCAAGGCCCATAGTGATTTGGAGGCTGCACTTGGACTGTTGAGCCCTCGGGAGAGTTCCTGGCGAGCCTGCTCTTCGGAAGTGTGCGCAGATGAACAGTTATCTGGAAATAAAGGATATTAGGTTCAATTTTTTTTCAGAGTACTGTACGTTTTTTAGTTTTCTTATCTGCCGAGTCAACTAGCGTCTGCTCCGTGCTTCCCTTTCCGTCATGAAACTACAAATGGCTCTGTTTCCCTCTGGCTTCTCTGCGCTCTCCCCCGGAGCATACACTCCGATCCCCGCGGGCCATGGCGCCTAGCTCCTCTCCCGTTTTTTGTGATCTTTTCTGCTCCGTCGGGAGAGACGCAGTGCTCCGCCGCGCTTTTGTGCTACTTTGTGGTTGTGTGTGTGTGCATGAGCCAAGGGGAAACAGAAAGAAAAACGAAAAAAAGGCAGGCACATGCATGCGAAAAGTGTACATGCTATGTGGCGCGCGCCGGGGCCATGAGAATCAGGCGACGATGGTTGGGTGGATAGCACACGGCATCTAGCGGGAGTCGGCGACTCGGGTTCGATTCTCTACCCCTTCCACGTCGCATTGCTTTTGACCGTCCGCGTTTTGTACTCCTACGATCAGATTGGGCTCGGCGCGAGGGGCACAATGAGCCCAAACACGGAACTGGGAGCCTAGGACCCCGACAGATCGGAAAGTAGGTCAAAATGTTCAATTTTTTTCAGATATATATTATCAAATGCTCACCCGTATAACCAGTGTAATTACTGGCGACCACATGATCCACAAGACGAGATACAAACTTCCAAATGTGCTCATTCTGCTCACGAATCACCTGAAACACTATAGATGGTCTTTCAGAACAAGGCACAGTCCAAAAAAAGCACTCACGAAAAATAGATCTTGAAAGCTTAATTTGGCTAATTTTCAAGCACGCGTGAAATTAACATTCAAGTTTTGAATTGTCCATTACTTAAGAACTTATTTTTAGTTGAAAAACAGGTAATTTCAAAGCTTTCTGAGAAAAACTACAGTACTGGGTCCTGCCACAAATAGTTTCCCTACCGTACCTCTTCAATTTGCTCACTGGAAAGCCCGACGATTCTCGCTATTACATCGGCCATCTGAAAAATGAATTTAAGTTTCGAGATTTAAAAAAATGACAAAAATATGAACAAGCCACGTGTATAAACGAACTAAAATTGAGATGGAAACTGGGGTTCGAGACAAAACGTTTCTTTTATTGAATAACCAAACAGCTGGGGAAGAATTAACGAGAAAAAAGAAGGAAACGCGAAAAAAGAGGTAGGAACAGTAAGAAATGTGAGAATTTCTACAGAATGTTGAACAGTCAACTAGACGGAATTTCGGGGATATTAATAAAAGTCTGATTACAAAATGTTTTGTGTCTGTTCTGATAGCCGATGGAATACTTTGAGTAGATTAAATGATGATATTCTATTCTAGACAAAGATTGGGAAACCAGTATTGAGGAGATCGGTGGGAAGAGCATGTGAAGCGGCAGAAAGGTCGAGACGATCTACTTCTTGAATCCCTTCAGAATCGGATAGATCTGACTGAACGCGTCGTCAATGTCCTTCTTGGTCTTGGCGCCAGTGATCACAACCTGGAAATCGGTAATTAAAAACGACTGCTCAAAAAGTTATTGTACCTTTCCAGATACGAAAATGAGCAGAACGACTCTGGGCTTGACCATTCGATAGATGAGCCCGGGGAAGAGTTCCGGCTCGTAGGTACTGAACTGAGCGTGAGTTATGCACAGGCCCTCCAGTTGAATCGGGAATCGCACGTCGCACGATCCGACCATGTTTTGCACCTGAACATTGGAGTCAGCACGATTTCTTGCCCTTTTCAGTTACCATAAACTCTGTGAACTTTGCCTGGAATCCCAATTTCTGCACAATTCTCGCGTATTTCCTGGCAGCTAATCGACTGGCTTCCTCCGATTTGGCTCCAGTGCACACCATTTTGCCGCTCGAGAAGATGAGCGCAGTCGTGCGGGGCTCTCGGATACGCATAATGACAGCGGCGAATCGCTTCGGATTGTACTCGGCATTTCTGGCGTGCAGCGCAATCTTCTTCAAATCCAACTGCACGCCCAGATTCACTGTGGACACAATGTTCTGAAGTGCGGGCATCGGTATGTCGAGCTGCGAGGCGGGCGTCTGCGGAACCATTGTGGCGGCAATGTTGGAAGCGGGCGGATGCATCAGAGAGTCACGTTCGAAGTTGTTGTAGGCCAGCGGAGTCATCGGAATAGCGAGGTTCTGGTAGGCGACCGACGGCGGGTTGAAGTTGTTGTCGTGGTGAGCCATAATGGATCCGGGATTACGGTCCGGTCCGACGGAGGCCGGGTTTATGTTAAGATTGGAGGCGAGATGAGAGTGCATTTGAATCGACGAACCTTGCATACCTGAAACGAATGGCAATGGGGTGAATGACTAGTTGAATTCAATGGATTGGTCTCGCATAGTTGTCATCTTCATTTTTATGACGATAATATAACCTCAATCATTCACAACGCTATTTTACAACTTACTGTGCATTTGGTGAGATGAGGCCTGTTGCATTGAATGTGGCATGAGGACACTTCCAGGTCCGATGATCGAATTGGGTCCCATGATCGAGTTGGGTCCGTGGCCCGTCAGGATCGACGACGGACCCCCGAGAACAGAGTTGGGACCGCCGTGAGCGGGAGTCTCGCCGCCGAGCATCGAGCGGCTCGCCGGACTGTTCATGTTCATTTTGCCTGCAAACAATCGGTTTGGAATGAGAAAGAGAAATGGCAAAAGTAAAAGGACAAAGATATGAAGTGGCAGTGATGAATACACTGTACGAAAATAAAAATGGCGATGAGAGTAAAAAGCGACGAAAAACAACTTAATTCAATAAAGATTAACCAAAATCACGAAAAACAACAACAGGGAAAGAACAATAACAAAGGAATATTCAAAGTGTCCAAAGCTTCGGAACATCCACATTCGGCACTCTTCTCTCCAGAATCCCCTTCGGAACATCCGCATTCACGCCGACCGCCTTCACGACCTTCTCTTCATGCTTCGGCGCGAACTTCCCTCCGAATCCCTTCTTCCGCGCCTTCTTCGGTTCCGGTCGTCTGTCTCCCTCTTCGTCGTCGTCGCCGTCCTGCAGTTTTCGATACTTCTCCGCTTCTCCGTCCTCTCCTCCGAACGATTTGGCCATGTTAACCGAGAAGAGCTCATCGGAGCATCTGAACCGCACGTACGACTCGATTTTCTGAAGGGTTTTGTCAACGAAATGAGCCCTTTTTCTGACGGATTGATTCCAATGGCACTGGAGAAGCTTCATTTCCCACAGACTCGATTCGAGAGCTCTCGTTTTGTGCAAATCGGACTCTTCGTCATTGAATGGATCCTCATGGAGAGTGGAAGGAAGCTCCCGATGCACCAGCTCTGCGCAGTTGGGATGACGGATGATCAGATTACGAATAAGACCGAGAATCGGTTCCTGAGAATCGATCGGAGCAAGAAGAAGACATCTGGAGAGTCGTTTGAGGAACGAAGCGACAATGTAGGTGGGGATGTGCGTGGAAGAGAGGAAACGGTCGAGGAGGTTCAGAATGCTTTCCTTCTGACTCATGTAGAGCAGAGATGGATTCGTCAGAGAGTAAACTTTGTCGTAGAACTTCGGGTACTCGCTGCAAAAAAAAACCGATAAGATCAGAAGGGGAAAACAAATGTACTCACAAATTATGCTCCGAAATTAGTCTGAAAATGGCTCCGAGTGATAGAATTCCATGATAATCACTTTTGTCAAACATTTTGAAAAAGAAATCTGCAGATTTGAAAGGAGTCTTCAGCTTGGAGATTACGTTTTCAGTGATATACGGAATCAACTTCAATGTGATTTTTTCGGTGATCTGAAAATGAATTGTACAAGAATTTCAGACATTCCGCAGAAGTTTCTCACCTGTCCATTCATGAAAGCCATCCAAATATTGTCCCAATCGGTTCCAATCCACACTAACTTTCGTTTTTTGACAGTTTTCTCAATGAACGGGGTTCTGACACAAAACTGACGGAAAAACGGTTTGCTGACTCGGTCGGAGGGATGAGGAATGAAATGAAGAAAATTGAAGAGATTAAACCAGGCAGAAGTACGCGAATCCTTCAGTGTATGGCACGATTTGACCAATTCCGGCGAGATGTAATGGAAGATGTCGTATTTTCCGAAGATCTTGGCGATTCCCCTCAACACGGCCTTCTGGATGCGTTTGGCGCCGAGCAAGTATTGGCAGAAGCCGGAAACAGTGCTTTTCAGCGATTTTGTCGCGATAACATCCGCGGTCTTCGGATCTTTTTCGAAGAATTTTAGAGTTTTCAAATATTTGGTGATATCTTCCGGGAATTCGCAGCTATGCAGAAACTTTGCAAATTCGGAAGGCGTTTTGCTTGGTAGTTCTTCTCTGTCCAACTCGTAATTAGCATCAATATTGTCTGGAGTTTCTTCGTCCGACTCATCATCGGAAAAATCGTTCTAAAAATTAATAAATTGCCCTAAAATCGATGAGATTGACGGTTTTATAAAAACTTACATCATTGGCGGCATTTTCAGGGCCATTTTCAAAGTATTGATCCAAATCGTCGTCCATTTTTAGCGATTTCTGTCGAGCGAAACTGTTCTGATTCACCTGCCCAAACTTTGCTAATTTGTCGTAAAGTGTAGCACTTGCGTAAAATACACGCACGGTGTTTGCGTACTCACTTACCGTACTCTTTTCGCGCCTGCAGATTATCCTTGGCGCGCCAAAGATTCGGCGCTCGAAAAATCCCATTTTTTCGCCCGATGTGGAAAGGACGCATGGAATTTTCTCAAAAAGTATTTTGAAATAAACAAAATTCCACTTCTCCAACCCTCCTGTCACCGATTCTCATATTCTCTCAACATTTTCATCCCAAATTTTGTACTTCAATCTTTCCACACAAATTCGTACAAAAAATCCTGAAATCAACTTTCCGTGTCTAAAAATTATTTGATATGTCACTGCATATTCATGGCAAGACACATATTCAATGTCAAATCACCCTTGCCGCTCGCACCATTCCGGCATTTCTGATGTGTTTTGAAGATAGTGTCCCGTGAAGTCTTTGAAAATCGATAAATGTTACGAAATCATATGTGCTGCTTCTCTTTTTGCCCACTTATCTCCTACACTATTTCAAATCAAAGTCTGTACATTTTCAGTATGAGCAACCTGGAATTCAACGGCGTTTACGTCGAAGATATGGGCGTCCTCACGCCCGGAACGCTCCGTCTCGCAGACAAAGCGCTGGTGTTCAAAGGTGAAGGAGCTGGAAAATCGATCAATGTTCCAAGTGGCGACATTGATGACATCAAGTGGCAGAAGCTTGGAAACAAGCCCGGATTGCGCGTTGGACTGACCGATGGAGGTGCTCATCGCTTTGGAGGACTCAAAGAAACTGTGAGTTTACTTACGTGGAAAATGAATCGGAATATATTATGCAGGATTTGGACAAAGTAAACGCATTCACCAACTCCAACTGGAACCAGAACGTTGAGCCATCAGATCTGTTCATCAAGGGATGGAATTACGGACAGGCGGAAGTAAAGGGAAAGAACATTCAGTTCTCGTTTGAGAACAAACCCATCTTCGAGATTCCGTGCACCAATGTCTCTCAATGCGTCGCCAACAAAAACGAAGCAGTTCTGGAGTTCCATCAGCACGACGACAGCCAGATTTCCCTGATGGAAATGCGTTTCCACATGCCCGTTGACGCCGAAGAGGACGAGACGGACAAAGTGGAAGAGTTCAAAAAGGCCGTGCTCGCCTTCGCCGGTTTGGAGGCAGAAACCGAACAGCCGATCGCCATGCTCACTGACCTTCTTTGTACGACGCCACGTGGACGCTACGACATCAAGGTGTACCCGACGTGCATAGCGCTACACGGAAAGACGTACGACTACAAAATTCCAATCAAATCGATCAACCGGCTGTTTCTGGTACCGCATAAGGACGGGCGTCACGTTTATTTTGTGCTCTCTCTGAATCCGCCGATCAGACAAGGACAGACGCGCTACAGTTACCTCGTTTTCGAGTTTCAAAAGGACGAAGAGCTTGATCTGGAGCTCACCCTGACTGAGTAAGCGTCTGTGCGCTCAAACCCCATGTAACCTTCATTTTGCAGTGAACAGCTCAACGATACGTACGGCGGAAACCTGAAGCGTGAGATGAGCGGACCAGTCTACGAGACCGTCTCGATTCTCTTGAAAATCATTTGCAACTTGAAAATAACCGTGCCTGGAAAATTCATCGGAAGCACAGGTACTCCTGCCATCCAATGCTCACACAAGCAGAACCCGGGACTACTTTATCCGATGGAAAAGGGATTCTTGTTCATACACAAACCCGCGATGTACGTCCGCTTCGAAGACATCTCCTCGTGCCACTTTGCCCGTTCCGACGGCGGAACTGTCACTCGTACTTTCGACTTTGAAATCGATCTCAAGAGTGGATCCTCGCTCATGTTTAACTCTGTTGAGAAGGAGGAGAACAACAAGTTGTTTGATTACCTGAACAAGAAGAATCTCAAGATCCGCAACTCGCAGAGAATCGACAATAAGAAGGACACTGCTGTCGATAGCAGTGACGATGAAATTGACCCGTACAAGGCGGCCGTGAAGGCCGAAGGACGGCAACGCGATGAATCGGACGATTCGGACAGCACCGACGAGGACTACGATCTCGACAAGGATCTGAAGAAGAAGCAGAAGGAGAAGGACTCGTCAGAAGGGTCTGGATCCGAACCGGACGACGAGTACGACTCGGGCTCAGAGCAAGATTCGAGTGGAAGTGCAGAGACGGAGCCGGATGACGAGGAAGATGTGCCATCTAAGAGAAAGAAGGGAGAGCCGAAGGAAAAGAAGGAGAAAAAAGAGAAGAAAGAAAAGAGAGCGAAGGATCCGAACGGACCGAAACGCAACGTGTCGGCCTACATGCTCTGGTTCACAGCCAATCGGAATTCGCTGAAGGCGGACGGAGATTCGGTAGCCGACGTGGCCAAAAAAGGAGGACAGGCTTGGAGAGAGCTCTCCGCCGAGGATAAGAAGGTTGGTATTAATCTGAGACCGTGCTGAAATCATAATTTGATTTGCAGGAATGGGATGAGAAGGCCGCCAAGGACAAGGTTCGTTACGAGGCCGAAATGAAGGAATACAAGAAGAACGGAGGCGGAGCTGCTTTCGCTTCTTCGTCTTCTAAAAAATCTTCGAAACCTTCGAAGCCATCGAAGAAGGCGGCTGGGCCGTCTCCATCCAAGGCCAAATCAAAGGAATATATCAGTGATTCGGATGATTCGGACGAAGATGAAAAGCCGAAAAAGAAGGAGAAGAAGGCGGCGCCGAAAGATGAATCTGAAGAAAGCGAGGATGGCTCGGACGCTGGATCTGATGCTTCAGACGATTCCGACTAAATATTGTACCATGATTTGTCTATTTTATTCTGTTTTATTTCATCTCATTCACTTATCTCAGTATGTTCAATATGAAACACACATTTTCTCTTAACGGTCTCCTTTTTGTCCCACTTTTGAAAGCCAACCCATTCAATTGACATTTACTTTGTGTGAAAGAAATACAATTCATGTTTTAATCAATGTTCCCTTTCCCCACTTTTTTCGGTCTTCGAACCGTTGCCAATACTTCCTTCATTCTTTAATTTCCGTGTCAAACATTTCATTGCAGATGTCCCTTCTGTCCGAGTTTCTGAAGCACGAGCACTTGCTTCAGGTGACGGACGAAAACGGACCGCTGGTGGACGGAACCGCCGGAGTAGACGGCACTCGGGTCGTCAAGACTATCGCCGATGCCAGAAGTAAGTGGACAGTCGTAATTCAAATGAAAATTCCGAATGTTTCAGAGTTGCGCGGAGCAGATGCAGTCGGTGAGGTGGAGCGTGCGATCATCCAAGTCCAGGAGACGGAGCTGCTGGCCGGGGTGTGCAACACGGTGTTCGACGTGATGAAGCAGAATGGAGAAGTGCTAGTCTACTCGCGAGATGTGACCACCGCCCAACGCAAACTTCGCATTGCCGGATTCCGTGTGCCAGAAGTGACCGCTGACTTTCCGATTCGCGGAATCAAGCTGGTCAATTTCGGAGATAAGGTCGCTTTGGATCTTGTCGGAGCCGGGGAAGACGAACTGATAGACGAGGATGGCTTGCTGCAGGAGGAGGACTTTGAGAAGCCGACTGGCGATCAACTGAAGGCCGGATGTGGACCGGAGGACGGAACGAAGAAGAAGAGGGCCTGCAAGAACTGCACTTGCGGACTCGCCGAAGCCGAGGAACTCGAGAAGATGAACTTGATTGCGGAGGCGGCTCCGAAGAGCAGCTGCGGAAATGTATTTAGTTCTCTCTCGAAGTTTCCGCCTATCTATCCCTTTTTCAGTGCTCTCTGGGCGACGCGTTCCGTTGCTCGACGTGCCCGTATCTCGGGCAGCCACCGTTCAAAGCCGGAGAAAAGGTCAAACTTTCGACGGTCGACGATTTCTAACTGCATTCCACGTTTTCCCATTCATCCGCCATCCCTATTCTTCTCTATGTTTACCCTTTTCTTGCTGCGCGTAGACTAATTCTTGTGCTATCTTTTGTTGAAATAAATTCTGCTAGTTAGCGCCCCCGCCCTTCATCATAACGAGGCATTTCGCGGACGGGGCTCTTCTCATTTGATCTAAAAATGGATGATGGGAAACGGAGAAGGAAGGGTCACATGAGAAAAGAGCAAAGGTGTAAACATGCTTGCACACTTGGCTGCTGATAAAGCGAATGTTTTCTGCTGCTGATCGGTGTGAAAAATCGGGGGAAATTCAAATTTGCGCCCAAAAGATCATCCAGTTCATCCCGTTCTTATCAAACCCCTGATATTGTGTAGCTGTCGTCTGTGTCCCTTTCCATAAAACGTCTCCCTTTCCCTTCTTCTTCTGTCAATGACGTCATCATCTTGTTCTGTGTTTGTTCCGCCCGTCGCCTCCCGTTTTTCACGCACGCGCAAATGCCTAGAAGCCGTGAGCGACAAGTGCGCTCTAGTCGAGAAACTTGAATGGAGTTGTAACCAGTTCCTATCATCCCAATGTTTTGACACTTTTTGGGGGGCAAAGAGCAAAAGACCTTGGCATGTCACGTATCAGATCGATCGATTTGGGGCCAAAAAAGACGGACAATATCTTGATAGGCTATCTCCGATATTGTCCGTCCGCCGCTCGCCGCTAGAAAGAAGTCGCGTGAGACCACGTGGTTTGCCGAAAAGACAGAAGTCGGAGCGGTTTGTGCGCTGCTCCGTCTCTTTCGCCCTCTGCGTCTCTCGCTCTTTCTCGCACTCGCACTCCACGACCACACAGCACACATACACGCACGGCACAAACACAAAAAGTTCCGTTTTTGCGGTTTTATTGCAATTTTCCGCGTTTTTATATCGATTTGCTACCGCCGGCTTAATGTGGTCTAATAGATTACTGTAATACTTGTTAGATCCTTTGGCATGATTCGCGATTTGTGTAAGTCTAAACTTTTCCATCATTTTCTTTGCTGAGACTGCCAGATTGCAAATGTTTATGCTTCTGCTTCTACTTTCGCTTTCACTTTCCCTAAGCTCAAGCTTAAAAAGGGAAGTTTCACACGTGGAAGAAGAAAAAAGAAAGAGCTGAAATAGAAAACTGAAAGTTCCAGAAGCGCTAGGGCCAAAAGCATTGCATTTTGTTCGAAATCATCGAAGACTGACACAATAAACGTCGAGGTGTTATCTTATCAATCGCCCGTTTCGCCCCCTTCTCCCGCTCGACCATGGCCCCGGCGGAGACACTTTATTGAATGATTTTTCCTGTCTTATTCTTCTTCTTCTTCTTCTCCCCAATTCCTTATCTCTCTCTCTCTCTCTCTCTCTGTCTCTTTCTCTCCGAAATCAATCGATCGCTCCGTGCCGTCTATTCCTTCTCGATTATGTGTGTGCGCGCGGAAGTTTGGAAAAGAGTAAAGAGGATTAGGTTTTGATTTGGTTTCACATAGACTATGACATAGTGTGAAAGTCTGGTGGACGGGATGATGATGAGGTCGCCACACGGCGGAAATGGATCAGTTTCGATTCAGGTGTGACTGGAAAGAGCTGGAAACTATGAGAGGACGTTGAACGTGTACAGGAGATCTAGAATCTGGAAAATCTCCATGTCTACTACTTGTTTTTGACAACTTTTTTGTACGAACACTTCTCAGAGTACTGTAGCTCGTGGAAGTTGAGTCCCTCAAAACGCAGTAAAGATCTCACAACTTCCAAATGGCTACAGTAGTCCTCGAAGTGTTCGTACTTACAAATTTCCGATCCTGGTCCAACTTTTTTGTGTTTTTGGTCCTTCTCCAAAGATCGACTCGTTCTCTGTGACCGACCCATGACACCCTCCATCTCCATTTTCCCCATTCTCACCCCGTCTCTTTCCCACTTTTTTCCGACGGTTTCCGAAAACAATCGACAAGAGATAAGAGACGCAGAGGCGAAGAGGGGGCCTCGACCGGGGCAGTCACGTGTTGTAACAACTGATCCTTCTCCTTCTCCTTCTTCCCTCTTCCTTCTGCCTTCCATTTCTCCCACCACTTGGCATCGTCGCTCGCTTTTTCAAGAATATTCTGGAGTGCTCTTGACGTCCCACTCCCACCAAACGCCCATATTCGTTTCAGAAATGTCCCGGGGACAGGTCATTCACAGTGGGCACTTTATGTGCTCAAATCTGCACGATGACACCGTCGCCGATGAGGATGAAGAAGATGTAGAGGTTTGTGAATCACGAAGAAATCCGAGTGTAACGTGTATTTTCTGCAGGTGGATGTGGTGGAGGATGACGATAAGTCGACGGAGACGCTCAAGAATAAGGCACTCGACGAGAGGCCCGTCACTTTTTACAAATTCGGAGCAGGAAAGACTCAGTCGATTGCGATCGATGTCTCGCTGAACAAGTTGAACAAGTGCATCAAAGTCGCCTATAAGTGAGTGTTACTTCTCTTATCATCCATCTCATAGTTTGCAGCAAAATGACCACACCGAAATGGAAAGACTTCAAGGGACTACGGTTGCACTGGAAGCAGCGGATCCGGCTGAACAACGTCATCTGGAGAGCCTACTACATCGAGTGTAAGTGCCCGTTCGAACTAGTTGCTCAGCCCTCAAAAAGATTCCGTTTTAGTCCGGAAAAAGGAGACGAAAAAACGGAAAAAACCGTTTTGTTACTTCGCCGTGCCCGACGACGACACGACGCATCAGAAGATCGAGGGAAGTATAGTGGAGGGAATGTACTGGAAGCGGAAGATGGAGGGAGTTTGTGCGCAGTACAAAAGGTGGCGAATCCGCTCCAAACACAACTTCTGCGCGGAAAAGGGCGGAATGGTGGCCACTTGCTCGTCGAGCAGCGTCTCCAGTCTATCCGGAGAGCTAAGAAGGAAACGAGTAAGAGTCCATCACTGTCCTTTCTCGGCAAACTCGACTCCAATTCAGAAGCAACCGAGCCACAAAGAGTCGGTGGACAACACGACGGCACGGAAATTCGAGCCGCCTGCGAAACTGCAAAGGAGTCAGACGCCGAAGCACACGATCTCCGACGAGTTCGCGTGGGCGTTGGACGACCTGGACAACGTTTTCACCGATGACTTTCTGAATTCGCTCAGCGAGCCGTACATGTTTCCGGACTGCAGAGACGCCTGTGAGTGACCATCTTTATGGCAGATTCTTCGATGACGTAGTGATAAATAACTGCTATCATCCGTCTTACTGACCCCATTTTCTTCTTTTAGACGGTGGCAACAATGCGGACATCATGCAGCCGGGCCTTCTTTCCCTTCAGCCCGATCTCGAGGATATCATGATGTCTTTTGCCGCCGAAATGGCCGATTCGCCGCCTTTTCCTCACGGAGACCGCGAGACCATGCGGACGCCGAACCCCCAGGATCAACGGCCCTCCACCTCGTCCCAGCCCTCTCAGATGAGAAGGTCCGCCTCGTCCTCGGCGTCACTCCATCAGATGCAGGTGGCTCAGCAGCAGCAGCAGCCGCAGCAAGAGCAACAGCAGCATCAGATCCAGCAACCGGTTGCCCGGCCGCCGACCCAGGACTTCTTGGGTCCTTCGATTATGATGGATTACCGGATGATGCCGACGCGGCAGTCATCCGCAATCACTTCCCAGATGCTCATGCTCAGTCAGTCAGCGTCGACTTCTTCCAGCCAGCCACAGTACTCAACTTCTTCGCATTACAACTCGAACTTTGTGCCGGTGAGGAACGCGATGACCAGCCACCATCAGAACCATCCGCATTCCACGTGGAGCAAACAGAACTTTCTGGTGGGTATCTATTATGAATCTTTCAAAGTAATCGCTCACTTTTCAGACCTCAATTCCACACCAGAGTCAGATGGAACGGATACTTAACAATCAGGTCCGGACGCCGTTGGTGCCCACCCAAACCGATCCGTACATGCCGCAATTTCTGCAGTCTCCACAGGCGGCTCCACAAATCCACGATCCCCTGATGGCTCCGTCGAGGTCCTGGTGGCTCGACAGTCCTTTGACCGCCAGTGTCCAGTCCCCCTTATCCGTCGCCACTCCGCTTCCACTGGCAAATCAGAGTGGCCCGCAGACCCCTTTGGGTCAACTGATTGGAGGTGGAGCAGACGCTCATTCTGGTGGATTCATAATCGGAAACAATGGATTGATGAATCACGGCCTCAAAATGGGCGGTCCGACCCTCACTCAACGTCTCGAGCAGCCCGGAATCGCCTCTTCTCACAACGCTCTGTTCGGAAACATGGACAACAAACCGAAAGTGTTCACTCCGCTGGCCTCCCAACAAGCCCAGTCGCCTCTCGACTTCACCAGTCTCTCACGACTCCGAACGTCTTCTTTGAACGAGTCGTGGAAAATGACGGACAACTCGCCGACCTATCAAGCACTCGCCGCCGCCGTAAACACCAGGCCGTCTGTGCTCGGCGCCGATATGCGAAATGCGCATGACGGTGGGCAGTCGGCATTCGGAAGCCCCTCCACGTCCACGAGTATTGCCGATGTTCCCGCTCCACTCGCTCAACCGCCGACTCCCGTTCAGCCGAAGATCATTCCCCCGAAACGGGTCGAGCCGGAGCCCGTCGTGCAGCGGCAGCAGTCTTGTGATGTGAACCTGCTCAATGGATCCAACAAGTCGGGTCTACAAAATACATCAAAAGCCGATGAAAAGGCAGTAGGCAGACAATGTGAGTTTGATGATATCAAACGCTGAGCTCACCGTTCATTCTTGCTTCCAGATTCCACGGAGCTCAAGGAAACAAAAGAAGAGCCGCTTCCAATGAGCGCTCCGTCGAGTGTGAAATCAATGCGAAGACAGGCTCCAGACTCGACGTTGCATCCGGAGGAAAGGAAGAGAATACTTCATTTGCACGCCGAGCAGAACAGACGGAGTGCGCTCAAGGACGGCTTCGATCAGCTCATGGATATTGTGAGTTCGAACAATTCATTGCGCTTCTCATGACTTATCATTCACAGATTCCGGATCTGTATTCTGGTGGTGTGAAGCCAACGAACGCGGTCGTTCTCGCCAAAGCGGCAGATCATATTCGACGTCTTCAAGGCGATAAATGGGAGAAAACACAGAAGATTGACGAGGCAAAGTCCAAGATAGAGAAGCTGAATCAGAGGATAGCGTGAGTTCCAGAGCCTCATTACAAAGAGAGCATCCAGAACGTTCCAGATCTCTGCAATCGAATCTGCCCCAGTCGAGCGCTCCATCGAGCTCTTCCCAAGTGGATTCCAAGACTTCGCTCGAGACGTTCTTCGATCGATACGTGAAAGACGGCACGAAAAAGGACTGGAGGTTCTGGGTGGTGAGTTATTTGAACGACCGAATTCAGTGGAATCGATGCTCTTCCAGATGTGCCAAATGCTCAAACCGCTGTGCGTCACTCAAACCAACTCCTACGCCTCCTCGGTCGCCGGGGATTCTTCGTCGCGCAACGAAGTGGCCGCCACGTGCTCCGATTGGCTCAACAAGAACTGGAAGGCCACCGAGCTGCGGCCTCTTGCCAGCACTCTTCTCGTCAGTTTCATAATGAACTCTCCTCCTCCGAACTTTCCCCCGTTTTCAGGTCTCCCTTGCCACCAACTCCAGTATTCTGGCCGAGCCGGAAACCCTTCCGGACTATGTCATGCAGCAGTTAAAGAATCCCTTCTAGTTTGTACATATTTTGATAGTTCCTATTTTCGCTTAGACCAGTTTCCCCTTTTTTTCCAATTCCTCATCGTTGCCATTATTGTTCTTGTTCTAATCCAGGCCGTCAGCTAAAACTGTAAACGGGTGATCTCTGATTGTATGGCAGCCAACAGTCTTTTTCGGGTTTCGACTTCCCTTCAACACAATTTGCTCAACTTTTAAATAAATTATGTCATTGTCATGGATGTTTTATGAAACAAGACTACTTCATTAGTCACGAGAAGTGTCGATCTCCGTCTGCCTCCTCACGACTCCATTAAACATTTCCACTTAATTAGCAGTAGAGACTGGTGAATTATTACTATGAGCAAAACGATTCGGAAGTTTGTCGTCATGGAGAAAGATCAAAGATCAAGTTTCATGACATCATAACCAGCTCAGAATAATGCAACAGATTCTGTTTGAGATCCTTCACCTTCGACTCACGACTCGCTGGAACAGGACGTGTACGTTCCTGTAAAGGTGGTTTTAGGCACATCATACCGCTTTTTACCATACAACGTCGGCCATTGTTTTTCTGAAAGCATCATCACAAATGCAAAAGTATTAGCCTTTTCGAGAGTAAATAACGGTATCGTTAAAGGCGCAGCTCGTTTCTTATGCGGGTCTCGGCACGATTCTTTTACAGTACCCGCGAAAGATTCGAACCGTTCGGCGCCATTTTCGGGCATTTGTTGTTTTTCCTAATTTTGAAGCAGTTTTTAAGGTTTTCCGAATTTTTCCTTTGCTATCTCTCGTTTTACAAGTAAATTTTCAGCCAGATTATGCAATCGGCGAGCTCGGAGCACATTCAATCGCCATACTTTCTGAGCCAGCATTATGGTTAGTTGATTGAATCGAACGATTCTCGGAATATCACAATGTTTCACCTTCAGCGTTCCCAACACCGCAAATGGCTCCGATGCTCATTCCGCCACCTCAAACACCTCTGATGCACCCCTACATGCAGACTAGAAACATGCTCCCGTCTCTTGCTGCTGCCATTCCAGACATGAAGTCGTTTTCGCTCGAAGAGCCTATTGAGGCTGGAAACTTACCGTATAGACGTGGAAACAAGTCGACTTCAACGGCCGCCGATGAAGTGAGTGGAATCCTACCGAAACCCATATTTTGAACCTCCGTTTCAGTCGCTCAACAATCTGCACCGATCCGCATCGTCTTCTCATTTCCGACGTCATTCCGCGCACTGGGAAACAATGACAGACGATGAACGAGAGCTGATTCAGCGGCAGAAACGGAAGGAAGAGGCGTTCAAGACTGCGCTGTGTGATGCTTTCAAAAGAACCGGCTCCTGTCCGTATGGACCAGCTTGTCGCTTCGCTCACGGCGAAAATGAACTCCGAATGCCATCGCAACCACGTGGAAAGGCTCATCCCAAGTACAAAACGCAGTTGTGCGATAAGTTTTCGACTTACGGACAATGCCCATACGGACCACGCTGCCAGTTTATTCACAAACTGAAGAAGGTACATTGTGCTGTCGTTCTGCCGCGACAACAAGTTTTTCTCATTCAGGGACTCCCACTGCTCGAGTACAATCGGGCTCTGTATCAAGGACAGATCAGTCCGGCTCGCGATGATGAAATCACCAACCCTGACGAGTCTTCCGATCACAGCGGTCTCAATTTAACTCGAACTCTTCTCCGCCGGCGCCCAAGTGCTCTGGACACTTCGGACAGTGGATACAGTGGAGGGGGAGGTCGCAGACGTCTCCAACCGCTCACACACATCGACGATGATTTGCCGCGCGCCCCGAAATGCTCCGGAGTATCGGGAGGATCACAGAAAGTGGTGTATCCGCCGATGCAGGTTGTGAACATTGAGATGGCGACGGGGCAGAAGAAGAACACCACGGAGCACCGTCGTGTGTCTTCCTCGTCGTCGCAGCCAACGATCATCAACCAGGCGGATTACGAAGCATCGATGGCCAGTGGGAAGATCTTTGGAAAGCCGGTAAGCCCGGACTCTAGGTGGATGAGACATGACATTGTTTCTTTCAGGAGAACATTCGTACATTCGGTGCGATGCTGAGAGCCAATGAGGACAATGTGGAGCGCAATCCGGCCAGTGGAAGCAAAAAGGAACGAGTCAAAATACAGTCGAAGCAGGTGCGTAGTTCGCATTGAAACACATCGAATTTAAGAACTGTGTTCAGGAACTGTCATTAATCCGCGAAGAAGACACTCTTCTGGTGGACGGCTCCCAATTGCACACATCCATTCCGTCGACGGCTCCCGCTCTTCCGGCCGCTTCTCAAAACATTCAGTCGCAGCCGTGGTACGAGAAGATCTTCGGACAACAGATGACAGTCATCAAGGAGGAGTCGTTGGGAGACGAGGAGAGCACCTCCTCGCAGTTTCTTGCTCACTCTTTCGACGACCCCGCTCCCTAATCCAGTTTCCTTTTCATGTTAATTACCGTAATCCCTTTGCTTATTTCTTGTATACCAACACCCTATTTTTTTCTGTGTATCATCCCTCTTATTTTTCGCATTTTGTGAATCATAGTTTCCGTTTTATCCCCCGCTTTGTCTTCAGTGTCTTCTCAAATGTACACATTTTTCTAGTCCGTCTGACACTTTTGACTTCCGATTGCTCCCAATCTTCCCGCCCCACAATATTTTGATAATGATTGTAAAAAGGTTATTTTGTGATTCAATGTGATTTATTCTCTCTCCCCGCTTCCCCCCTAGTCCAACCCTTTACGGTATCTCGGGCCCCGCCGCTGCGCGATTTCAAATTTCAATTTCAAATAAAGCTTTTGCGCGGTCTGAGTGTTCTAGAATCGAGAAATGGTCCGTGTAGAATTCATGTAGACGCAAATCATATTTCATTACCAATTAATAACAGTGAAAAGTCAGAGACTTGCAAATATGGGCAGCTGATTCTCTGGTGATCAGGAGTCATGAGTCAACTTGCATAGGTAATGTGCCTAGAAAAACAACAGAGTATGCATTCATTTATCAAACGACATTCAAGGGAGAACGACCGAAATCTTTCCACTCTGTGACCATTTCCTTCCTTTTTTGGCTGCAATCGTTACCATCTCCTTGACTGATTGCCGATAAGGCTGATGGACGATTATCATGACGAGAGTGGTGAAGAGTCCGTTCAATCCCATCACAATCACTGAGAAATTGTTGTATTCTGAACATTTTAAGTTTGTTGCAATCAAAACGGTGACTTACTTTGGTTATACGAGGTGATAAAAAAATAAAAATAAAAAAACGGTCCAATGAGTGTTATGGAAGGGATGAGAGCTTGCATCGATAACGCAAGAAAAAACTTTCTTTGAGCTGTTTGCGTACTCTTGGAAACGGTGCGATGAGCGAAAAATAGTGCGAAGACGGTGTAGAAGAAGAAGTAGGCGCCTTGAAGGAAAGGGCTACAGAAAGAGACAATTGAAATGATCCGAGTGAATTCGTTGTGGACGCTCAGGTTCATAAAGTATGGATGATTGAGTAGGGACAAAGGCAGGCAGGGCAAATGCTGAAATCATCAACTTCCTCGCGAGTGTTATTTGACGAATTACGGATTGAGTAGCAGCTCTGCCGACTTCCTGACTCGGAAAACAACAGTACACATAGAGCTGAAAAATTGAGCCGAGTACGAGTTGAATGGCAAAGAATAGAGTTCGTTTCAGATTCCTTGTGTCAGACCGACTTATCGAGCCAATGACAATAGCATTGTAACGATTTTCAAAGAAGACGACGAACACTATTCCGACCACTGAAACATACATCATTTTCTATTAGAAGTCTTCTGTTTTTGCTATTTATTTACCCATCATTATCTCGGATGTGATGCCCACTTGTATACGTGAACTGACACCCAAAGAAGTCAAGAGTCCGACGGGAATGGCAGCGGGAGACGGTGCAAACAAATATAAAATCAAGAAAAGAGTCATGTAAATATCCATGACTGCACAGGCGACATGAAGCAGAAGTATGCTGTTCTTGGCAGATTGCATTGTCTTCGGAGTCTTGTAAATGATGAGGTAGAGACCGAATACGTGGAGGGGAAACTCGATGGAAGTGAGAGTGTGAAGGGCGTTCGAAAGGAAACGCTCCGATTCCAGATAGGAATTCGTGTAGACGCAAGTCATTTTGAAGAAGAAGAATAACTAGAAAATGAAATGAGTTATTGGCGAATTAGAGCAGGTGCTTTTGTGTCAACGGCGCACGCCGGTGTTCAGTGACATAAAACACATAATTTGCAGGGAACATTGATTGTTTGATCATACATTTCCTCATACTTGCAAAGTTTTCAGCTTGGAAAGATAACCTGATTAATTGTATTTCGTTACAATACCTCTTGCATATATATTGTTAATTTTAAAGTTGGAAACAGGTGAAATTGAGTTGCAACAAAACCGATCAACGAGTCCAATTAGATAGATCAAGAGGAAACGAAAGCAGTGCGGACAACTGATATTTTTCTGAAAATCTTCGAGCCGATATCGTCGGAAGTCGTCCCAGTGAACATGTTTTTAACGGCTTTCCGATACGGTTGATGCACGATAATCATGACGATTGTGGTGAAGAATCCGTTCATTCCGAACGCGATTTCGGCAAAGTTGTTGTATTCTTAATGATTGATCTGCACTGAGTGCCCTCTTAATAACTTACTCTGATTGTAATAACTAAAACTCCAAGCCAAGTACAAGTAGTACATCGGAATCACGATCGACGTGACCGGAATGAGCGCCTGCAGAATCATTGCGACGAAAAACTTGCGTTGCATTCGTTGCGTCGTTTTGGAGACGATTCGAACGGCGAAAAATAGATTATGAATGGTGTAAATGACGAAGAAAGAGCCCTGGAGGAAGAGGGCGGTTATGATGATTCCGGTGAGCATCGGAATCAGATAGTTGTCGATGTTCAGGTGAATGAAGCCGGGATTGTTGATGAGAGACATCGGAATGCACGGTTGTTGCTGAAGATTGTGGTTACTCTCATGATCATAACATCCTGATACCTTTTGAACGGAAATTCTTCCGATCTCTACATCCGGAAGGCTCATGAAAACATAGACAATATCGCTGGCGCAGATGAAGAAAGTGAGAGCAAAGAACAGAAATCTCTTGAAATTTCGTGATTCGGACCTTCCGCTCTGTCCGATTACAAGTGTATCATGTCGATTCTCAAACAATCCAATGAATCCGATTCCAGTGGCTAGCAGAGTGTTGAAAAAAATAAAAGTTTGAATTGTGGAGCTCACGCCCAAAGTGCTCAGAAAACCAACAGGATATCCGGACGGAGAGGGCACCCAGAAGACGAAAACGAGGAAGAAAGTGCAGTAAATGTCCATAACGGAGCATAAAGTGTGAACGATAAAGATGATGGTTCTGGCCGAGTCCATCGATTTGGGCGTTTTGAATATGATGATGTAGGCTCCGAATATGTGCAAAGGAACTTCGATTGAAGTCAAAGTGTGCATTACAGTAGATAGAAATCGGTCGGAGAAGAGGAAGGAGTCTTCGAATATACAAGACATTCGAGAAATGGTTGAGGCACAACAAAGTAAGAGCCTGCAAGGCTAACAGGTGATACGGGCCAATTCATTTGCACATTCACAAACAAAATATCAATTCACCAATAGTTTCATTCATCAAGCAGTCTACAGATACACTGAGTTCGAGTCGGATCCATCCACCGCGAACGTCTTTCCCTTCACAATCACCTTCTTCGGCACCAGCGCCACCGGCTCCGTCGACTCTCCGAGAGCCGCTCCCGCCACGATTTGGAGATCGATTGTAATTTGGACCTACAATATCTCTTATTTTCCATCAACAGAGTGCACCTACCGTCGTCTTTCCGTCCGGAGTGGCTCCGAACACGATCATCTTGTTGCCGACGCCGTCGCTTTTCGCTTTCGGAACTGTGCCGATCTTGCACTTGGGCGGCATTCTCGGCATCGAACTGATCTTCTGATTGGTGAACAGCGGAGGGGGCGGCGTCTTGCCCACCGCGGGAGGCGGAGGAACACGTCTTTGCGCCGGTCCGAGCTCGGCGACGTCGTAGACGCAGAAGCTGTCATCCGAGGTCGGAAGAAGAGGCGGCGGGGCCACGGAACTCATGTTGGGGGCCACTCCCGGGTAGACAGGGGCCTTGGAAGGCGACTTCCGACTCGCCGACGTTCTTCCGGTCACTCCCGGGAAGCAGGCCCCCAACTTCTGGGCCTTCTCCTTCTTGCTCTCATCCGACTTCTCAAACTTGGGCGTCACCACCTTCTTCATCGATTTCTCCTCGTTCTTTGAAAGTCGACGCTTTCTCGGAGCACTCTCCGATTTCGTACTTGTTTCAGATGATTCGACGACAACTTTTTTGACAGCTTTCTTCGACTTTTTAGACTTCTTTGATTTGGCCGACTTTCCAGAACTATCCTTCACTTCCGGCATCGTCAATTTCTTTCTGGAAGCGGCGGAGAATGTGGACGTGCGACGGCCCTGAAACTTTTATCAATTTGCGGGGAAAAGGGGAAGGTCACAAAGGTCTCGACGCGAAGAGATCGTACCTTTCTCCGATTGGTCCGCTTCGATCGAGTCGCTTCTTTTCCGGTCGAAATGCTCGTGGAGCCCGTCGTTTTGACGGAGACCTTTGAGTTAGTTTCCTTGAGACTCGCTTCGGAGGCGGTCGAGATGTCGGTGTTGATCGAGAAAGTGATGCGAGTGACGCTTTGCGGGCCTCCGGTCGCCTGACTTTGGCTCGTCGACGACCTTCCGAACACATTTCCCCGCTTTAGATCTGCATTTTTCACTTCTTCATTCACTTTATTCTCCCTTGTTGTCTTGAATTGTTTCCTACCATTCATGATCTTCTCCGGAGACGTCAGCGACTTGCCAGTTCTCTGTTCGGATCCATTCAAAATGGCGCGACTGGAACCGGCCGAGGTGTCCGCCAATCCAGAGTTCCTGAACTGTTTCTCATCCCTTTCTCCTTTTCTATTGCATCAATTACGTCTCAAAATCAGAAGGCGTCGCTCCGATGGCCGTCTTCACCGAGTTGCCGAGAGCCGTCGGGATCTGCGCCGGATCGGTGATAGCGGTGGCGGTGGTGAGACTCGGGGATCGGGCGGTCGGCGGGAACACCACAGATGATCTCTTCGAGAGATTTTGCTGAATAATACGGGGGGGGGGGGTGGTTTGGGTTATCAGAACCGAAAAGTTACCGATTTAGAAGGCGCGCTCATTTTTTTTACCGTCCACAGAGAGCTTGCTTCGATTGCGAGTTTGAGTGCGAGTGCAAAATGAGCAGTTTGGATGAAATTCGATAAAAAATATAAAGAGTTCACGTGTGGAGACCATTGCGAGTTCATAACAATCACTGCTATTGATGCTCGCTTCCTGCTTGCAACAGCTGAAACCGCCCGTACTGCCAAGTCTTCAAGAGGACTTCCGTCTTTCGGATCTCAACGGTGGACAGTTGTAACGTGTATTATGCGCAGATGAGTGAGACCGAAATCAAGAAGGGATGGCAGAAGAACACGCAAACTTGTCTTGCCAGCTACTCCTCGGGTTCCTACGATACTACGCAAAATTCAACTTTGAACACAAAGTTGTCCAGTGCCGAACCGCTAAAGTTGTTCTGAAAGCGGAAAAGATGTGGACGAGACCGGTGTGTATCGAGAATCCGTTTCTGCTGACCCATAATCTGGGCTCTCTTGTCATCAAACCTAGTAAGTTTACCGAAAGCGTCGCTGCTGCCTCGTCAAAACCCACGTCCTTTTCAGTGTTTCCATTCGTCAAAAGGGTTGTTTTCGCAGTCGAGCGCCGTTTTCTCTTCGGCAATCCCTCGAAATTAGCCGAGCGGACTCGACAATCTCTTGAATGTCGAACTCTATTTACTGGAAAGAGACCACCCGGCTCCGGACTTTGTGCACCTACGTCCGAGGTGCAATAGATGGTAGAAGCAGTGAAACAGAAGTGAATTGTGCTGCATTCTTATAATTTTTCTCTTTTTTGTTTTATCGAACGTCGCACGTTAAAATGCTACTGCGAGTTCCAAATCGTAATAGTTCCATTCCGTGCGAGTTCTACTTCGTTGTAGCGCCCTTTTTTTTCGGTAATAATATGAGAAAATAAAGATTCGAACGTTTCAAACAAGAGCAATCGGCCTGCTGAACACAGAAGTTCTTGCCGTCTTCGAGAGTTTTCTGCCCGTGGCGGCTGCTCCAGACATCATTTTCTTCACGGCCTCGCGGTACGGCTGATGCACCAAAATCATGGCGAAAGTGGCCAAGAGACCGTTGAATCCGATTGCAATCATTGCAAAGTTATTGTATTCTGAAGAGACAGTTGAAAATGAACAAACTTGGTTGTAAGGGGCAGAGTCAGAAGCAGTCATAACGTCCGAAAACAAGTTTTGAACGAAATCGCCATTCTTCATTCTTGCGTGTGCATTGCGAAAGGGTCGTATAGTACGAGACAGTAGACAGTGAACAGTACTAGACAAAAATTCATTCAAAACGTTTCGGATCTGATTGACGTCTTCTGATTCTACACTTTTCCGATAACTCGGCACTCACTCTGATTGTAATAGTTGTACGTGTAGGCGAACAAGTAATAGTACATCGGAATGACGATTCCAATGCCCGGAGTGAATGACTGCAACAATAGTGCCAAAAAGAACCGGCGTTGCATTCTCTGCGTGTTTTGCGAGACGTTCCGAACGGCGCAGAAGAGGTGATAGGTGGTGAAGGCGCCGAAATAAACGTTCAGAGCCGATATTGTGGCATAGATGAAATTAGAGACAACGAGGGCAGCTTGGTTTGGAGTGAAATCGATAAAGTTCGGATTCATTATGAGGTCTGATGGAACACACGGAACTTTCTGGATTGGTGGAATTCAGAGAAATGTGAATAGAAATAATAAAATAAAAGACTCACTTTTCTTGCATATTCTCTACGCTCATTCTGATCTTCCAACCTGGTAAATAAATAAATAATGTAGCCAATGCATATAGTGTAAACGACTGCGAACAATGAGATCCTCATGATATCCCTCGTTCTCGACCTTCCCATTCTTCCGATCACTATTGCATCGTAACGATTTTCGAAGAGGATGGTGAAAGAGAGAACGGAAGCTGCTAGAATGGCGAAGAATATCATCATTTGGATGATGGAACTGACTCCGATGAGGGACAGAAAACCGACTGGAACACCTGCGGGCACAGGTTCGAGCACGTAGAAGACGAAGAGAAACGTCATGTAGAAATCCATAAACGTGCAATTCGAATGAAGCAGAAGAATACTGTACCTGGCGGAGATCATTGTCTTCGGCGTTTTGAAAAGGATGATGTAAGCTCCGAAGATATGGATTGGAAGCTCGATTACAGTTACATAATGAAGAGTTTCTTTGAGAAAACGCTCAGAAAAGAGGTACGAATCCTCAAATGTGCATGTCATTTTGAGAGCAAGCTCTGAAAGAGAAGGAAAGTAGGTGAGTTAGAGCAGGTGATTCTATGTATTTTCAAATGAATCCATTTATTTATTTATTCTACTGATATATATGCCAAAAGAAATTCTATCCGAGAAGTGTCACAATCAGAAGCAGTGCTCAGTGGTGTCCTGCACGTTCACATAGACCGCCTTCGTCTGAGTGTGAGCCCTCAGCGTGTCGATGCAATTCTCTCTTCCGTGTCCCGAGTTTTTGAAGCCTCCGAACGGAACATTCACTTCCGTGTCGTTGTAAGTGTTGACGAAGACGGTTCCCGCCTGGAGTTTCGCGGCGACACGGTGTCCACGGGCGAGGTTTCTGCGAAAAGAAAAGCAACTACATATGGAATGGATCGAAGATCTTACCCGGAGAAGACTCCAGCAGCCAGTCCGTACGTGGTGTTGTTGGCGCGCGCGATCACTTCCTCTTCTGTGTCAAACGGAAGAATGAGGAGGACGGCTCCGAAGATTTCCTCTCTGACGGCCTTCGCCTCGTCGGTGAGACCGACGATGATGGCCGGATCGAAGTAAGCTCCGTCCTCGACGCCCTCCGGATGCACTCGGACTCCTCCTCTCAGGACGATTCCTCCCTCCGCTTTCGCACTTTCCACGTATCCGAGAATGCGTTGGAGGTGTCCTTCGTTGATGTTGGCGCCGACGCGAGTGTCCTCGTTCAGCGGATCTCCTACCTTCAGCTTCTCGTTCGCCTCCTTGACAATCGCCTCCGTGAAAGAGCTCAGAATGCCTTTTTGCACAAACACTCTCGTCGCATTCGTGCAAACTTGTCCTTGATTCAGGAAGTTGGCGAGCATTGCAGAAGCGACAGCTGACGAGAGGTCCGAGTCGTCGAAGATGATCAACTCGGACTTTCCTCCCAACTCGAGAGTCACCGGCTTCACATTCTTCGTGGCCGCCTGTCTCTGAACAGCCTCTCCGGACGCCACAGATCCAGTAAAGGACACTTTGGCGACGCGTTGATGCTCACACAGAGCGATTCCTGTCTGTTGCTCTCCCTGGAGCACGTTGTACACACCATCCGGCACTCCGGCGGCGGTCAGAATCTCTCCGAGAAGCACCGGAGAGGCCGGGGCGAACGGAGACGGCTTGTAGACCACAGCGTTTCCGGCGGCGAGGGCCGGAGCAACTTTCCACACGCAGGTCTGGAACGGGTAGTTCCATGCTCCGATGCATCCGACGACTCCGTACGGCTCGCGGCGGGTGTAGCAGATGCGTTGGGAGGGTCCTCCGGGCAGTTCGAGGGCGTCTCCCTGGAGGACGGCAGTGGCGATTCCACCGAAGAAATCGAAGGTGTCGGCGGAAGAGGCGATGTCGCAGCGGGCCTCGTAGATCGGTTTTCCGTTCGTTTTCACCTCCCACACAGCGAGCTCTTCGGCGTGCTCCTGCAAATATTCAAAACTGAACTGGGTGAATCTGAACCTTTACCGCTTTCGTCTCTTTTATGATCTTTTATCGATTCACATTCCTCTCTATTTTTTCTGATTTGAACCCAGACATCATACTATAGATAGCTCCGCTATCAGTTCAAAGCACAGACTTCTCATCATCGTCTGGAGTGTGCGTGTACCCGATGTTTGAGAATGTCAACACAGGACAGCTGTCACTCACACACTCATCCTACCGTACCCCCCGCTCCCAACTCACTCTGATCAAATCGGCGACTTTGTGGAGCACCTTTCCTCTGTCGAGAGCCGTCGTTTCACCCCATGCTGGCTGCGCGGCCGCCGCCACTTTCACGTACTCGTCCACGATTTGCGCGTTCGCCTTCGGGCATTTGGCGACCACTCGTCCTACAAACTGACGCGATGTTCAGGAATTCGGATGGTAACCCACCGATTCTCGGTTCGATCACGTCGAAAGTTTCCGTCGACTGCACCGTCGTTCGCTTTCCGTTCAAGAAATAAAGACCGCCGGAGAGGTCGGAAGGCGCCGTGAAGACCATTTCGCCGCTGAAGAAATATGTTATGAGAGGTTGAGTTGAGTTTGAAACAAGAAACGAAATGAATGGAATGGAATGGCATCTCGGAGTGAGCACATGTGACCCACTGGAAGTGTAATGAATCGACCGATGGCCGATTGATATAAGTGTCAGCGTGTGTTGGCTGGGTCGGCAGAGAGGAGACAAACATTATGATCTTCGATGTGGCACTGATAACAAAAATTGTAAATTGATTGATATTCCGAGGCGTTTTTGCGAGAAGCGACAGACAAACTTTCTGGACTCTAACACAAGACGAGAAATGAAAATCAGAGTTTATAAGCGGTCCCCGAAACGTCGTAGCTACAAAAAATAGGGATTCGAGGGGGCGAACATGTATGTTCGCCGCCTCAGAAGGAAATCAGTACAACGGTTCGAAATTGTTCCTCGGTGTCACCCAAACGGACTCGTTCTCGACCGGGCTGACGATGTTCACTTGGTCGACGCACTCGATTCCGTTTCCGATTCTGACGAGGAATTCGGGAAGACGGTTCTCGAGCGCGTCGAGCAGTTTCGTCTGCTTCTCGGGCGATAACTTGTTCCACAAGTCGTCGCTGTTCAATTCTTCTTCGAGAAAAGTGCGGTTACGGTACATCTGAAGAAGGGATTCATTCAATGTCACAGTCGAATATTTGGGAACTTACCGAGTAACGCCAGAGTTTCTTTTTGGTGAAGAAACAGTTGATGAAGTGGAACTCGACTTCCGTTTGGACCGCTTGCTCCGTTCTGACTATGATGTCAATGGGTTGATCGCGAGACTGAGCATAGACTTTATAGGTGAACGCCACGCAGATTCCGTTCTTCAGACGGAACTTGGCGACGCCCGAATACGAAGTGGAGATGAACTCCTCCCAAGTCTGTCCATGCTCCAGAAGAGTGAATCTATTCAGACAGGCCGTGCTCTTCTCGAAGGGGACCGTGAAGTTTGTGGCCGTGTTCAAGTACATCCGGCCGCTTTCGTCCAACTGACAGTAGTGCGGATTTCCTGAAACATTCGATTAATCAGCTTAAATTAAACTATTTACAAACTCTTAAAATACAGGCTTTTGGTGCTGCGAATGTCTGTCCATTGACAGATGAGACTGCGGAGAGAAGCGAGCGTCGTGAGCACGTCACAGTCATAAAGGAACTGCAAATAAGGAATGGGAAATGGTAAGGGACAGGCAAGGAACTGACCATTGTGGGAAAGGATCTGGAATCTTTCAACGACAAGAAATCGACGAGAATCGGGCACTTGAAAGCGGCCGGCATTTCGCCATCACGTCTGAAATCAACACAATTCTCTTTGAAACTGCTGCATTTTTGTGTCAATGGGTTATTTGAATCTGTAAGATCATAAAAAGGGATCTCAGAAGCCCAAAATGTCCTTAAACCCTCCAATTAGAAGTTGATAAGAGTGTTGCGTGTAATTAAGTCCGTGTGCCCCGATGGCCGAGCGGTCCATGGCGTGAGTCTTATGAACTCATTCGGGTTATTCCGATCGCGGGTTCGAATCCCGCTCGGGGCAATGATCTTTTAACACGTTTTGAGAAATGTTGCCGATAAAAGCTCATTTCGGCGGCAGCTCAGTGCCGTGCGGAACGGCGAAAGCGGGCAATTGTTCGGCGGAGACGTCCTCCGTCAGAACGCGTCCGTTTTCGGTTTTCTGATGGCGATGGAATGTTTGGTGATTGTCGAGGAAGTCGAAGTGCATCGATTCGTAAAGATGCTCCATTCTTGAGAGTAGCGAGTTCTGGAGGGCAGTTGGAAATTCTGCGGAGAAGGATTCAGAAGGCGTTGGTTACCGGAGAAGAGGTCGAGCGGGAAATCGGGAATTCGAAAAACAAGGGGAAATTGTTAAATATTCAAGCAAAGATCCGGGGAAGAAAAGTAGGGGAACATGCGCGTATTTTAATTTCTGCGTGAAATAAGTTTCGAAACAATTCGAAATTTGAAATGTTCTGGAAAAGGGAATTCTGAAATCCAAAAAAAAATGACAGTAGCACAATAAATATGCAATTATTATGAACTGAAGAATAGAATAGAATAAACGGACAAACAAACGTGGAAAAGGGAAAAGAAGGCAAAATCGAGGGAAAAGTATCACAATAGAAGTACATAGCACCACAAACACATACATGATAAGTAGATGAATCAGAGAGAGCCTCTCATGAGAAGGACACAGACGAAATACAGACAAAGCGAATGAATGACAAATTATGAATCGGATAGATAAAATGGAAAATAGAAGAGATATTATACATTTGATGGCCTAGACTGAGTATTTTGAAAACCGTTTTGGAGCGAGTTTCCTGCACCGGCGAGTCCGTCTTCGAGCGAATCGTTCAGTGGATTGGAAAATGATTGGAACCTGCAAAGGGGACAGAATGAGACATTTTAATGGACAAATCATAGAATGTTGATTAGAATTCTGAACATCACCAAAAGTGCAAAAGTCAGTTGGACATTCAAAAGCCGCCGCTTACCTGGTTCCCTCTCTTAAACTGCTCAGCCAATCGCGAGCGTTGTCGATGGCGTTGAGGGCTCGCAGAGCTCTACTCGAGTCGTTGCCAGCCGCTGAAATAATAAGAGCAACTCAACGAATAACACAGAAATCGAATATTATCGCTGCACTCGACGATGCTGAACAAAATGGTTAGTTAGATGGTTAGTAACGACATGCCACACAAAATCGGCCGTATGTGAGTGTGTCAAAAGCATAACAAAAGTGCGTGCATTTCAGACCACAACCAAGGATCACAAGCACGCACCGACCCAAATTGAGCAGATTGGAGGGTGCGTAGGCGGAGCGAGTCGTCGGCGATCCGAGTTCCGACGGCGGGGGGATCATTTCGACAAAGTCGCGCAGGCAGCCACGCTTCTCGATAGAACGGAGACCGTCCGAGTAGCGGTCCTGAAAAGTAGGATATAGTTTTGAAAATGAGACAGAGAACAACGTGATGCCGTCAGAAAATGACCGGTTTTTAAGTTCAACCGCAAAGATTATAGTTCGTACAAGAACGTACAATTATGTTGTCTGGTGCGGGAAAAAACTAATAGAATCTGTTGCTGTCTAGGTAGGAAGTGACGACTAAGACATCCGTAATGAGCATCGTTAGTGCTTCACTTCCATAGCAGCTCTTTTTTGTTCGCAGATCACTCGAAAGTACGTTTTTGGTGTCGCACGAGCGGCCGAAGAAAATAATAATAGTGATTAATTCATCTCTGAGTAATTGCACATTCCTTCTTTGTGACTGGCTCGTCATCGCCACAAAACTTCATCTTCTTCTTTCCCTTCCTATTTTCACTTAATAGTTGCTTCAACTATCTAAATTACTTCTATGGGCTATGTTCTTCTAGTTTTGTCTCTATTAGATACACGAGAACACTTGGTGTTCATTTATGATTATTCCAAATGCGTGGTGCGCGAGTGCTCTTTCAGGGGGCTCTCTACGTGTTTGTCTCGTCCGTTTCTCTCGATTGCCCATTTCATTTGGCCCTTCAGCTTGTTTTTATCTATTTCTGGCCGGCGACCTATACGCTTCCACCCACTTTTCAACATTTATAGTTTCACAAACCTTTACAACTTCATAGGCGTCCATAATAATGGCGATGAACAGTGAGAGAACGACGTAGATGAAAAGCGAGACGAACAGATAAATGTAGACTGTTCCGAACACCTAGAAAATACTAGAAGTCCACTGGAATTATATAAGCTTTACTCACTTTAATGACCGTATTCGAGTCATTGATAGTGTAAAACGTGGCAAACATGTCATCTCCGTTGAGAAGCGAAAAAAGCGCTTCGGACGATTCGGCAAGTGTTCGGAACTAAAATGTGATTATATGTGGGCGGACGGAATGGCTTTTCCTCTATATTTCTCCCATGTTTTCGTTGCATTTGCATCTCTATTGCCGCTCTCAGAGTTCAAATGCTTACCTTCATACTATACGGTCCGATGATGACCCATCCGGCGATGAGAAATCCGGCGTAGAGAACGATGGCGCACGTCATGAATCGCATTATATTCGGGAACGATCGTTTTAGAGTGAGAATGAGAATCTGGAAAGGAATATGTACATAAATGTGTGCAATTGACATGAAATGTGACGTTCCCCAACTTTCAAAGTGTTATGTGCACCTCCCCTTCTTATAATCTTCGACATTAATCATGAATTTCAAAAGAGATTCTGCTTTTTGTTTTCAATGCCCAGCATGTCTAGTCTGATTTGTTGATAATTATTCGGTCTGTCAAGAAATGATCTCCAAATCGACTCTATCTCACTAATGAACCGTCCACCTCCGTCCCCGGGGGAATTCTGACTCCTGAATCCACCTCGTGCTCTTAATGCTTTTCTTCTCTCCCCTTTCCTCCCACTTTTCACGCCAACTTTACAATTTTCAGTGGCTGGCCGCTCACTCGTTTAATTGAAAAAGTAAGTAGCAAGTAAATTGGTCAGAAGAGTGTGCTCATCAAAAACTTCTTCACTTCTTCAATGTCTTCAATCTTCTCGCACACTTCCCAAATTTCTGCTTTTCCGGGGGGCAACAGGACAGTCGCCTATGATTTTGATGTTCGGTAGGTGCTCGGAAAGGTCTTTTCATAGATCCCCAGATGGATTTCAGTCAGCCTCTGCTCGCAGTCTATCTGCTCTACACAATCCCTTCCTTTGTCGCCTATCATAAATGTCGGCAATTTGTATCGAAAGAAGCAATTGCGAGCAGTTATTTCAATGTGATTTTCACAAATGATTTCTACATCGTGAGCACATTATCACTTTCAAAAATGTTAACTATTCCCGGTTCAGAACGTCGCTCTCTTCGTGATTGACTTTCTGTTCACCCGGTTGCCGATCTCCGGTCTTTTCGTGAACCTCCCCGACTATGTCCCATCCGGATTCCCGCTAACGATTGTATATTTCCTTTCCTATTACCTAATCTACGCAAACTTCTTCTCAATCACTCTGATCTGCCTGAATCGAATGTCATCGGTCGTTTTTCCGTACTCTTGCAATATGGTCAGTCGGTTCCAACTTCTAACGCACCTTCACAACCTTATTTTTAGTTTTGGAAGCGTTACATCGTTGTTTGCATCGCTCTAATCTACATTCTTCCGTTTTTAACCACGTGGCAAATGTTCACCTACCGCCCGTATTTCATTCCACTTCACGACAACCGCTCCAACTATCAATTAGTCTACCAGTACACTATTCTACTTGGGTTTTTGGTATGCTTTTGTATTCAGAGTGCTAAAAAGTGAAAACAGAAGACGTTCAGATAAGGAACAGCACGGCTCTTTGCGCGGTGTCCGCAGTCCTTGCGGCAGTGTGTGTTTCCGCGAACATTCTGACGATTGTTCAGTACAAAAAAACGGTCCAAGTGATGAATAGTGGTGGAGGCCAAAGTGAATTTCATCGAAGGAGAACGAAACGAACCGAATTGGCAATGTTTGCCATTGCGCTCGTCGTCTGTCTCTCGCTGGTGGTCCAGGCGATTTTACAGGTGTTTTCAGGTTGAATTCATAATAACGTTTTCTGGATTTCAGGGACTGATCGTGGTCTATACTTCTGGCGGAATCCGTGAGACATGCCAGGATCTGCGTGCTTTCGCTCTCGATTTCGCAATCTGTTGTCCTCCCTGGATACTCTACTACACAACTGTCCATTCTCATAAAACGACAATATCCCACAATTCTGCCGCTTCTGGAGCCAATTTTCCCTCGAAAACTATGTTCTAACTGCTAAAACTGTTGTACATAAGTAAAAAGTTTAAAACTTACATTGTATTGACTGAAGAAGCCAAAGTATCTGAGCACTCCAACGTACACCATAAGGGCGCCCATTCCGAGGAAAATTGAGGTCAAGGTGAAGAGCGAGTTGTCGAAATCCTTCAAGAAATTAGTTGACTTTTGATTGAAACTTTCCGCTTGCTCACCCGGAATTCAATGGAAATCTTGGCGACCGTTCCCAAAATGATGAGCGTGTCGTTGACCACAATCATCACGTACCACAAATTGAGAAAATCGAGTTGATCGGTGACGGTGATCTTGTTTTTGAGCACATTCTCGAAATATTCGCTCGTTTTCAGTTGCAGCAGATGGGCTTTGATGAGGGCGCGACAGCATAGAATAAGTGAAAGAATGCAGAGAAGGAGGACGAGGATGTCCGTTCCGCCGATGAGCAAAGTGTCGAACGACCAGCCGACGCCTGAAATCTTATCTGACAAGACAATGATTTTAAGTTGAATGCGGGAAAAGGGAAAGTCACTACATTCAGACAGTTTTGAGCATTTTAATAATATCTCAGCTTTGCGTGCTCACCCTTGATGATCCGTCCATTGCAGACATTCACATATGAAACAACGGTGCCCAGAGTGACGTGAACTTGTCCCGTATGCCTCGAATTGTCAAACTTGATGGCTACTGAAATCTTGTAGCACTCTGGCTTCTGGTCTCCTGCCGTCGGTGAGTAATGGATGGTTCTCAATCGGAATTTGAACTGAACCGTCGAGATTTTCAGCGCGTCTTCTGGCTGGAATGTGACTCCTCTGCTCGCCAGAATCTCTCTCACCGCATCGTCCGATTGACCGATTTGCAATACTTCCGATTCGGTCAAATTCAATCGTTTCGTGTCTTTGACTTCCCGAATATCGAAATCATAAGTGTTGTTGTTGACGGTAACGTTCGAGATTCGATCGATAAGAACTTCGATCGGCGGAATCGAATCGAAATTGATTGTGGCGCCCAAGTTGGAGGCCGGATGGCTGACGACGTCGTAGGAGAACGAGGCAAATGAGTCGTTTCGGATTGCGTAGTACTGGAAGGATTATTTTTGACGAAAAATTTTCAAAACCTTACTGAATTGATTAAAAAGCTTAAATGCTCGGAGAGACCCTGATCATCGTAAACCGAATATCGTCCTTCGGCGGGAGGATACTGCAGGGCGTCCCTGTCGTCGTTCCATTCCTTCAGAAAGCGATGCCGCATTACTGTGGTCGTGTCTTCGAGGAAATCGACGTGCGACATTCGCATCTCGGCAAAAAGGATCAATTGCATTGTAACGAATACAATTTTCAGCACTTGGAGTACAAGTTTGTAAGGCAATTGACGACGGACCTGAATGTTTCGATGTTTTTTTTGAAAATTGGTTATCGCTTACTTTCCACTTCTCCATGGGGTTCATGAAGAAAAACTGCAAGTGTCTCCTCAACCTTTCGCCAGTTTCACGCTCAGGTTCACTCAAATCTTCCATAATTTCTTGGAAATTGATTGTAGGCCGACGGGAAGCGCTCGTCGAGGCATTCGATGCATTGTCATTGAAATCTGATCGGTCTGTGGTGCTCCGTCGAGACATCTGCAACTTTGAAAGTGTCAGAAAATTACGAAATTTCAAGTGAAAACTGTCGAAATCATAAGAAGCGAAAAATGAAGAAACATTCTAAACAGGGCCGCTGATCCGCGTAAATCGTACTAGTGAGGTACACCGAGCGGTGTCTCTGCGGACCATGTCCGTCATTTTACGACAGTTTCTAAAAACTTCGTGAACAATTCTGGAAAATTGCAAGGAAAGATGTGAAAATTGGCAGTTCTTATCAGAATTTTCGTCAGTGTTATCTGTCAAATAATCAGTTTACTTCCATGTAATATTAAAAGCTCAAAGTTCACAGAAATGTGTCAGTGGCAGATAGTCTTACCGTTTCCAGAGGAATCTGCTCCAATCGCATCGACTTGGAAGCGTGGCTTCTGAATATTCGGCTCATTTTTAGAGGCTACACAGTGAGTTTCAGGTGTTGGAGCTGGTTTCAAGTGCAAACATGCTGAGCAGGGAGTGAAAAGAGCCGGAGAGACGGCGAGACAAACGTCAATTTTTTGTTTTTTGCTGCCTTTTTCTTGCTTCCAGTCGACAAATAATGAGAATGAAAATGGCGGAAAGCAGAGCAGGTGGGAACACAGATAATGAGGATATATAATAAGGGGTTTTGAATGTGGAAGACAATGTAAGAGCAAAGCTTTTGAATGACAAGAATCACAGATTTTATATGGGGAAAACATATGAAAATGGGGAAAACGATCAGTTCAGACAGTTTCCTTGTTGAGCAGAAAGAGAGTATGGTTCACAAGGCTTCCGCGGGACAAAAGTGCAGCGGAACGACTCCGGCGGTGACGAAATAAACCTGAATTTCTGCATAATTTACAGCAAAGTTTGTATTCCTCTGACGCACTTTGTCCCTCTTATCAGACATCCGCACCTCTTCCAGAACTCGGCCCTTATTCACACACGTCCTAAAAAGATTTCCGCAATTTTCCCAATTCATCACTCTTGTTTTCTGCGCCGTTTCCGATCGCTCTTTTCCTGTTTTCTCGTCCAATTTTTGGTCGTTCTCCATCGATTCGCCGTCACTGCGTGGCTATTATTTTGAATTCGTCGACAAGCGAAAGTTCCCGTACGTTTCGCCCCGACGGTTGGCACTTTCGCACACTCTTTTTTGGTTTGCGAATAAATATTTCATTTCGTTCAAATTTACAATGGAATTCATGAAATTGGCGATCGAGGAGGCGAAAAAAGGAGTCGAATGTGGAGACGGAGGGCCGTTCGGAGCGGTGCTCGTGAAGGACGGAAAAGTGATCGGAAAGGGGCACAACATGGTGCTGGTGAACAAGGATCCGACCGCCCATGCAGAAGTCACGGCTATCCGCAACACTTGCAAGAATCTCGGTGAGCTCAACTCCTAGTTAGTTGGGAGTCGTTTGCCCGCGACAAGTCTAGTTTTAAAGTACGTTTTTGTGGGCACTAGGTAATTTGAGTACAACCTGGACAACTGCAGTATTGGCCACGAACATATATGTAATGGCTCTCTGATGTTTGATCGGTGTTGGCGGATCCTGTGTTTACTAAAAAACCTTCTTTTTCCAGACACATTCGATCTGTCGGGCTGTCAACTGTACACTTCGTGCTACCCGTGTCCCATGTGCATGGGCGCCGCGCTCTGGTCCCGAGTCGACGCCATCTACTACGGTGCCACGTCACAAGACGCCGCCGCCATCGGGTTCGGCGACCACGAGTTCCACGCGTTCCTCCAGAATCCGAAGAGCGACGAGAAGCGGAAGTTGGAGCAGTTCAAAGTGGGAAACTACCTGGAGCCGTTCCAGATTTGGGCGAAGAAGGAGGACAAGAGCCAGTACTGAAAGAGTTTCGCTTATGCATAATAAATCGTTTGCTCTTTCACTTTTGAATAATTGATTCTTGATAGACTTCTGCGCGAGAAACTTTCTTAGAAGAAGGAAGAAAACAGGAACAGCAAAACAGAAAAGCTTCTTCTTGGTCTTCTTCTTACTTGACATTTGTGTCATCCAGAAACATCAACGAGCACATAAATTTTTAACGTTTAGATGACGTCACAAAGTGTGAAGATGCCAAAGAACAGAAGCGGTTCCCGTGAATCCTTTTCAGACAGATTTGGAACGAGGGTGAATCACTAATCATACAAAGGCTTACAACACTTCCGCTTCCTATCCTTCCCTCCAGAAATCTCGTGCCGTCAGTCAAAAAAGCGGTGCGAAAGGACGTTTTCCTACTCCTCCTTCCCGGCTTCTTCTTCTTCTTCTTCTTCTTCCTTGAAAACGTCTTCGCCTCTAGCTTCCCTTCGTCTCTTTCTCGAGAGAGAGAGATGGCTTTGCTCGTCGAGCCGCTGTTAGAGAGAAGAAAAAGGCGCGCGGCGGAGCGGGAGACACACTCTGTGTCCGACGCCGTCGCGCGGGGGCTCCGCGAGCACACACACACACACACATGCACACAACTTCTTTCTTTTCTCTTCTTTTTTGCTTTTTATATAGATTTGTGTGTGTGTGTGTGTGCGTACCTTTATCGACTTTTCCACTGTCCGTGTGTTGACGTGGCGCCGATTCGAGGGTGAAATCTTTTCACAATATCGAATTGCATTTCAACGGCTTTCTTCCATCTTCCATCTTCCATCGCTTTCAGTTTTAGTCAAAAGCTCGCCGCATTTAATAATAGTTCAGAAAGTCGTGCAAGATCTACGTCATCATGACCGCAGGGAATTGGAAACTTTTGTTTGTCGAGTGCTCTTCTCACAGAGAACTCTCTTTTTTGACTAATTGGAAGCCAAGCATTCGTCATTTCCGGCGGAGAGAGAAAGAGAGAAATGGTGTGAAAACAAGTCGGGTAACCGATTCCAGGCGTGTTTTTTCCTGAGAAATGAGCTCACTAACCGATGGTGGCCTGGATTTCCGATTCGGTTTTACAGGACATCTTGTAAAGGTGGCCTAGCTTTTCTCTTTGTTTTCTAGATCATTCACGTAAGACCTTACCAACTTTTTAACTCCAGGAAGAACCGCTAGAAAACTTGACATTTTAAAACCGGACGCTTCGAAATGTTTGTAACTTCTCACCCTCCTTCTAAAAACGACCTTCACACGTATCTGTACGATCTACTGAAAACATTACGTGTCTCAACCACTTCACAATTATCCATCAGAGATTACTTTTCCTGCCGAGTCGTCCGAGACGTCATCATCTCTCCTCTTTTCCTCATACTTATCTATGCCAACTCCTTCTTCTTCTTCTTCTTCTTCTTCTTCTTCTTCTTCTTCTTCTTCTTCTTCTTCTTCTTCTTCTTCTTCTTCTTCTTCTTTTCCTTTCCTTCCAAGACGTCAACCCTGCCATCTTTCTCTCCGTTTTCTCAATCCTTTCACCTCGTTCCAATTCCTTTTGGTGCGTGTGACGGGCGCGGCTCGCGGAGCCGCCCGTCTATAATTACATGACTAGCTCCCCCTCCGGTCTTTTTCCGTTTTTGTCTTCTAGTCGTCTTACGAAATCTGTGATTCTTACGAAATCAATGCACTTTCAGGTATGGAGAACCACGTGGGCGAGAGAACGGTGAACATATTCGGGAAGGTTTTCCCGAGGGACGCCTTCATATGTCGCCTCTATTACCTCGCGTTCTTCGCCAGTTTCGGAAGTCTCTTCCCTCTTCTAGCCGTCTATTTCAAGCAGTTGGGCATGACCGCCGCACAGGCGGGCTTCTTGATTGGGGCTCGACCGATTGTCGAGTTCCTTTCCGGACCGTTCTGGAGTCAGTTCGCCAGTCGATTCAGGTTGGTCACGTCATACAATGTAATATAATAGTCGGTGGTGTCGTCACTTTTATGACGCCTTCTCCCCCCAGATCCAGTTGCAAACTGACCAAAAGTATTCAGGAAACAAAAGCTTTTGCTGCTCTTCTCACTTGGCTCCCTGGTCGTGTTCACTTTAGCAGTCGGACTCGTCCAACCTGTCACCCCATACTGCATCGTTTATGTGCCAGGCAAACCGATTTTTTTGACTTTGAAAGAGAATAAAGAACGAGAGTTCAGAAGGCAACAAGACATGTCAAACAATGCTGGCGCCGGCCGGAAAGGTAATTCGCGGAGGAGCGTTGGGAATGCTCAAGGAGACGTTGGTCGGAGGCTCCACGAGACCCGCCAGGCACCGGAGACAGACTCAGAGCCGTGAGTTTTAGAATTCTGAAAAGTTTGTTTGAACAGTGTCTCAAGGGTACGCACGGCCCGACGTTTCATACATGCGACTAGCGGCTTTTCAATTTATCTCCAGAAATCGAACATAGAAAACTCTGCTTTTCAAATGAGCCGAGAAATGTAAGGTTTCTGTGGGAAGTATCAGCTTCTCAATTCCGGTCTGTAGTTCATGTTCTCATAATCTAAAAGTTGTCTGGAACAATACTGCTTCTGTGAGACACATTCATTCGAAGTTAGCCGTTTTGAACTGAAAGTTAGAACTATTTTTTCACTTTCACTTGTTAGTATTCTTATATTATATTTCAGCGATCGTGGAAAAGATAATCGACCTGAGCTCGTTCGACAGTGAAGAGGACACGATAGCCGGAATAGCGCCAGAGTACATCACCCGGGATCGGGTACGTTTCTTCGTTGCCACCCTCTTCTTAACTCAAACTTGCTCAGGTGTGCAACTACAACGAGGACAACTACGGAATCCTGGTTTCGCCGCCGCACTCGACCCGGGTCTACCGTCAGCCGGCCGTTGAGCAGGCGTTCATGCTCCTGCTCATCCTCATCTGCCTCGGCGAATTCTTCTCTTCGCCGGCTCTTCCGCTCGCCGACGCCGCCACTCTCAACGCGGTGCGCGACAATCCGGCCGAGTTCGGAAAGATTCGGTTGATGGCGTCCGTCGGCTGGGGACTCGCTATGTTCGTGATGGGAGTGGGGTTGGATTACTCGGACACGTTCCGGAATCATCCGTGCCCGGCGGAGAACACGACCGAGAAGAACTACACGCTCTGCTTTGTGATGTGTACGATCTTCCTGCTGGCTGCGATGGGATTGGCGACCAAGTTCAAGTTCGACGATGACGTGCCTGCTCCTGGAGAAGTGCACGGATTGGTGATGGACACGAGAGAAGCAGAGGTGTCGCACGTGGTCGCCGAGAAGGCGAGGGCGAGGGTTACACAGGTGAGCAGCTGGAATTTGGGAGAGAATGAGCCAAATGATTCTTTTCAGTCGGAAGGCGGTGGCGACAACAGTCTGTGGCTGGCGCTGAAGGCATTGGCCAGCATGCACATCCTGCTCTTCTTCGTCTCCGTCGTCGTGATGGGCGGCGGCGCCGGCCTCGTTTTCAGCTTCCTCTACTGGCATCTCCAGGACATCGGCGGCTCTCCGGTTCTGTTCGGTATCCTGTCCGTTGTAAATCACGCCTCCGAGATCATTACCTACTTCTACGTCTTCAAGATCATCAACAAGGTAAGCCCCGTTTCTCCGTGGAGCGCACTTCCATCTCCCCCTTCATTTCAGTACGGCCACGTGCGCGTCATGTACCTGTGTCTGGCCGTGAACGTATTCCGTTTCCTGGCGCTCTCGGTGCTCGACAATCCGTGGATGGTGCTCCCGTTACAAGTGCTCCAGGGCGCGTGTCTGGCCACCGTCTGGTCGTGCGCCTCTTCCTACATCTCGCTCGTCGCCCCGCCTCACGCCAAACAGCACGCCCAGTACGCTCTGCAAGTCGGATATCACGGCCTCGGAAAGGGAATCGGATCGATCGTCGGCGGATCCGTCATTTCGGTTATTGGTGAGTGGCCGAGGGGAAATCAGGCGAAAACTAGGTCATGTGCATTCCAGGCTCTCGCTCCACATTCGTTTTGTACGCTCTCATTTGCCTGGTCACTTGTGCCGGAAGTTTCGGTCTGAATAAGCTGTTCAAGTACGAGGGAATCAAGTACGGAGCGGGCAACTTCGAAGAAGAGGACATGGAAATTATGGGTGAGCAAGTGTGCCCCACTGATAAACTCTTACCCGTTGTATTTTAGCTCCACAAGGAGTGCCGATGGCTCGAGACGGAAAGATTACCGATGCTTTCAATTCCACGACAGTCGTGAACGCCAACTATGGAGCTATTGTCCAGGAGGATCCCACTCAAGACGCCTACGACCGTTACGTGTCTGCAGGACGTGACTAAACTTTCCAATTTAGGCTGTAATTATTATCAGGAGAATGACACCAGCAATAAAGAATGCCTTTTTCAAGAATAGTAGATCCTAGTGCTGATGGCTACCGTAGATCATACCTGTGTGAAGCAATAACAAAAGACTATGGCTATTCTTTATTCTCTCTCCACCTAACTTATTATTACTTTTTCTCGCTCTCACTTTTTTGTCCATCCATTTAATGAACCATTTTCTTTCTGATCTTTATGTAAAAATGGAGTGAAGGAGATAACAGAACAAAGATAGGAGGAAAAGATAAAGATAAAATCAACAAATTCGAAACAAAAGGATGACAAACGTGGTGTTTAGACGGCAACCGCGCTTGCCATCTTGGCCTTCTTCTTCAGTTTCAGAGCGTCGTTGCGGTTGCGCTTGAACTGGGTCTTCATGCTGTGGTAGACGCGCTGGTGCTTCTTCGAGATCATCAACTCGCGCATCTTCAACTCTTGTCCTTTCTCGACTGTCTCGTGGAACTTCTCCTTGCTCTTCTTGTGCATTTGTCCGACGGCGATGTGAATTCCCTTCGGCTTCTCTGGCTTCACTTCCTTTCTGCGCATCGGTAACTCGTCCATCGTCTTCGGAATGGCTGCCTCAAGCTCGGAAACATCTGAAAATCGCATAATTAGAAGCTATAACCCGACCAAAGCAGAAGTTCTCATACCCTTGCCCATGCTTCTCAACTCTTCCAATCTTTCAAATGGAATGTAATCTCCGGCCTTTTCAGAAGTGAATGGCGAGAAATGCGGTGGAAGGGCGACTCCCGGCATGTATTTCTCAGTGGGCAACTTTCTGCGAGCATTCAAGCAGTCGAACACCCACTGCGGCTGCACATAGATTCTGTTGACCTCCAACTTGTCCATTGGCCGATCGACAATGTGGTGAGTGATACTCTTGCTGTCCGCATTCAACTCGGTCGGTCCTGCATCCCATCCGACAACTCCTCCTCCATTTCTGATGATGAAAGTGAGCGCCTCTTTCGGGCACTCGCGATTAACGTAGAACACGCATCCCTTGAACATCGTCTTGATGCTCTTGCCCTCCTTGATCTTCTGGGCAAGCGCACCGGAGTCCTCTCCAAGCAGATCCAAAGGTTCATCGTCTTCCTCATTCAGTTCGACATCCTTTCTCTTGGCCAGTGGTTTCGCCAGACTGTACACCTTCTCCTTGTATTCCTCGGTCTCCATCTCGTCACTCTCGACGATCTGTCCGATCTGTGGCGGGTAGAAGAGACCGATTCCCTGGTAGAGCTTGAAGTTGACAAATCCAAGCATCGCAATGTAGAACTCGACGAAGGTGACAAGGACGGTGAAGTCGACGTCGGTGACGTGTGGAAGACCGCGCTCGTGTGGCACGATCCAAGTGACCTTTTCACCATGAATCTCTGCCTGATAGTAAATTCCCTTGATGGAAATGAAGGTGTTGCGGAGCGATTGCGACTCGATGACGTAATGCATGAACTCGGCAGTCAGTTTACGGCAACTGTCGATCATTCCCTCTTTGAGCACACGAGTGTGTGGGAGCATAGCGAATGTGAAGCAGAGAGAAAGTGCGTCATCGAGATCACGGAGGGCCGATCCGAAAGTCGGGAAGCGCTCCTTGACAACAGAGTCGAGGTTGTATTCTGGTTTGTTGTCGTGCAACTTTTTGATTTTATCCTCCTCCTTCTTTGCTTTCAAGTGATTCAGCTTTCGCAGGAATACCTGAACAGTTTTATTCTTTTCAAATGTTGTCACTTTGCAACAATTCTCACCTTGTACTCTCTGAACTTGTTGATGATTGGTTCGTGAGCCAGGAAGTTGATGTCTTTGCGATAGTAGAACACTTTATTAGCGGTGGAACCCTTGTTTGCCTGCTTCTTGTGAGCCGGTTCATGTGGGTAGATGCCCTGAAATATGAAGTGTTAGACACTGATTCCAAAAATCGATATGCGCACCTTGATAATACAAAGCCGGCGGAAGTCTTTGAGGGTGAGCTGGAGCTTCTTCAAAGCCTGCTTTCGCGACATGTACGCCACGGCGGCTCCGGCAGTGTACTTCTGTTTGAAACGGTCCTTCATTCTGCTGAAAAACAACAATCTTCAAGTAAGTTGGATTACTAAAAAAAATCGACAATTGGCAAGAATTAGTCACGATTTTGAAGATATTTTATGAAAAACAGATAGGATTCACACTTTTCTAATTTTTTTTAAATGAAACAACTATGGGTTCGCCAAGATGATCATAGATTTGGCTTGAAATTGGCACGACGAAATAAACTACGACGGTGGGCGGAGTCCCGTAAATAGAAAACGCAACTGCCGCACACTCGATATTTGACTGAGTATCGACGCAGTAAAACATGGGTGATACGGAGTCAAAACGCTTTAACGTGCAATTCCTCTTTTCAGGCTTTTCTCCTCTTTTATTAGGAAGGTCTCTGCGATCTTTCCAAGTTTAGTAAATTTTTTTGTAAAAAACTACGATTTGTGTTTAATTTCTAACGTTATTTTCTCGATTTTGTGTCTTTTCGCCTAAAATTTGCTTATTTTCGACCGTTTTTCTCCGATTTCAATTTGATTTTCCGTCAATTTAGCCTTTTTTGCAGGTAATCCCGGAAGATCATGAAGCTGATCGAGTCCAACGACACCGTTGTGTTCCCAGAGGGAGTGACGTTCACCGTCAAGAACCGCATCGTCCATGTCACCGGACCACGCGGAACCATCCGCAAGGATTTCCGTCACTTGCACATGGAGATGGAGCGCGTCGGAAAGAACACCCTCCGCGTCCGCAAGTGGTTCGGAGTCCGCAAGGAGCTCGCCGCCATCCGCACTGTCTGCTCTCACGTCAAGAACATGATCAAGGGAGTCACCCTCGGATTCCGCTACAAGATGCGCTCCGTGTATGCCCATTTCCCCATCAACGTTACCCTTCAGGACGGAAACAGAACCGTTGAGGTAAATAAACATATATTTTTTATAGTGGTAAAATTAATCTTCCAGATCCGTAACTTCTTGGGAGAGAAGATTGTTCGTCGTGTCCCACTTCCAGATGGTGTCATCGCCGTCATCTCCACCGCCCAGAAGGACGAGATTATCGTTGAGGGAAATGATCTTCAGTTCGTGTCTCAAGCCGGTAAGACATTAGCACAATTAGAAGATCTCCTATTTTTCCTATTTTCAGCTGCTCGCATCCAGCAGTCTACCGCCGTCAAGGACAAGGATATCCGTAAGTTCCTCGACGGAATCTACGTTTCGGAGAAGACCACCATCGTCGCGACCGACTAAATCCAAACCCGTTTTTGTTAAATAAATTGTTATCAAAAAATTTATTTGAACTACGTAAGCTTGTTAGCTAGTGATTTTGCTGTGGAGCTATTCTCGATCGTCTCCCGTTCATCCTTAGATTTCTGGGTCATCTGAGTAATCGGTTTCTTTCTCAAAAATTGAGATTTTTGTACTGTTTATGATTGATCGTTTATCCATTATCCGCTTTTAAATTTCCCAATCTTCAGCTTCCACTTTTTTTTTCAAATGCTCTGCTCAGGAGGTTCTATAGGCATTCAATCAATAATTCCCGAAAATTTTCGAAGGCCTTTGATATTATGACCCAGTTGAAGTTTCTAAACTTTTCAGGCATTTTTAGACCGATTCCAAAATGTTTCAACTCAAGTCCGAGAATCCTACAGAGTTTGGTTCTGATCGGAATGCTCCCATTGTGCCAAAAATACATGTGGCCGGAAGGCTTTCGAAAAGCTCGGCCCGGTCATTCAACACATCCCCAGTTGCTGAGCTTCAGTAATAAACTGCCGATTCGTCATAACCCCTCTTGGTGCCCTTTCGTTGTGTGCTCGCTCCGTACAAGTGTACGAAGAACACCTGACACTAAATAGTAGGCGCCCGTCCGTCCGTCCGGCGCCCTTTCCCATCTGGCATCTGTCGGACTCCCGAGTTGAGCGGAGCAGAAGCCACGTCTACGCATTCTTCGGACGACGGCTCCAGAGAAAGACAAGACAGACACATGCTCATCACTTTTGTGCGAGAGTGAGTGTGTCTGTGGCCGTGTGCTTTTTTGATGCAGCAACAGCAGCGTGTGTGGTGGTGGTGGTGGTAGTGTCTGCCCGTGTGAATGAATGTGTAGAGGAGAATAGAGCGAAGGGAACCGACAGAAAGAGGAGCGGCGGCGACGGCGGCGGCGGCGATCGACGAAGAGGAGGAGACGAAGGCGAGAAGCGGGTCGGAAGGTGCATAGATACACGGGGGTGAATACGATAGGGGCCGAGGAGGGGCTCTAGTTGGCTGTAGGGGGGAGAGGGAATGCGTCGAAGGGCAGGCGGGGAGAGCGGAGACACTGGGAGAGGGCGGGAGGACGGACTACTGTGGATGATGGGTGAGAGCAGACGATCGAGGTTGCCCGTGACCTCATACCGAGAAATGATCGATTCTTTGAAGACCCCTTCCTGCGATTCTCTCTACATTATGGATCGCTCAGTTAGTCTTCTTGGACCCGCCTGACTCACAACTGTCTAGACCCCTTACCTCATACCGTGGAACGATCGATTCTTTGTCTCTTCTCTTCGAACCTTTTTCTGACTTGGCTTTTCTGAAACTGTCTATATCCCTACGGTACGCTCCGACACTCCCCTAGCCTTCTTCTTGTTCTTCTTCTTCTCCTGCTGACCTGCCGCCTTCTCCTCCGATCCTTCGCCTTCATCACATGCTCGTGCCCTTCTTCCTCTACCATCTCGCCTATTCTCTGGATCTTTGCACCTCCTCCACTCTCGTCCGCCTTCTCCTGAATCCTCCGCCGACCGCAAGCGTGTGTTCCTACGCTTCTTCTTCTTCCTCTTCTCCTTCACTGTCCTTTGCTTTGTTTGTCTGTGTCCTCCGCGCATCCGATCCTCTCTGCCTCCATTGACTCGGGTCGCCCGCACACCGTCGAAAAGCCAGCGAGTGACGAAGGCAGCATGGCGACGCGGAGAGACTTAGATGGCGTCGACACTGCGTGCACCGTGAGTGTAGTTCCCCCGTGGCCCGCCTGGAAGAATGCCGTCTCCCTGCGTCTCGTCACTCGCCACTCTCTCTGCCCAATGTTTTGCTCTCTGTCGCTGCGTCGCGAGTCCCTCGTCCATCGCACCGCCGCCACCAGCACCGTCTGGTTTTCGGCGCTATCTGCTTCTCTGTCGTTCTCTTTTTTTTTTCATATTCTCCTCGTGCGTTTCTGCGTCTCCAGCACTGCTTCTTGCAAAAGGAGCGCTGAGAGAGAAGGCGAGGGGCGGAGTCTCCGATCATCGACGGTTGCCACCTCATCTGTCTGTCTGCTCTCTTGTACTTGCCTATTCGCTCTGCTTTTCCCGCACTTCTCGCTTCTTTCAGGCTCTTCGAAGGTCTCCGAGCATGACCCCGCTCATGGATGAACACGAGAACGGATGCTATGTAAGTTGCTCGAGCTACCGTAATCCTTCTGACTTTTTCTTTTCCTATCAAACACTTTCAAAACGATTTCTCTAGGTTTGAAAAGTAGTTGAATTTTTCTTTAATTAGAAACAATCTGAGCCTGATTCCTTCTACAGTAATCGTATGAATAATTTCGCGTTCCCCATCATTCAATGTTTCTCGCACCAACTGTACGATTTAGTACTTTTGGTGACTCATCTGCACACAACATACTGTACAATTCCAGAGCATCACCTCAAGCTACGATGCGATGGAAGTGGAAGATCTGCCGGATCCGCCAGAGTTCGAGCCCAACTTTCCGCATTACACTGACCGGGATCGCGAGGTCGTGATCGTTCTTCCTCAGGATCAGCTCCGATACTTCTATCGTCTGGCAATCCTTGTGGTCAGACAACTCGACAACAGCCGACTCGTCTACGAAGCGGATCATGAGGACGACTGGGTCAAGCTCTCCATCGGAAACGTCGAAATCACGCTCTATCTGGAGTACGGCGAGAGAGAGAGCTACATGAGTTGCAGTGTGCTCCGCAATTTCATCGGCCTCCCGGGAGTTTCGTACGCGGTGTCGGCCGGACGGCTCTTGAGCGAGATCCTGAGACAGCTCAACTGGCAGGTCGCCTCGTTCTTCCCAAAGTCCGAGCTGCTGGTGGTCGGCTTTCCGACGAGACCGTTCTCGGCGAACGTGATCAAGTTCGAGGCGGACAACCCGCGATCGCTCGTCATCATGGACGTCTGGATGCGGCAAATCGTCGAGGGTTTCCTGGTGCACATTGGAGAGGTGCACTCGGCCGAGGCTGAGATGCGAGCCATCCACATCTACCGAAAGCACGTGAGTGGAGCGTTTATTTATTTTCAGATTGGGAGCCTGCCAGAGGAAATGAATATGAAATATGCAGTGGGCGGGGCGCGCCAATGAAGAAGCTCAGTTACCAAAGTACATTCTGAATTTGCAGTTCGAATTTCGTGCCCTCGGATGGCAATGCCCGCCGCACATGATCGCGAGGACGCAGCAGATCCGTGTGAACCTCCGCGAACTGAACATGATCAACTGCGACTTCGCTACGGCGCTCTACTTCCGCTGGATCAAGGGATGGATGAAGGGCGAGGAGGAGATGAAGCATCTCAACGAGGTCTATCTCTGTCGCGACGAGGCTGAGATCAACGAGAACACTGTGAGGCTCTACCTGAGAATCCCGACTCTTAACGGATCAAAAGACATTGTTCTGAGAAACGTGCACGGAATGAAGGCCTGGTTCCGGCTTCTGGGCAGTGGATGCGTCCTGTTCGAGGCGCTGGCGGAGGAACCAGAGGAAAAGAAGATCAAAGGTATTGGGATGGATCAATAGATTCTGGATCAACTTGCATTATTTTCAGAGATTGCATACTCGCTCGAACAAGCCGCGATCACGGGCGATAACAATGTTGGATTCCAAGAGTTCACCGTCGAGTACAAGCTTCTCGGTGAGTTTCCGTTTTCGTCGACTTGTCTCTATAAAAGTGCAATTTCCAGAATACGCCTGCAACTTCGGCGTTTCGAATCAGTCCAAGAACACTGACGAGCGTCTCACGAATCTCGTCAAAGAGTTCAGCGAGAAAAGGATGGTCGGAGAGCGGTGACTCTGAACTTCAATCAATAAAACAAGAATTAAATAATTGTGACTCACGTTTCCATTTCCTACTTTATCTGTTCAATTGTACCGCCAAGAGCTGGCCCCCGCCGTATTTCCGTTCCGGTACCGCCCATCCCCATTAGTGATAGAACCTGTCCCACACACCCGTAATGTCTGCGATTGGACCGACCCGCTTTCTGATAATCTTTTCAACGCTTTTGACGCGATTCTATTGCTTTTCCGCTTTTCTTTCTTTTTTTTTCAAATATCATTGTGAATAAAGATAGAAAGAAAGAAGTTTATCAAAGAACGCTTTTTTTTTACAGATTCCTCATAGACATTCTCTACTTGTGCCTGTGAATGCAATCGCGAGTCTCTCCGGCCCACTTTCCGGCCAATTGGATGGTTCCGAGATCGAAGACCTGAGAAAAAGGGCAGCAGTTCGGTGGAGCGCATTTGCATTGAACTCACTTTCGCCGGCTTGTCCCCATTCGTGATGTACTTGTCCGGAACTCCGATGGTCAGGCGACGTTGGCAAGGCTGAAATGGATCAGTTGTCAGTTGAGAAACGATCAGTACGGTTGAGAGATTTCGGAATGCGGAATGCGGAACTATTCGTTTAAAGGGGGACATCGCTACTTCCAAAAGTGTTCATGTTCTTACATTGATCGACGCAGAATTTCAGCGAGATCAAGAAATCCTCGTGGACCACAGTCTCCGAGAGGCCTTTTCTGGGACTGTTTTTAAACTCTAACGGCTTTAAAAGTGATTTTGAAACTGTGGTCCACGAGGATTTCTCGCTGAAATTTTTCGTCGATCAATGTAAAAACATTTGGAAATAGCGTGATCCCTCTTTAAGGCCTTTTTCCCAAGAGAAATTCTACAGAAACGTGTTAAAAGATCATTGCCCCGAGCGGGATTCGAACCCGCGATCGGAATAACCCGAATGAGTTCATAAGACTCACGCCTTGGACCGCTCGGCCATCGGGGCACACGGACTGAATTACACGCAACACTCTTATCAACTCCTAATTGGAGGGTTTAAGGACTTTTAGCCTAAAAGTCTAAACCGTCCCTAAAAAAAACGTCCTTAAAAGTTTTAGGACCTTATAAAATGGTATACAACTGAGTCAGAACTGACCGTCCATCCGTCGTCACAATCGTGGTAGATGTTCACTCGCGGATCGATCGAGCTAATCTAAAAATGTTTGTGTAACTTTTCAATTGTATCATATCAAAAAGTTTTACCTCAGAATCTCCTCCGGTGACGTAGAACTCTCCATTGCTATCACTAGTTTTATCGTCCAACTTGGTGTCGACCACTGCAATGCCAAAATTGTTGTCTGGAACACAATGCTCGGGGGCACTTACACAGATCCTTGTCGTACATTTTTATGCGGACATCCCTGGCCGGCTCGTCGTTACAAATCACTTTTCCCTTGACGGCGACCGACTGTGTGAAGCCGATCGCGAGGGTGCAGGAGACGGTTGCGAAGAGGAAAACGAGTGATTTCATCTGGAAATGAAGAAGGAGATGAAAGTGTGGTGATGATTTCTCTAGAAGCTGTCCAATTACTGCCATCACAACTTGGATCAGTCACAAACAAAAGTGGTCGTCGGTCACAGACAGAACAAAGAAGAAGAAGAAGAAGAAGAAGAAGTGACACTGAAAGTAGAAGAGAGAAAAGAAGACGTTATCAACTCGTCGCCTTCTCTTTTTTCTTCTTTATCATCTTCATTTCAATTCGGTAAACACACACACAGAAATGTTTTCCGAAGCGACGGAACTGTGGCCCCTATTTCTAGTAACTCTTTCTCTTTTCTTCGGCCGCAATGACTCATTTCAGGGTGGAAAAAGTGATGTCATGTGCGGGAAAATGAACACTGACAAATGTATTGTATGGATGTGTGAATAGCCGGGTATTGTGAAACTAGTAGTATCGAAACTGTGTGACTCAGCCGGTATTCAGTTGCCACGTCATTGAAGTTCGGAACAGAAACTCTTTCAAGGCACCACGAAACGTTCTGAGCCATTTTTGTACTCGACAACTTTTCTGTACACTTCTACCTTTTCACACTATCTAGTGCGTGTTTCTATTCCATTTGTGCATTATTTTTGATCGCGTACACTGTACTTTTCGATCTTCTCTCAGCTTTTCTCAACGAGGAAGGACAAAAGGAGTGGGCGGAGCTGTGGTCATCAAAGTATAGGGGTCACACACACACACACACACTGTCAATTGATAAAATGACAGAATCAAGGTTTTTCGTCTCTCAAGACTGGAGACACAAACAAACTATCATCTTCTTCGACGTCTTCTTCGTTTCTTACTTTTCACTTGTTCATTAGCCATCATCCGTTTCGTTTCAGAATGCTCCGGGCACTTCTTCTTCTTCTTCTGGCTCTCCCTACAGTAATCCTCGCGTTGGGACGAACCCAATCGGTCGGAGTGAAAGGGACTCTGATCTGTGAGGACAAGCCTGCTGGAGGAGTGAAAATCAAGATTTATGATGAGGATAAGTGTGAGTTTCAATTCTCGAAAGTGTCCAACAGAACATTTCGCTTTGCTTTCAGTGTCGCCGGATGAGTTGATGGTCGCCGGAAAGACGGACTCGGACGGAAGGTTCGATCTGAAGGGAAGCGCCGACGAGTTCACGTCGATCGAGCCGAAGATCAACATCTACCACGACTGTGACGACGGAATCAAACCGTGCCAGAGGAAGATCACCGTGTACATTCCGAGCAAATACATCTCCAGCGGAAAGGAACCCAAGAAGATCTTCGACTTTGGAACCCTTCAGTTGGCGGGAAAGTTCACCGGAGAGACTAGAGATTGTTTGAATTAAACAAAATGAATCTTTTCGATTCTCGACTTCTTATTTTTGATCTTATAACCTCAAATAAGTTAGCTGTGCAGGCTAACACTGCTAACAGACATCCCCTGGTGCTTTAAAGTGTACCTGTCCCCAGTTGGTCCCTGGAAACCTCATCGATCACCGTCGAACAAGCGCGGCTGTTGACAACAATCACAGTAATCATAATAGAGCCTCCCTCGAGCCGGGAGCCGAATCCATCCGTTATCATCAGTTTACCAACACACAGCGAAATCTTGGAGAGCTCTCGCCGCCTCGCCGATCCATCATTGTCAAATCAAAAAGAAAGTGAGTTGAGGCAGCTCGTTCTTCTTCTTATCGCCCGAAGAGAAAGAGCACGTACTGATGATGATATAATGTTGCAATTAGCGCCGAAACGAGGTATGATGGATGGGGCGCCATGGGACAATGATAGAGTGGATCGGGGGCCTGGGAACTGGGGCACAGGTCGGCGAATCCGCTGGATCCGTTCAAACCCCCCGGCCATAAAACAATCATTGCGGCTCGGCGGATCACTTTTCAAGTTGCGCAAGTCAACAACTCGTGTGTAACAGTAACCCAGTGCTTCTTTACGGGCTTGCGCAATGCCAACATCGTCCGCTTTGTCGGAACGTTTTGCAAACACGACCTGGTGATGACCCTTCAGCACTTGTCGACACGGAAACTTTGAAAGAGTTGCTGAGGCGTCGAGTCGACAATATCAGGTTGCAGGTTTTTCAAAAGTTGAGATACTGTGTCCCCCCTCTGTCAGCCAGATCGCCTCTTGGTCTCCAGATCATATCACTTCGCATTCTGACGACTAGTTGTTGTAATCCAGAGAGTGCGCGAGAAGTGAGTCCTCGTTCGTCTGTGTTGGTCCTTGTCGATCATCCGTGCGCGACCGTCCTCGCCCCCGCACTTCAAAGGGACCGCGCGTCTGACGGGCAAAGAGACGCCGCTTCTGCCAGAATATCTTCATCTGTGGATGATGTTGCGGGAAGGAGGGAAACAACCTCATCATTAAATTATGGGTTATTAGAGTGTGGAGTACATCGGGGAGTGGCCCTGGATTCGAGTGGAGTGGAGCCGCCAAAGAATCGAGATTATGCATTTTTTGCGCGTCGTCTTCTGGTCTCGTCACACTCGGACGCTCGAACCGGTTGGGGCGAGAGGCCGAAACCTACAGTACACCGCCCCCCAACACATCTTCAGAATCTAGTCGAATTGCAGAAGCAACGCACACGCACACACACACACACACAACGTTTGATTGCGATTGAAGTTGACAGTTTTGGGCGAGTTGTCAATACAGTAAGCCTGGATACGGTGGAGAATGACGTCACTGATCGGAAGCAAACATTGATTTATTCGTGTGAAGATTGGAAGTGGACATCGTTATCAATATAAGGGAAGAAATTAAAACAAATGTAAGCGAAATTATGTGGTGGAAGAAACGAAGAAGACGAAGGAGAAGAAGAAGTATTGTGAGGGGGAGGAACCCGTGCGGTGAGCTCTAAGAGGTATTCAGAAGTAAGTGCTTTCAGGGTAATTGCGCGAACAGGATCAGATCGTTTAGGAGGCGGCCTTCGTGTTGTTGAATCCTTTCGCGTCCTCACCACACGAAGACGTCGGCGAGTTGGAATCCCACGAGTTGCGCGCCAGAAACGCCTTCTCCTTCTCGCGCTTCTTCTCCTTCATTCGACGGTTTTGGAACCAGATCTTGACCTGAAAAGAACCGTCACGGCCCGCTGCACAAACTACCGTACCTGTGCCTCCTGTAGCTTGAGATTCCCGGCAATCTCGGTCCTTCTGGTGCGATTCACGTATTTGGCCGTATGGAATTCCTTCTCGAGCTCCGTGAGCTGGTGTGTTGTGAAATTGGTTCTATTCGAGCCGTTCTCGTCGATCACCTTCTTTTTCGGCGCTGAACTTAATTGATTAGTGTGTGTTTCCCATGCTCCTCATCATTTGAATGTATAATATCTATCTACTGGAGGGGCGCCCAAAGATTGATGCGAAATGCAAATGACTAGACCATTCCAAAAAAGGAACATATGTTTGTGCATAATAAGAGGAAGATCGAGTACAACAAAGAGACCCCGCCTCGACTTTGAATTGTCGCGGAAGAAGTGGGAGGAGGAAGGGGTAGCGACACAAAAAGTGACATGCGCCAGGCACACACGGCACAGTGGATGATCGATCGATTACTACGGGAAAATACGAGAAGAAGGTGATGGCAGAATTCAGAGTTATAATACTGTTGGAATCAGGTGATAGGTGAGCCCTTAAGCTTCGGCTCCGTATCACTGATTACCTGCAGGTCTCTGTGTCCGTTTCGTGTGCATCCATTTGTACGTATTGTGCTGCGACGCACTGACTCCGGCCGGCAGTCCCCCACTCGCGTTCGATCTCGATCTTCCCGACGATCTGACACTTGCGGCGCTTCCGGAAGACGACGTCGTTGTTGTCGAAGTCGGCGAGACGGTTCCCAACACGTAGGTGGACGGATGAGCAGCCCAGAGATCGGCGGCCGTGTGAGGAGCGGTGAGCGGAGAGTAGGACGAGTGCGGCACTGTCGAGTAGTAGGAGGGCGTCCAGTCGGAGTAGTAGTTCGGAGGCGCTCCATAGCACTCGGTTGAGCTCATCTCGCTGGAATTATGTTGGGTATGGATGGGGATGAAGCAGAGGAGGGCGAGGAGATGAGAAAAAGACAGAGACAGAGAAAGAGATGAACGGAGTATGAAGAAGCCACGTGGCGGAGCAATGAAGACTACAGTGTGGCAAGAGTAAGAAACAATAGGAAACTGCCCCGAGGAAGGCAATCCATCAAAGTTGTTGTTCAGAAACTCATTACCATTATCCCTCAATTAGCAAGACGTGGCAACATGATCGAACGACTGACCCACTCCTTCACCGACTCATTATTCATCTTCAAACAACAAAACGAACAAAGTGGTGACAGGTGAGAAGGGCGGACGAAGAAAATTAATCATTTCGTCCGCCACGCCACAATCATCTCGATCGGTGAAAGATAAGAAGGGAGGGGACCCTGGATCCGATGCCAGGATGGTCCGCATCGGATCGGGGATCGGATCGGGTCGGGAGAGCACGAGGTGGACGCGAAAGTAATAAATCATTGGGGAGGAGGTCCTTCCGAATACACGCCGGGAAGATGATGGGACGAGAGTGTGCGCGGCCAGAAAGGGCGGAGCTTCCAGGGGCGGCGGCCAATCGGAGGCCGCCGGGGGGCGGGTATCGTAGGTGGACGGACAGATGGCTGGCGCCATTCGTTCAGACCCTTTTCTATTGTTTTTATTGTGTTTGAGCAGTTCCGGAATGCTTTGGGTGCCCAGGGACCGCCTGAAACTGTCGATTGGAGCCTGAAGGACGGGTTGACGTCTTCGAGTTCTTGGCAGGAATTTTATGAGCTTTGTCAACGTTTGGTCTCTAGTTTCATGGTGTTTTTGCTGTGTTCCAGCTGATCCGGCTCTTTCAAAACTCTAGAAGCTTCATTTTCTGCTTGAAAAAACTCATCGCTTCTTCCTTTCTTTTTGACTTCCCCAGCCTCCCCAATATTAGCCAGATTTAGTTCGACAAAGACCTAATTAGGCCATTATCCTTGACAGGCGCCCTACTAACACCTGTTGGGCTTTGCCGAGCTCACACAAATAATAATAATAATAATAATAATTGGGACGGCGGAAGTGTTCGGGTAAACAAACGAATCAATTCTGACAGGTGAGAAGGAAAAGAGCTCTCTATGTTTGGATTCAGAAGGTGTGAGGCGGGGGACAAAGTTTCGTGACCATCAGCTGACTATTAGGTCTTTTGATTTACGATCGAGGGCCAGAGGTTAGTCAATCAGATGATGAGGGTGTGTAATAGAGGTTTGGGCCGAACCCGAGAAGTTTTCGGAAAGCAGTGGAGGGTCTGGAAGTGGACACATACTGGGGAATCATCCTGACGTTTCACAACTGACAAAACCTGCTGGGAACTGGTTGCAAAGTGTCCAGTTGTGAAGAAAGATATTTTTACAGTACCAAAAAATGAAATGAACGTTTGCAGGCAACCTTCTCGATACCAATCTGGCGCCAAGACACCGGATATGCGCCAATCATCATTAGCTCCATTTCCATTTCCATTTCCATCCCACCTCAATCCGATTTAATTTCACCGACAGTTTGGCGCCAGACAGACCAACTCATCCTCGCTCGCGTTCCTCCTACCATAATCGTAGTAGTTCGAAATGGACAGAGAGAGAGAGAGAGAGTGGGAGAGGGAGTCAAAGTCAAAACGGACAGAGTGGCAATGATCGATGTGTTTTCTTCTTCTTCTTCTTCTTCTTCTTCCTTTTCCGGGGCGCGCGCGCATCTTTTGGATACTTTATTCACTGGAGAGAGGCGGGCAGCTTCGTGGAGTTAAGAGATGACGATGATGAAGAAGGAGACGGGCGGTGGGAACGGCTGCACAATGTAATGGAATGAAAAGAGTGAAAAGAGGGGACTTTGAGGCTGGAACCGAATGAACACAATGAGGAAAGCAGGGAACAGGAAGAGAAGGAAGAATGAGATTCCAGCCACAAGTCAGAAGTCGGTAGCAAGATTAGCAACATGTTTCTTAGGACCATGTACAGAAGAGTTTCAGATCAAATGGTCAGGCGAAACAGGTGAAAATGTTGAAGCTTTGATTACAGTCACTTCTAAGCCATATGAATTGGGACCACAAAGGGAAGAGTCTGTGGCGCGATCCCAGAATGAAGTTTCCCGAAGTTTGCATGTTTGTTAGTCATTTTGTGGTAACTGGAAATGAAGCTGAATACCTTACAGCAGAGAAACTTGAAAGTTTGATGTGCTTCATCCGAATTTAACTAGACCGTGATTGAAATTAACAAGTTTGAGGTGACAAGCAAAGCTTCCGAACCAATTGGAACACTTTGACAAATTCAAAATCTGCCACAGACGCTTCATCTTTATCTAATCAACTCTTCATTCCATTTTGTCTATTGTCTTCTTCTTCTTCGTCCTCGTCACCACCACCGCCACGTCTTCTCTTCTCTCGAGAATTGCCGCCAAAGGAGAGCGAACACCCTCGGCCTTTCAAGTGTGCCGCCCTTCGCATCGACTCCTTTTCAGTTCACTTCGACACCCTATCACTCATTCGGTCATTGGATACAAAACAAAATAAGAAGGGACATGAGACAGGTGGGCGCGCGATTAGCGAAAGCAAGTTAATCCGGCTGATGCGAGTGTGAGCACGTCGGCCTGGAGGTGTTGAAAATGGCGAATGGGGGAAGTTTAAGAGACGCTCTTGTTCATGGGCATTGAGATTCGACTTAATCAAACGTGAGTTCTCGATCGTTTTTCCGATGCGACAACCAGAACACGAAGAGCACCCAAACACCTTTCATTCAAAACAATATATCTAAACTGCCGATAAAGATATCAAAAAGTGATCAACAGATAAAATGTGCACAATGTTTCAAGGAATAATTTATAAGTTGACAACTTTTTGAAATCTCTACAAGCTGCTGAGATATATCGTCTTGAATACCCAGTATAGTATTCACCTGGATGTAGAGCCATGATAACAGTATTCTTACAGTATCCCAACTTCTCCAAGGACCCAAACCTATCGCCTAGTGCATCCCCTAATTATACAGTCTCAATGTACAAATAATTGGCCTCTTTCACAAGTTTGCCATCCGAATGCGACACCTTTCCAAACGGCCCATCGCTCATCGTTTCCTTTGACAGACTAGGCGTGGTACGGTAGATTTCTGCATTCGATTGGAGCGAAACAAACACAAAATGATGGTTATCTGGATGGGTTTTGGGCAAAAACGAAACGAAGTTATGGCAAGGAATGTTTGGCACTTTTGCTATACGCTTTCAAAAGGTTGCCTGTTAAAGCTTTGACGGATGACTACTTTTCAGTGAAATTTCTTCCAAGACTATTGTAGCTCTAGAAATGCAAGAACACTTTGCCAACCATACTATTTGAAGAGCTACCGAGAGTGGAAGCCTAGTATGCACAAATCAAAAAAGTCACAAATTGAAGTGCTCGTAAATGCGACAATATCATCGAGTTGTGCGAGTCTTAATCGAATCGCCCGGGAACAGTTGGCAAGTTGCCACGACCAAAATGATGGATGATCCTCTCTGGCCAGGGGTTCCCCGGGCTTTTCTCCTCCAAAAAGCACCGCCCATGTCTTGTATTGTGTAAGCCAATGCCATGTGTTCAGGATCAGGGAGAAAGAGAGAGAGAGAGAGAGACAGGTCCCTCCGATCTATCAAAATATTATGTCATCTGTGTACCGGCTTGTAAAGAAAAGGCGCATCTGGAGATCGAGTCGCTTTGAAGTCGCCGAAGTTTCAGGCTCATTCATTATGAAAGTGACACGAGTCGTTCTTTTTTTTGTTGCGTTGAAGTTGCTTTTGAGCACTTTGGGACGGGGTCCGTTCCTTCAGAATCTAGAATCACAAGTGATACGTGTCATCCATAAACAAAGTGTTTTGTAAGATGCAGTCCAGAAATCAAAAGCTTAGGACTCGGCTTATTGGCTCCAAATATTGTATGACATCTGACTGCAACATCCCATTTCATTGTCCCAGTAAAAACAGAATGGTTACGGATATTAACGGATTTCATATAACTGCTATTGTCATTCAGATTGTCTAGTACCCACTTCTGAATCGGCAAACGCCATAAAATATTTATACGCTCAAGCCTATGAGTACAGTAACCGAAGCGAGATCGTGCACGGATAAAAACTTCAGACCAATTAAATTATGCCACGTCATGAGTTGCTGTCATGTGAGACACGTGATCCATCAAAACGAACACCCCGTCGCCGACTGTTTGCATACAATTATCAGCCTGCGTCTTTTATCGTTTGTAGGTGAACCTTCCCGGTAAAACGCACGCAGAGAACAGATAATACGGAGCGAGAGAGAAAGAAGGATTCGCAGAGACACAGACACGAATTTTATGGCTCTTTCTCCGCACGGGGCCGCCCGATCGGCCCGCCATTCCATTCATTGTGTTTGTGTGTGTGTGTTGCGATTTGTTGAAGGTTGTCGATGCCTCACTTCACAGCACACCTGGCGCCCTCCTTTTGCATACTGTTCTTGTCATCGTTTGAGGAAATTTGCTGATTTCAAATTCCCTATAATCTCTTTTCAACATCCTCCGTTTTAGCAACTTTTCTATGAGCTACGGCTGGGCCTAGAATTTAAGATCGATCAAACTCAAACTTTGCGGTCTTCTTGGACGTGGTTTGAAGTGTGTTGGGTCCATTTTTCAGACCGATCACTCATAAAACCAGGTCTTTCGGGCCCTAGATCAGTATATTTCCACAGTATATCAGCCTGAAAATTGGACCCATTGTACTTCAAACCAAGTACAAGAAGCCTACAAAGTTTGGGTTCCATCGGAATATTGAAAGTGGCCCAAAAGTGGAAACAGTGAAGTTTTCAGAAATCTCCCTTCCAGGTCAACTCCCCCTGCCTCTCTTTCTCTCTGTCTCTCTCTCTCTCTTTCTCTCTCTGTGCCTCAATGTTTCTGATCGGAATGGGCGTGGCCCCCATGGCCTGGTCAGCCGCCTTCGAGGGGCACCTGTTGTCCTCCTGCCGTCTCCTTACTCTTC